TAGAAAATCCGCACGCTGTCCGTCGGGCACAATTTAATTGTGTTGATATGTTACTACAATTCACAGGTTTCTTTTTTTATTAGAACAATAATATGATTGTCCACGGGTATTCACAGGAATTTTTCTCAATATGCTGATCATCATCAAGAGTTAACTGTTACCACAGCTCCTTGTGGGCACCCATGTTACTGTTCAATATACTGGGCTTTGATTTCATTAAAATTACAGTAAGCTTTACATATCAACCCTACTGCTCTGACAATAGCTGATTTAAAACGAAGTATGAAAATTAACTTGGACAAAAAGCAGTACAAATCATCACTAGTTATTGAGTCATATAAAAACTTAGAAATGTTATGTTCTGCAAATATCCGTCCGAGTTTAGTCTTTTGGTTAGATCAGAAGTAATCTCTGAGCTTCTGATAATTCTCAGGACCTCAGGGGTTGACAACAGCAGCTGTTGAACTTTTCGTGGCGCTCCACTGTTCAAAGAGTGAGAGGATATACAAACAGGTACGATCTTCAAATATTACATTCCTAAAATGAGTAACCGCTGCATCTGTGATCTTCCTCAGGATCTGCCAGAAGCCTGGCTAATGACTTGGATCACCTTCAAAAAAGAAACAATTTTGATGTGGAGTTTGTCTTATAGTATTTACAAACATAGGTATTACAGCTTTGTGTACTTACATTGTTATACTTCACAACTCCGAACAAAATGCATATGGCTCAAATAACATAATAGGGACTTTACTTAATTAAAACGAAATGTTAGGAAAATGACATGCTGAAAAAAGTAAGGTTATTTTTGCAAAGAGCACAGGAAGAAACCCGCCGGAAATTTAAATCTGGCCAATCAGACAACGTCAGTTGTGAATAAGTCACCATTTTTTGAGGGTGCGACATGGTTGTCATATTATGCACCAGCAACACTGCTTTGTTTTCCATTCGCCAATATGAGTTTCACGTTTCACCCCCCTGATATTTTTACATTCAGAAATTCAGATAGATACATAGAGAATCCCGGCAGGGTTTCCAGGTTTTTCAGTCACGTTGGTCGTCAAGTTTTTATGAGAAAATCGCCAGAAATCGCCAATCCCAATTAACTAAGAGTCTAACTATAAAACTCCAGGTTAGAGATTTCAATGGATTTGTCGCCCGGGGTGGTGAAGTAGTGACTGGCCTAAGCGAATAAGTAGCATGCCTGTTGACGATAACTGAAGAGGATGAGGGGGGTTAGGGTTAGACATAATAATACTCCAAGAATCCATTGAAAAGCGGGGGTGAGGATAGGGGGTTGCTAGACATGTGTAATATTAACGAAACGAAGTTCGTTTACAGGGGGGCGGATCCAGAGGTGGCGGGACTGCTAGCGAATGTTCTTGTGATATTGTGAGAACGGGAAGGAGGGTTAACTATTGAAAATTGAAGAACGGGGAGACAATAATTTTCTGCGTATTCACCTTTCCTCAGTGAACCTTAGGTGAGGGAGTGACTCTCTCTCCACTTCTGGTTATCCGTACAAAAATCATTTTATAATAATCGTATATCAAGCAACAGCAATCAAATTCAAGCGGATAACCAAATGGAAATGGTATTTACCATTTTGGGTTGGTATTTACCAATCCGTTCAAGCGAGTGTAGTTATCAGTTTGGTTATAAGATCCGTGACGTGACGAATCAGCTGTTATATGTCATAGTTATCACCGCAAAATTGTGGTATTTACCCAACTCAAGAGTAGTTTTATATTTCTGGTCATTATTTGAAATGTGACAAGTTAGAATTTTGCCGGGTATTGGATATTGTTATTGTACTTCAGCTTCATTTTTGAGAAAAATGATACAGGCTGACTTCAGTTTTACCATAAAGTGGAGCACCTTATTAGTTATACTCATTACGGTTGTTGGGGACACTTTAAATGTAGTTCCTATGCTTAACAAAGTATCCTGTGTAGCCATATACCACAAGAATATTAAAATATGGCCATATAAACTCACTAGATGATATCCACCTGTATACGGTTCTGCTAATTTCTTTTTTCATCATTTCTGCTGAATCAATAAATTTTTTCTTTGACATGCGGAAAAATTTAGAGAATTGTAAGTTATCATAGCTATAAAGCCATGGTTGCATCATTAAAAAAAAATCTGAAAAAAACGTTTCTCCCATGAATATTATGAAATGTTTTTTATTTAAACTTTCCATATACAGTTGTAGACGAAAAAGCACCGATTATTAAGTGATAATAAAAATAATCAGAGATTATATACGCGCTTTTCTAAAATAAGCAACAAAACCGCGGTTAAAACCAACGCGTTCAAGCGATTCGTGTAACTGACGTCATCAACCCGTGTGTCATCTTGAACCATCTTATAACCGCGGCACATAACACAGAAATTTTGGTTATTCGCTTGGATTTGATTAGTGGCATGAGTGTTAGGGTTAGATCACACGACATCTTGACATGACATTTGACCATAAGCGTCATTGTGCTTAGAGAACAGAACTGCCGCTGGTCTTCGTTTCATGTTTCATTAATCTCTACTAAAAACCAAATTAGTCTGACAGCTTGAGTTCATATGTTCGAGAGAAGTGTCTATAGACACATATGTTAGAAAGAGATAGAAGCCGGATGGATAGCGAAGCTCATCACCGCATTGCCTATCAACGCTGACGCGGCAATCTGCGCCTCGTTGCCATTATGTTACACCAGTTCCTTGAATTAAGGTATATGTTAAAAACACGCATTAGTTTGCTCTCTACTTATCTTGACATTCCAAGGCAAGGTTTCCACCTCCATGATTATAGACGAGCGATTTTGGTCAGTACCCATCTAGCGCTCATTGGGGAGTGTCGCCCTGATATCGCCAGTTTGCTGGATACCGGGTGCCATTAAAGTAGCCAATCGCCAAGCTATCCATTTGAAGCCGTTGGCGAAAAATCGGCACGCCTGGCAACCCTGAAATCCGACAAGCTTACGTCACGAGATGCCGGTAATACAGTTACCTCGATTTTGCCTGGAGAGGATTACAGAGAGTATGACCTTGGTGTTGCCAGTTCGCCCATAAGACGTTTAACCCCTGGAAGAAGGTTTAATTCCATGCTATTTGGATGATGCAACACGGTGACTTTTGCGGTTGTCAGCGCCCATTTTTTGACATAGTTACCAGATTGTGCATTAATGCCCCGCGACATTGCCAGCCCTACATATATATCTGAGATTGCTATACTTTTATATACAGAAATTTGGTGGGATGTGGGAAATCTTATAACAGCATGTGTTATTAACATTTTGCGCTATCTTGATGAATAAGTGATTTTTTTATGTTAAAATAGCAACGTCAATAACACAAGCTCTTATAAAATCACTCATATCCACTTACTAATCTGGAAAGGTTCAGAAGAAAACATATACTGCAAATACCTAAATATATATTTATTATATAAATCTCATACATTTTCAAGGAAATCAGTATTAACATCGTTATAGTCCAGATGTTTTCAGTCCCCAATCTTTGTTGGTACCTGCATAAATAAAAAAATAGGAAAAAATTGAATTGTGTTGAAATGTTACCACAATTCACAGATTTCTTTTCGTGTTAGAACAATAATATTATTGTCTTTGGGTACCCGCAAAAATTTTTCTGTTGGATGCTGATCATCATCAAGAGATAACTTTTTGTGAGGTTGTACCTACCCGATGCTCCGTGGTCTACAAAATGGCTACTGTGGTTGACAGTTTTATTTTTTAGACACCGTAACAGGTGTGTGTACAAACCATATAGAGGGATATTGGTCGAGGCTCAAAATGTACCTCCGTAGGTTGGGAGTACTACAGTCCAAACGCTTGGCAGAATATATAGATCAATTTATTGTGGACCTTTATTACATATGTATTACACTGTCCTGTACACGTTAAACTTGCAATAACTCCTAAATATGTAGTTATGTTATGTGTACCAAAGTGATCCCAGTCAGAAGCCAGGTTTCTTTCAGATCCTGAGGAAGAGCAGAGATGCAGCGGTTACTCATTTGAGGAATATAATACTTGAAGATCATACCTGTTCGAATCTCTGCATAAGTTTTTGAACAGTGGAGCGCTACGAAAACTTTAGCCGTCGTTGTCAACCCCTGAGGTCCTCACAATTATCAGAAGTTCGGAGATTACTTGTGATCTAACCAAAAGGCACAGGTCTGAAGGATATTTGCAGACCATAACAAGTTTTTATATGACTTAATAACCAGTAATGATTTGTACTGCTTTTTCTCCAAGTTAGTTTCCATACTTCATTTTAAAACAGCTATTTTTAGAGCAGCATGGTTGATATGCAAAGCTCACTACTCGTATAATTTCAATGAAATCGAAGCCACAGGTTATTATGAAACAATAACATAGGTGCCCACAGGGTGGTGTCGGGGGGCCATGGTCTCTCCTGGGAATCTGCTTTGACTTTAAAATTTGCATATTTAGCATGTTACATCTTTGAGAATTTTTTAGGATTTGTCCCCCCTGAGAAAATTGTTCGCTCTGCTCATCAAAAAATTTTGGGGGCATTGGGTACAACTTCACAAAAAGCTGTCTCTTGATGATGATCAGCATCCCTGAGAAAAATTCCTGTGGGTACCTATGGACAATAATATTATTGTTCTAATAACAAAAGAAAACTGTGAATTGTAGTAACATATCAACACAATTCAATTTTTTTCCTAATTTTTTATTTATGCAGGTACCAAGAAAGATTTGGGAATGAAAACATCTGGACCATGACGATGTTAACACTGATTTGTATGAAAATGTATGAGATTTATATAATAAATATATATTTAGGTATTTGCAGTATTTTCTTCTGAACCTTTCCACATCCCACCAAATGTCTGTATATAAAAGTATAGCAATCTCAGATTTATATGTAGAGCTGGCAACGTCGCGGGGCATTAATGCAAATCTGATAACCATGTCAAAAAATGGGCGCTGACAACCGCACAAGTCACTGTGTTGTGTGTTGCATCATGGAAATAGCATGGAATTAACCTTCTTCAGTGTATGTTTTGTGGGTTCGGCAACACTGCCTAAAACCTAATAATGCTAATATTGTTTTGATACCAAAGAACTTAAAAAAGGAGTATTGAACTTGGTTAAAGTTCTCACAAATGTAATAAAAATATAATAAAATTTCTACTGCACAATGGGTCAAGGTAAAAGTCAATTCACAGAAGATGAACTACAAGATTACCAAGTAGGTTATTTCATGAAACCAATTCAGAGGATGTTTAATAATGTGTCTGTTTTAGGACCTAACATACTTTACAAAGAAGGAAGTACTGTAGTAAGTAAACAATCTATTGAATGCTAAATTACAAAAGAAAAGGCTGAATCCAGGACTATAGCAAACTAAGATTGTATTCATTGTTCTTTCTAGTGCCCATCAAAAATTTAAGTCTTTAGCTCCTGAGAAAGTGGGCCATAACAAAAATGCAAAGCTGCCAATGTCTAAGTTATTGCAGTTTCCAGAGTTAAGTGTTAACCCATTTGGAGAGAGAATTTGTAAGGTGTTCAGTTCCAGTCAGGATGGTGATTGCACATTTGAGGATTTTTTGGACATGATGTCTGTCTTCTGTGAAAATGCTCCAAAACCGGTTAAAGCTGAACATGCTTTCAGAATATTTGGTGAGCATCAAAAACTGCTGACTAGCTCATTTACTAGAGACCACCAAAAAATTATACATGGTGTCTGATAAGTACCACGAGAAACTTAGGGAGAAGGTAGGCTTTGGGCTGACCTCCCAAATAACAAAAACTTACCTATATATAAGTGTCACCATTTTTGACATATTGTATTGTTTCTTAAATTTAAAAAAAACAAACTTTTTCATCTGTGGTCTTTAGCTGCATGTACAAATAAGGTTATACTTTGTTCATTTTTGTCTATAAAATACTTCTAGATAGTTGCTTTATCATATACAAATATAATGTAAAAACGAGGAACATTTGCGAGAACAAATACATTAAGTTGCTGCTGAGCTAGCCCAATTGAATCTGAGAACTCTAAAAGCATCTTTTCTTAAGAGATGCCGAGCTTGTATTAGAGTAGGAGGTCGCCAATTTGAGCATATTTTGTCAGTAAATGGATACATTTTTTCCACAAACAATTTGTGCTTTATTTCATGCTGACCTGTCCTTTACAAAAATAATTCTTTTGTATTGTTTCTGACTCGAGCCCGAATTTCAGTAAATTTCATAAAATCATATCAGGAACAGGTAATAATAATGAACTATTTAGCATGTCACTGATCAGTAACCAGTGCAACTTGAATTTAAATCCATTAATTACATTGTAGTGTGTGTCAGTCACTTACAAAAGCAGCTATCACTTTTTTCTATTCCAAATAGTACGTGTGGTGCCTTTCTGAAATCTGTATTCAATCAGCAATCTTTTTATTCAACATAATGCAGCTATAGCCCTGTACATTTTTATGTCACCACAGATCGTCCAAGTTGAGGAAAAAATATTAGAACGTTATAAATCCCAAAATAGTAATTATTTGATCATGGTTCCTTAATATCTTCTAACTACATTGCACTTGTATATGATATCTAGAAGTTTTATAGAAAAAATGAACAAAGTATAAGCTTCTTTGTACATGCAGCTAAAGACCACAGATGAAAAAAAAAATTCAATATTTCAAAAACAGTGACACTTTTATATACGTAAGTTTTTGTTATTTGGGAGGTCAGTTCAAGGCCTACCTTCTCCTTAGGTTTGTCGAGGTACTTATTGGACACCCTGTAAATAGATTGTTTCTCTGCCTTCAACATCATGCTATTAGTTGAAAATTAAAATTCACATAATTAAAAAGTAGCAATTGCATAGCATTTAAATTATACTTTTGGTCAAGTTTTAAAACCACATAACCTATTGTGTCATATTATGTAGAGGTTCTTGACCAGCTCCAACTTCTACATTATGACATAACAATAGTTTTGATCATTCGAAATAACATTTGCCAATGTTATAATATTTTTACTATGATATAGATGTCACCATGAGCGCTTGCAGAAATTTTTCCAAGGGGGATGATCATTGCAGGGAGATAATTTCTTGTGAACTTGAACATGTCCCAGAAACATTTGAAGAAGGTGGTATCAAATATCCCAGAAATTGTACACACAAAGGAATCCAAATATGTACATTTTAAGATTCAGCCACATTCTCAAGGGGGCCGTGGACTCCCTACGAGCATCCCTGGTTGTTATAGTAACTTTTATGAATCGCTGAAGACCAGTAGTGATTTACTGAAATAGCCACCCTTCACTGAGGAAGATAGATTTAATAATCACACACAATCTGATTGTAATTATTTGCTATTTATTTGGATTGTGGATTATCTTGGCAAATAAATTGTTTGGTATTTTGGTACTTATTTCAGATTTTGATGGTGATGATATGCTGGGAATCTCAGATCTCAAACAAATTATAAATAGACTAACAAACGACAACAAACTGAATGACTCAGAAATGAGCATGTTGATACAAAACATATTAGCAGAAGCAGATTTAGATGATGACAATGCTTTGTCTTTTGCAGAATTTGAGCACATAATTGATAGATCTCCAGACTTTTTAAGGTAAGTTTTTTATCTAAACTGTTTTTTCCAAACAAGGACACACTGCCATTTGGACTATTTTTTATTCTAGAAATAAATGACAAAGCATTTGATACCCTTTTGTTTCAGCTCTTTCAGGATTCGTTTATAATTGTGTGGATATGTTTCCTTGTGTGATATTATTGAGTTGTCTTGAAAAAATGAAATTATACTATACCTTAAGTCTGCTTATATTTCTAATAGTATATTGTAATTGATGTAATTCCAAACGTGGACATAGTATTGAAACATCTAGTCAGACTCAACTCTTTTATACATTTCTCATTAAATGTACAATGAATCAGGATACTGTGTTTGAAGTTTGGATTGTAGACCAAAGTAGATGTTATTGAGATATATTCTCTACATTTTGTGCCCTCTTTTGATCCAATATTACTCATTTATCAAAGATTTTTACCACTATAAGATTGCTAAATATATAAAGTAGACTTATCTAGCCTTACCTGACTCCATAATTTTCAACTTTTCAAAATAGGCTTCTTAAGTTTGATACAAGTGACTCACGAACCAATCCAGTTCACAATACTGGGCCCCACTAAATAATTGTGCATAGATAAGTTAGTTTCTATATTTATTGAAAGATAATTAAGAAACTCATTATCAGCATAGCTTAAAAATCAAATTCACTACAGCACATATCACTGTGCATTAGTGCAGAACTATTAGTTGAAAGTTTCAGTTTTCCCTCTTGAGTTTGGCATATTTGCTTTAAACCACATAGTTTTAATGATTTTATCCTATCATGTATGTCTCTGTTTAATTTGTGGAGGATGCTGCATTTGATTGTTTTTATTTGTATTTGACTGCTTTTTTTCGCTTCCTACCTATTTTGTTTTCAAGGCCATGAGCTCCTCATAGATTTTACCAGTTTTCCTCCACACTGCCCATTTGTGTAAAAATTTAATTGGGAATGTAAGCCTATTATGTGAATAAGATTTCTCCAAAAACTTTACTAGAGGCAGTTGGTCATAAAACAGATGGCTCATCATGACTATAAACAAAACTGAAATACACCCAAATTTTGTGTAACAAATAGCACTATTTTGCATAAACTGTGGTCATGTTCATCTGATATAGCAATACTTACTGGCTAATGCTGCTAAAGTGAATCATTGACTTCATCAAACCTGAAGTTATCATGACTTCTGTTAATGATTTACTGAGTACTGCTAGAATCTGAGGGACAGAATCCATTTTACTACAAAATTGATGCAATTCAAATGTTATTGATTTAATTAGTGTTAATTTATTTTAAATTCAAAGAAGGTCTTACTCTTATTTATTTTTATTTATTTATAAAAGGAATAGTTAATAAACATTTATGACTGTAAATACCCAGGTAGTTTCATTCTCATAAATATCCAAGTGGTACAAAATGAAACTAAAATAAATATGAATCCTACTATTGTGATTAACAGTCTGTTGAGCTTTGGTGTGGAGCTGGAGTGAATATTGTCCAAAATTATGAAGCCCAAACTTCCCATTGAAAATAAGAAACTGGATGCTAGGCCCTCCATTATGTATTGGCCATTCACTCTATAAGGCATGAATGCAACCTAGAAAAAATAAAAATAGATCATGTGATGAGTTTTATCACCGAAGTCAGACAAGCACATAACATCTTTTTTACTTTACTGACATTCCATAAAGGAATCTAAAAGGTATTAGTGTCATCTATCAGGCAGCAGAATACAAAAAATTAATTTTGAAATCTGCTTTGACACAAATTAGTATTTGGTTCTGCTATTAACTCATAGATGCTAATAGAATCTTCAATACTGCTTGGCGCCTCTAATGTCTATTTTAATTGGGCTCTTCAAGCAATGATTAACTTATTCCGTCTGAAGAAGTAAGAAACATTGTTTTCTCCCTTTAAAAAATTTAATCTGTCATCTTTAGTAAATTTATGCATTGGTGGGATATGTTAATGAATGTCAGAAGACATCTAATTAAAATAGGCATACCATCTATCAGACAGTAGCAGAATGACCCAGTCTAACCCTTATTGAAGTGGATTTCAAAATTATTTTTATGTTATGCTACTATCTCATGGATGGTGCATTTGCATCATTTACAACTAAAATCTAGTGTCTATTCAGACCAGGGTTGCCAGGCTTAAATGGATAGCTTGGCGATTGGCTACTTTAGTGGCGCCCCATGTCCAGCAAATTGGTGATGTCTGGCAATTTTTAGCATTTCTGACGCCACTTAATTTGTAATCCATTTTTGCCAATATAATAATAATAATAATAATAATAATAATAAATCGTCTTCATTTAGGGGGCAAACTTTAGCATAATGCTACTCTCCCACTTCCTCCCAACCAAAAAATAAAGAAAAACTGAAAATCAATACAAAAAACATAAATACATTTGATAGGTTACAAGTTAATTCATGAGTTAAAAGTATAACATTGTAACAGATATACAAACAAAGGAATGCTATATTGGAAATATTTTTGTGTGAGGTGACAGATAAATTTTATCAACTAATTTATATACTTCTAGGTATTCATAATAAATTTCTTCATATGTCTTTTAAATTCATCATATGATAGCAATTTTGTGGATCGAGGTATAGCATTGTAAAAAAGAATTGTATAAATTAATGAAACGAGGACCAGCAGTATTTCTGTGCTCTAAGCACAATGGATCGAACCCATGTGAATGAACTTATAGTTTCGTTCAGATTACACGTATCTAACAACCCCTTATGCTTGACTCCTAGTTAGTTCACAGATTGGCGATTTTCTCATCAAAACTTTGCGACCAACATGACTGAAAACCTGGCAATCCTGATTCAGACTAAGAAACAAAAAAAGATAGATAAGCTAAGCTTTCATCCCTTATAAATACTATGCAAGGCTAAAAAATGTATTATACTTACTGGTCTAGAATGCCCTCGTTCATCTGTAGTAGATCCTACACTTGGTGGCTCAACTATTACATCATAGATTATACCTAAAAGTAAAAAATATATCAATCTTTTGCCTGAAAACAATGCTAGAATTGTTGGCATGAAATGAACTTCATATTGTTATATACCTCCAGTGACCAAAAAGTATGATATTAGCACAAGGGAGAACATCGTCATAGCAGAGGGTTGTCTTATCCATGAAGGTTTTATTATCCTAATTTGAGGAATTGCAAGTAGAGATCCGATTAATGCCATGGTTGTTCTAAATACTTGTGGAACTTTGTCTTTGTATCCGGTCTTGTGAGATGCGTTATTTCTTGTTTTCTTTTGCTTCAGCATCCAAAATGGGCTGCTGAAAAGCAAATATTATCTGAAAACAGGCAAAACCTGTTCAAAATGGCAAGAAGTAAAACTACCCTAACCATACAAACTTAACCACAAAATATACACTGAACTTAACTGTCAGTATCAACACGTCAAAAATACGTAAAGCCGGCCACAGACGTCCTTTTAATCAACTCACGACGTGCCAACCGTAATTGCAAGTTGCAACTTGTTGATTTGAAGGTCCCCTATTTTTTAATTAGATAACCAATTAACAATGATTTTGCTCATCACGTGCTCTGGAATTGGGGCTGGTCATTTGCCGTCGTGTATTTGGATGCCCAACAATCGTACATGACACGGTGACAGCATCCACTCGTGAGCATCTGCTCTCTCAACTGACGTATCTTAGCCGCGGCGCATCCAGCATGGGATAAATGGGTGCATGTATAGCAAGGCTCTTCGAGATATTTGAATCGTCAAATTAGAGTCCTATTACCTAAGTTTGAGCACCATGCCTCGACAAAGTGGGGAGCATGAAGACTAGATATAGACACATAGAGGGACTCATAGAGTGGGGGCGGAGCCCAGTATCGAGAATGAAGACCAGCTGTTCACTATAGGCATTGCGTCAGAAATAATAATGATAAAGGTCTTTTTTTATTGTATTTAAGATTCTGCAATTGTGTAAACATGTGCAAATGCTCTACACGCACTACATTTCTGAGTCATTCCTTCCTTACCATCAGTACTGGGTTCATAGGGATATGCATCTTCCTTCAAGCAGTTCGACCTCCTAATTATAGTCTTCATCTTCTTCATGATCGAGGATCGAGGGTAATCTCTGGAAAAGTAGAAACAGAAGGCGCTGGTTAGGCTGGGGGTTATATTAGTCATATCCGAGCTTATGAACATACCAATATATCTATATTTTTTTACACCAAAACGGCCGCGCAGACAAAATCCTAAATGCCAGGACACCACGGCTGCTGTGGGGATCCCAAAGAAATTTTGTTAATCCGATCTTTGAACTGCCTGAGGTTAGAAGAACTGGGAAAAGCTTCCTCTAGTAGACTGCTCCACAACCCCGGGACAAAGACACGTTCATATCGGCGAGCTATGGATGCACGAAGTTCGTCACCGTTAGGACGAGAGGCCGAGGTCAGACAGGTCTGTCTGGCAGGTACATCGCGCGGCGGCATCATGGAGGAGAGTTCTGAGGAGCAAAGCCCGTTGGTGTAGCGGTAGAAGAGAGCTAAATCGCCGACGGCCCGCCGGTGCGAAAGGGTACCGAGACTGTCTGTTAGAGAAGAGTCATCGATCTGTCGGACAGTATCGCGCATAAATAATGTAGTCAGGGGACAGCACCCCCAAACGAGTGAGCAATACTCGAGGCTAGGTCATATCTGGGCCTTATATACAGTGAGAAGGTCATGCAGAGAAAAGCACTTCTTAGCCCGCCTAAACAAATATAGCCCAGCTTCTTCCCAGCAGCTGCCGCTATTGACGAGATGCGTTCGTGCCAGATAGATCGTCATCGGTGATCTGGACTCCGACCAGTCGAAATGAACGGCTCTTTCGCCGAACTCGGCCATCCATCGAAACCAGATGAGCACTAGGACCCTTTTTGTTCATCAAGGTACAGTACTGGGGTTTGGAAGCATTAAACTGTACAAGATTGTTGCGCCCCCAAGAAGTGATAATCCCCAGGTCTCCCGTCAGAGAGAAAGTAGCTGCTAGTCTTCTTTTTTCCAGCTGACCGGCAGAGATCAGCTCGTCGCTCTAAATTTCTGCATGTAGTGTGCTGTCATCAGCAAAGCTGTGGATTTGGTTGATCGTACAGGAAAGGAGGTCGTTGATATATAAGAGTAACAGTGTCGGAGCCAAGACCGGGGACCACTCGCGTTGACGTTGCGGGATGAAAAGGAGAGCCCGTCAATTATGAGGAGATGCGAAAGATCTGGAGCAAGCTCCACTGCACACCTCTTCAATACACCGACATGAATACAAACCTGACCAGAAGACTTGTTGATGTCGAACGACAAAAGCACCCGTCTTACGGTCTAATGTTTGAATGTTACTTCCCGCCATAGTGTAGGGAACGCTTCGAATCGACGGCACTCGGGCGTTGGGGGGTCGTCCATCGTGGAGTTGGCAGCAAAGATCCTGACAAGTACTTCCGCCTTGGCCTTTGAGACGGTTATAATGGTCCAATCCTGGTGGAAGGCTACTCTGTGGGAAGTTCCGTTCAATCTGCTTGGCCAACGTCCAGAAAGACGCGTACCGCTGCGTTATAATTGTTTCTGGATTCGACGACGCCGTCGGCTTGTCTGTTCTCTACAGTGGGGTTTAGTAGGGTCCTGTGTGCCTTGATCTGCTGTCGGGTGGGGTCGCACGATTTGTTGAACCAGCCATTGGACCCTGGTTTAGGCACTTTCACTGTACGAGGGATGTATTCCTCCCTCCCAACGTTTATAATTTCGGACATATCTCCAAGGAACATTGGAGGTTTCCAGAGTTGTTGTGCTCTTATTTTGCTCCTTCTCCTTGTTATGACTTTCCTTTTTCCGATGTTGAGCAGTAACAGGACAAATTATCCATTATCGAAATAAGAAAGCTACAGAGAATAGGGAGAGCTTATTTCAAAAGTTTTTTTGCCTTATCCAGCGCTGTTGCCGGAATTGGTACAGCTGGATAAGCATAACTGAAATAATTTCCGGTTATAAAAGCATATTTTTTAAATATAATATAATATGTATGAGTTTTGGATCACATATATAAATAAATGCAAGAAATAGGTATGTAATAAATTGAATTGTCCTGATTTGTATTATACATGCAATGTGGCAAGGCAACCTTTTATTGTAGTTCTGCTGGTTTTGTGTTCCCTTTCCTTCTGTGGTTCTATGATTCTTGTCCGGTTTGGACACAAATAATACTGAAACTTTTCTGTTAGGTTTTACAATCTTGCGGTTAGCTTGGGGTCAACATCGAAAAAACAGTGTCATGACTGTCAGTAGTGACATTAATAATAATAATAGACGTCTTTATTTATCCACAATTACATTGTAGTATAGCCAAATGTCAGACTTATATGGCGAAGTTTAGCATGCTGCTACTCTTACACTTAACCATATAGTCTCTAGCAGATGTTCAAAAGAATACACTATCCACAAACAGATTTGGTTCATTACATCGAAAGTAAAATTTAAAAAAAGAGAAAAAGGCATACTTTCCAAACCCAAATGCACCAAAAAATTATTAATCTGAATTAAAGATGGAATAAAAAAGAAATGAATGATTACGTAAATTATATGTATGGAGGGTTGAGTAATAATGTTGTTAACTTTTTGTCCAAAGAAAGATAATATAAAATTCTTTATATACTTTAGGAAGTTCATTATAAATAATAGCAACATTGTAAGAAAAACTGCGTTTAAAAAGTGTAGACGTATGCAGGGGTATTCTAATATTATTTTCTCTGAGAGTTCTACAGTGAACATCATTATTAAATGAATTTTTTTCCTTCAAGTAATAAGGTTTTGACGTGAGCAGCAATTTGTGAACAAAAACTGAATAGTGATACTTGACTGTGTCATTATTTTTTAACCAGTTTAGAACGGGATATTTCGCTAATACATGATCAAATTTACGTAAGCCAAAAATGAATCGTATACAATTGTTTTGAATAACTTGAATTACGTTTTTAGTGAAATTGTCTAAACAACTATAGTATACGATATTACAATAATTTAGTATAGATATGACCAATGCTTCACATAGTTTTTTACGCAACTTAAAATTTAGTAAATACCTGTTTGCTATAAGAGTGCACAGCCGTAGTGTAAACACACAGTGCACGCGAGATTCTCGCTTACCGGTAGTCGAAGCAGATTGGCGCCTGTTTCTCGCGCCGAGATAGCACAGAGTGGATGCCGGTAAAAGCGAGGAAAATCATTTTAAAAACTCGCTAGTCGCGTTCTTTATCTATTCGCAGCAACATGTCGTCTTCTGATGATGATCTGATTGCTTTAGAGTCGATTTCTACCAAAGTAAGAAGGAAAAGGGTTGGAATACATTCTATTAATCGTGAAAGAATAACTTATGGGGAATACCATCATTTATTTCCAAGCTTGAAGAAAGATGATAAAAGATTCTTCCAGTATATGAGAATGAGCCAGGACACATTCAATTATATTTTGGAGAAAGTTGGGAATCGTCTAACCAAAAATTGGTGTAATCTGCATAAGCAACCTATATTACCAGAAGAAAGGCTTGTTATAACTTTAAGGTAAGTTTTCTCGTGAAAAAATAATCAGAATCATTTTCAAAGTATCATACTCATTCAGTAATGGCCTGTTGCGCCAGCACTAGTTCTACTTAACTTGAGATTAGACGTAAAATTAGTTCAATTTGTAGATTTCTGTTGCACAGGCTTAACTTGAACTGTGAGTTTTGTGAGTTTAAACATCGTTTTAGTCTGAGGGTTTGTTTATACGTTTGTTTTTTGGTCGATTTCCTGCCTCGTGATCGAATCTTTTCTCTAAACGTGAATCAATTGCAGCGTAAAATGAAATAACAGTTAGATACTTACAAATATTGTTTTATTGATTTTATCAGTTGTACAATAATATTGAGTCATGGATGGATACCATTTTCTGGTAATGATAAAGATACATAAGTTGTATTTTGCTGTTGGTTATTATCAAGGAGCCTAGAAACAGTAGCGGGAAGACTTTGAAACATGACTGATGGTTGGTTTAAGGGAATGGACGAATGCGTAGTTTCTTGTATGTTATGATAGTTGGGAGAAGGCGCGCAGCTATTCTGATCTATGTTATAAGGAGAAGGCGCACTACAATGGGATGATGCAGAAGATGACAGATGAGAAAAGGTGTTATGTTGGTAGGAAAATTGATCCACTAATTCTTGCACGCGGGAACGGAAACATAATATTCTGTTTGCAGGTATTTGCCTTACATGTGGAAGCAAACTTTTGAAAAATGACATATGCTCGTCATCTTGATCACTGCAACCTCTTTTGGCCTTATTTTCGAGATATTCCACTTTGCGTTTTTCTATTTCCAGCATTGATTCTTGATATGCATCGGTAGCAGTTCTCCTTTTTCTCTGTGCCGTAATGGATGCTGAGGTAGGATTCGTTTTCCTTGAAATAGGAGTAGGCGGTACCACGCAACCTTCACTTTCTCGAGAAGACTCTTCATTATCGCTATTCTCGTTCGAAGATTGAATTTCTTCTGTCTCCTGTGTGGACTGAGCTGACTGCATCATCGATAAATTGCCGCTGGCTGCCCTCGGTTTGATCACGTCCTTCAGGAAAAGAAGTTGTGTGAAATACGGCCATTTGGATGTAGGAAGATCTTCGGCAGCGTCTCCAGACCTTGGCGGGGGGAGTTTTCCTAATTCAACGGAGAACTGGTCCCGCAAATACTTCCATTGCTTTCTGATCTTGGCCTCTAAAAAATAAAAATAGAATACTTCTAGGTATCTACAACTTTCTTCATGAGAGTCACAATCACAGTTTACAAAATTAAGCCCAATTGTAATGAAGTCATGAGTATTTTTTTGACTTTTATCCTGATTTAATTACAGATATCTAGCAACTGGATCATCATTCAAACAAATTGGATTTTCGTTTAGACTTGGCGCTTCAACCGTAGGACAAATAGTTCAAGAAACAGTTTGTATAATATGGGATGTACTACAGCCTATTCATATGCCAACTCCGAAGAAACAAGATTTTCAAAGGATATCAGAAGAATTTAATAATATTTGGAATTTTCCACACTGTATTGGAGCCATTGACGGCAAACACGTTCGCATTGTTTGTCCTAAAAATTCAGGATCAATGTTTTATAACTATAAGCACTATTTTTCTGTTGTTGTACAGGGCGTAGCGGACGCTAATTACAAATTTATTGTTGTAGAAATTGGCGGTTACGGTAAACAAAGTGACGGCGGTACATTTCAGGCCTCCGAACTATATCGTCAATTAAAAAATGGCACACTAGCAATTCCGGAACCATGCAATTTTCCGCAAACAAAAACCAAGGCGCCTTTTGTACTAATAAGTGACGAGGCATATCCACTCCTGCCTTTCCTCTTGAAACCTTTTGGTGGAAGAAATTTGAGTATTGAGGAGGAATGTTTTAATAAACGCCTATCTCGTGCTAGAAAAACCATAGAATGTACATTTGGTATGATCACTGCAAAATGGCGTATACTTTCAAAATGTATTGAAACCAATATTACGACAGCTGACAATATTATTAAATGTATTTGCATTCTACATAACACAATTATTGATAAGGAAGGTTTCGAAAGACATCTTAGTGAAGTATCTGTCGAAAATTGCACAGAAACTACAGGTAAAAAAGCGACGGGAAGACCTCTGAATGACGCTAAAAATATTCGCGATATTTTTGTAACATATTTTGCTCACAATACTTTGTCACACAAAACCTAGATTAAGCTTTTCAAATAATACTGCAATATAATGTAAATAATATTACTACAAATACACCTAGGTACTTACCATCCTGTTTTATTTCAATGCTTATTTCCTTCCAGTATCTGTCAACCACATTGCGATTGCTATGTAGCTTATCCCTCTTGTTCCAAATAGCTGTTCTTTCAAACACCGCAGCAATAAGCAATTCTTTATCCATCACAATATACTACTCACTCGCGCGACAAAAGCCGAAATACACTAAATTTTGAATACCGTGAGCGCCTGCGAGCAGGTTATCCGCGCGGACCTGCTGCAACCTGTTTTCACTGTGTGTACGTTCATATGAATACACGTGATAATTCTTAAAGCGATAAACGCGAGATGGCGCAGGTTACCGGTAAGCGAGAATCTCGCGTGCACTGTGTTCTTACACGTAGGTAGGTTCACTTTTTTTCGTCGACATTCCTTATTTGCTGTCGCTGACAAAAAAAACCTAACAAAACGTATAAAAATTCGTTATTTTGGTTGCACTAAAAACACTATAATGACCGAATAGCCGTCCAAACGCGAAGAAGTTACCTTTATATCAAATCTGACTTTTTCATCATCTTTTTATATTTCATTAATGGTGCGCTAATAATTGTCACTCAATGTTGCGAAGTGTAGTAACTTTCTCTAGGAAAAAAGCACCTTTTTTATTTGAGTACAACATTGATGGTATTTTTATTTTGGTACGTCATTTAACCACTAAAGATCTGGGAGTATAATAAGATTCGAGAATCAGTGTCTTTAATCATATTCATAATGAAATCACTGAAACATACAAAATGTGTGGATTCATCGTAAAAAAATTGACAATTATTTAATAGTAAAGCAGCATTGAAATGTCTATGTTTTCCTTTTGTATGGTCTATAAACTTGAGTACTGTTCGAATGACTGGAACCCATACTAGTGTCACAAGACTGCATAAACGACAAAGGAAGTTTGTGTGTTTAAAAAGCACCACATACATCCAGAACAAAGAACCGAGTATAGTCTTTTGTTAAAACTTTTTGACATTGGCAGTTTGGAGCCCAGGCGGACACTATCACATCCCTTTCTAGATTGATGTATGATGTTGACTGTCCAGATCTTTATCGCGTATTAAATTCAAATTTCATGTTGAAATCACCATTTTTAAAAATGTGTTCATATTATAAGATATCGCAGCATGTAGACATATTTAACTGTGGACTCAAGAAACTAAAGTGTGCTTCTAAGAATATGTTTCGCAATACCCGTGGATAGCACAGTTTTTTTATTTTATATATGTATTTTAATTGCTCTGTAAAGCTCTGACCCCCCAAGCAAGCGCCGCCTAGCGTCAGCAAAATCGAACATCGCTGCCACTGGGAGGAAGCTTTCTTTATTCTGCAGTTTTTGTTTATTGTGAAGTGACGGGCAAACGCTTCAAGGCATCAAAAAAAAACAAAATATCCTATGAAAAACGTTGCATATCATTTTATTTGTAAATAAAAAATATATTAGTCATAATACTTAGGACATTACAACTAGTTAACCTATCAAATTACTCAATATACATAAATCAAACATTTATTCCAACATCCAACCAAAATCTACACTCGTATGTTCTACAGGTACGAACAGAGCTTCAGTTGAGAAGAATTAAAACTGGATAGCAAACAAGCTAAGACCTCTACTTTACGTAGATAAAAAACGGATACAGCTATAATAACAGAATTTTTCAGTTAGTGACTATAAGGTGCAGTTTGCAGAGACATTATGGTTAAAAAAAATTCAATATCGAACTGAAAATTATCTTATGATAATAAACTAAATTGTGTAATCTCCCGCGTAGAACACTAAAAGCTAATCAGCTACGGGATAACTTAAAGATTTCACAAATAACGTGTTCACTCAAAAAAGTTATCCTCTAGCTCAGTAGCTTCTTGGGAAATTACACAATTTAGTTAAGCAACGAAATGTGAATTATCAGTTCAAAATACTAATCTTTTCTAACCGCAATTGCCCTGCGAAACCCCGTCTTAAGCTTCTACCCGTCCAGTTCTAATGTCCATCTGTTTATATCAAAAAATCGTGACACCAGAAAATATCAACAGTTCAGCTTGGGAACACTAGAATCGAAATTAAATACATGCCAGAGCCGCTTTCCAGTGCCTCCTTTGTGTTACTCGGAGTAACTCTTAACTGCCCACCTGTCGATAACGTTCCACTGCTCTAGTGTCATGTACCTACGCGATTCATTATTGAAATCCCCTGCCCCCACATGCAATAGGTTTTAATTCGGTGTTATATTCTCCAAAATAGTGGGGATAACGAAAATGACAATGTGTCAATATTATTAGTTTGTTTTTTCGACATTTTTGTATTAACCTCTAATTAAAACATTAACTTGATATTAGATAATGGAGGCTAAAAAAACTGGTATGACCACAGTCAGAACATACATTTGAAATGTTCCTAAGTAATGAAGATTATGAAAGAGCGCAAGAAGGCAAGTTCATAGCAGCTTGTAGATGGCTTCATCTATAACTAGACATTTTGAAAATAATTTTGAATGTCTACATTTAAATATGAATTCGACTCATTTACAAAGAAGCTTTACAATAAAAATTCAGATTTGTGATGTATTGTGCTCATCATTCTAAAATCATCATCAGGCATCAATTGGATAGTCTGTGTAAAAAGTAATTCAATAAATAAAATATATCAAATGAATGAAACAAAACCAATTACAACATTGAAATGTTCAGCTCCTCAAACACTTGTTACCGTCGATTTGCAACCGTATGATTATGTAAGAAACCAAACTGCATAATACAAATTTACGAATTTTAAAGACTTTAAGGCTTATACAGCATTTTTTTACAATAAAGTACCTTTTGCTAAATTAGCAGCTCTAAATTTCACACTGTCGTTTTTTCAATTGAGTTATTAAACGTCCAATGCAGAAGAAACATGGATAACAGTTGCTCTGAGACCTGTTAATATAACTAGATCAGGGGCATTAGCAATAATGGTTCTTCCAAAACCTGCAGAAGCCAAAAATTACCTGCCTGCCGAGAAGGTGGCAGCCATTAAAGCAATGATGAGGCACATGCCACAAGTGGATTGTGAATATTATAACGCAATTCTCAATATATATATATATCTTTACAACATGCTGCCGCGGCATTACGGATTTATGCGGATCGGTTTCCCAATCGAGTGCAACCAACCCCTCGTGCCTTTGTTAATGTAGTACCATGGGCTCGTGAATCAGGTGACTTAAGACCTCACAGGGGAGAGCATGCCGGTGCTCCAAGACCGCACGATCAAATACAGGTCCGCACTGAAATACTTGTCGGGAGGATACTTTATAAAACAAGGTAACATTTTTTTTTTATTTTTACACACATATTTTGGTTTATCTTCCTTCTACAATCATTATCTGAAAATTAATGACTCAACTTCAAAGTCACCCTGTATATATATATATATACATATTTCTAATAATCTTAAATCATTATTGTTTTGTGAAAATATCACAATTAAGATTAAAACACTTTGGCTACTGTGTGTGCCAAAACGGGTACACACATGATATTCACGAGAAACTGCGAGCCCATATATGGCCACAAGAAGTCGTATCGTTTTATTAGCTGTGTACACTCAATGGTCACGATCTCTCTGCATTTAAATGCAGATAACAGTTAGTTCAGTTTGTCAGTAAATCGCATTGTCATCAAAGACAAATATATTTCTTTGGTAATGTCATTTACGTGTCATGTGCGCATAGCTTGTTTACATTGGGTAACAGTGTGAATTGTTTTGCTAATTTAATCTGATCAAGTGTGTTTCAATTTTAACACCAGAATGTCGCAAAAAAAATAACTCAGGCTGAATTACAGTATTATGTAGACAATATGAGTGACATTAAATATGAATATAGTGAGGATAAAGATGATTCAGTGACTGATCCAAAGTATGAAGGATCGTCGTTATCTTCGTAGTCTGATGTTGAAAATTAAAGTGACAGAAAAAAGCAAAAGATTGAACTTCAACCTAGTCAAGATTGTGATCGATCCGAATCCAATAATTTAGTATTTAGAGATTTAATTTTTTGGGATTTTTTTAGGAAATTTGAAGACATTTCCATTTACAGAAAATCCAGCATTTTCTCAAATTTTTCTTTCAAATAGAGGAGGCAACGATCCGATTGATTTTTATAAATTATTTGTTAACCACAATGTTTTGACACTTATTGTACAAGAAACTTATATATACGCCGAGCAGAAAATAACAGGAATTGCTAATGAATTGACACAATGGATGAATACAGATGAATGTGGATTTCTTGTCTTTTTGGGAATACTAATGTGGATGGGGTTAGATACTCTAAAAGATTATTTTAGTAACAATATTTTATATAAAATAGTGTGGGAAATACGTAGGAATGTCACGAATCAGGTTTGAACTTCTTCTTGCTAATATCCACTTCCCAGATGATGAAATTGTTGACAATAATGATAACAGACTTAAAAAAAGGCACCTTTAGAGGCACTGATAATCAAAAACTTTCAAAGCGCATGCCCCTGTCAAAAATCGACGAAACGATAATTCCTTTCCGAGGCCGACTTAGTTTTCGGCAATATATTCCAGGAAAACGCCATAAGTATGGAATTAAATTATTCAAACTATGTAGTGAACAAGGCTATACTTGTAATATAAAAACTTATGCTGGAAAAGAAGAAACTCCAAAGGAGACAACACTTGGAACTAGAGTAGTATTACAACTCATGGAACCACTTTTGTACACGGGTCGCATCCTTTGTACAGATTTCTAAACTAGTTTAAGTTTAGCACATGAGCTCCTTGACAAAAATACCCATTTACTAGGTACTCTTAGAAAGCAGAGAAAGTACAATCGCAATGTTATAACGCATGCAAAGCTTAAAAAAGGAGATTTGGTGGTAAAAGAAAGCAACAGTAAAGTCATAGCAGCAAAATGGAAGGATAAAAGAGACTACGATGGACACTTACGTGCTGACGCCTAGTCCGATTCGGCCGACTAGTCGCGCACCTGCGCCGTGAATGTTGTGATGGCAGCTGCACGTAATTCTCGTTTTTATGGTATGTAACCTATTTTTTAACATTATGTGCTGATTTTTGTGGGAATATATATTTGTTATTGTTTGATAGATAAATTTAAACAGCCTTTTAATAATTAAAATTTTAAATAACCTTTGTATTAGCCTAAATTATTTGCGTCCATTTAAATGGACATTGGGTCTATCTCACGGATATTTTTAATTTATTCAGCAATTTTTGGCAACAAAAGAGTGCTTAGGCCAGGGAAAGATGACGAAAAATTGGAGCAAATACTACAACTCATTGCAAACGATGATTCTGACGTTGAAATGTCTGATGATGAAAATGAAAATATGGATAATTTAGTAGAGAGAGAAGACGAAATAATTGATGAAGAACTGCAGAGCAGCAGTGACGAGGAAGAACAGGACAGAATTCCTCTTAGTGTCCTTAGAGAAAAGTTAAGAACGGCCAAAGAAACTTCCAATCCTTCGCAGCGACAGTTTTGGAGAAGAAATGATATTTTACACCTCCAAATTTTGAAGGTCCCTCTAGTGAATGCAGCGCACAGCTTCGCGATGGTTGGACTGCAAAATCGTATTTAGCCATGTACTTAGAAGATGATATGTTCCAAAAAGTATGTGATAGCACAAATGGAAGGCATGTTGAACTTAAAGGAGTATCCCTTAGATTGACACTTAATGAGATTAAAAATTTCTTTGGAATAGTTTATTTAATGTCCTGCCTAAAATATCCTAGAATCAGAATGTACTGGGGAAAACCCACGCGGGTTGCAGCTATTGCGGATGTTATGACTCGAGATAGGTTTTTTTCTATAAAAAGTAACCTCAAAGTAACGCAGGTCTGACAAATTTTGAAAAGTGCGTCCGATTTTAGAAGCAGTATTGCAGGGGTGTTGGCAGCTACCCAGAGAGAAAGTAGTCGCTGTGGATGAGCAGATGATACTATTCACAGGATCTTGTCAAATGAAGCAGTTCGTTAGGGGAAAACCCAATCCAGAGGGATTGAAAAATGTTGTTGTTGCTGCTCCTGGTGGTCTTGTCCTAGACTTTGAACTATATCAAGGCAAAAATACGTTTCCAGATGATTCTGTAAAACGACTTGGTGTTGGACTTCTGCTGTTGCTCGTCTTGGAAGAACATTATTTCCTGGAACTCATGTGTATTGCGATAGATATTTTACGACAATACCACTTCTTGAATATCTTCGCCAACAAAAAAATATTGTACTACGATTATGAAATCTCGTGTACCAACGGCAGCACATTTAACTTCAGACAAAATGATGACCAAGATAGGTAGAGGTAGCTCGGAACAAATTGTAAGGCAAGATGGCGAAATAGTGGTTGTACAATGGTATGACCTAAAATCTGTACTTTTGGCATCTACTGGTCTAGGAATTCAACCTAGCATTTTTGTATAGGTGAAGACCCAATGTCCATTTTAATGGACGTCATCGTATCTTTCAAAATAAGAAAAAAAAATAAAAAATATTAGTAAAAAATGTTTGTTTATGTATTTTCTGTTATATTTGAAAGCATCACAACTCTAACTTAAGACATAGATAAGCATGTCCAAATTTTCAAACCGCTATAGTGAAAAGTTTACTTCTTCGCACTTAAAACTTTGTAATTCCAAGCAAACGATACTTTCAACGTCAAATACCCTCTACAGAATCCCGCGCGAAGCCGCGAACTACCTGCGACCCATGAGTGTGGAACCCATTCGCGTATTCTTCGCGGCTTCACGTCGCGTTCGCGCGTCGTTCCCGTTTGCTGTCGGTTTTTCGTCCGCGACAAAGGGTTCGCAAGGCGCGAACATATTGCGAACATGACTAGGCTCCTCATTCGCTGGTGGCTCAGTTGCCTCATAGCGAGTGACGGCAGTGGTTGTGTTTTTCTTTACGGATACGAATTTTCGATTTGTCGTGAAAAATGAGTTTTAACTGGAGTAACCAATTGGAACTATCATTTTTGGAATATTTTCGTGCTGAACCGGTACTGTGAGACACTAAGATAAAAGACTATAGGAATAAATTTAAAACTCATGATGCATGGATGCGGATAAGCTCAGTGATGGAAATCCCAGTGGATGAATTGAGAAAGAAAAAAGATTCTTTAATGTCAAGTTATAGGAGTTATAAGAACAAAGTCAAAAAGTCTATTCAATCGGGAGCTGGTGCCGATGATATATCAGCCTATTTGGTTCGCTTATGAAACTATGGATGAGTTTTTGGGAGGTACCCTCAAGTGTAAAAATAATGTTGACACGGTAAGTGAGCTATATGTTTTATTAATAAAGTACTTAAACATTACTTAGATATTTGGTGAATTCGTTTCTTATTTCTGTGGCATCTTTTGGTGATCGCCGAGCTACGTTCCTCAAGTTACGGATAGCACAAGTTTTTTCTTGTTCTTTCCTCCATGATCCAGGTTGTATCATCATCATAAATGTCAATAAATCCGGGTGGTGTATAGATACACGAAGAAGTGGAGCTTCGTCTCAAGAAATTATGTAGTAATATACAAGTCATTGTTATAAGGGTAGCTTTTTCTGGTTGTAATGGAATCGGCTTTCTAAACACTCTAAATCGGGCAGTCATCATACCAAAAGTATTTTCCACCACCACTCGAGCTGAAGATAATCTCTTGTTAAATTCACGTTTTTCTGATCCTATGTTGTGCTGACCAGGATACGGCTTCATTAAGTGTTCTGAAAGTGCAAAGGCTCCATCTCCCAAAAAAATGTAGGGAACATCAATATTTGAACCGGGCAAAGGATGTGGCGGTGGTAAATTTAAGCTATTCATGCATATCTTGTTCCATAACAAAGTATTGGTGAAAACTCCACCGTCACTTATTATGCCTTGGCAGCCAATGTCAGCAAATATGAAGTTGTACTGACTATCAACTAATGCCAATAATACTATACTGTAGGTTCTTTTATAATTATAGTATTCAGAGCCAGAATTGAACGGACAGTCGAGAACAATATGTTTGCCATCTATTGATCCTATTGCTCGAGGAAACTTCCTTGCAAATCCTTTCTCAATACAAAGCCATTCTTCCGGACAAGACGGTATCTGCAAAAAAGAAAACATAAAACCTTCGTCTGACACCACAAAGTGATAGAAACTCTTCTATATATATATAACCTTCATGAAATTGTATGTTTTTTTTTAGGAACGCGGGTTGGAGGAGACTCAAGGAGCAAATTCCGAACCAACTGAAGAGATACTTGAAGAGACGAATGAAAATCAAAGTCAGTCTATGGACACCCAAAGAGACGGCAATCAGACAATCCGCCGACGCCAAAACCCTTCGGAGCTGATTCATGCTGGAAATATTGTTAAAGATGCTCTTGCCACATTCAAATCCGCGGTAAACAGAAATGAATCATCAAACCATCTTAGCCATGATTGCGATTTATATGGCAAATTATTGGCAAATAAGTTGCGAAAGCTATCTGAAATTAATAGATTAAAGTTTATGCACGACAGTGACGGCATGTACCTACGATACCAATTGGAGGAGACGCCGTCCCTGCAAACTCCATCGCCAACATATCCCAGCATCGCCCACAACTTTAATGTGCAAACAGCATTCGACTTGACTTAAATCACATGAAAAACATTGAATGTACGGCTAAATTTGCCCGTATCTTGATATCAATTTATATTTTTGATCTGATGTCAGATGCATATGTTATATTTATATTAGCCACTGGTATTCGGTACTCACATATTTTTAGATATAACCAGTCGTGTTAGATTTAAGATTATTGTATTACATACGTGTGTTTTCAATATACTTAAACAAATTTTCATTAAAAAAATATTTTCTTCTATACTTACTCTTATTTCATCCTTCAATGCCTGACATAGGGCTAGACAAACTTCTGGAATAATTTCTGATATTATTTGTGGTGATATTTTGAACAAAAAATGAAGGCTTTCATAGCTATCTCCTGTGGCTAAGTATCGCAATGTTATAGCAAGATGTATCTGGGCAGGAATAGCTTTTCTTAATTGGGTGTCTTGTTTTGAAATTTGGGATGAAATTTGATTTAGTAAGTATTCAAAATCATTTAACGACATCCGGGAAAACTTTTTGAATTCACCGGAAGGTTCAGCAACTAATTCATCTATTTGCTTCTCCATAACAGCACTGTAACAAAAGGCAAAGACTAAAAATAAGGTAGAGGTCAAGTTATCGAGTATCAGCCCTTGTAGTACATGATAAGTGAGTGCAGCATGAGCAGAATATTTCACTTTTCAAGCCTTCATCACAACTGTCATTTTATACAGCTAAAAGTGAAATACTTTAGTATCTGCGATGGCAGTAAATATAAGACACTGAGCTGCGTGCGACCATTATTATCTTGATATTAATTACCTGGTTCTATTTCGGTGGATGGTGGTGATCCACCATCTTCGTTTTCTCCACTTCTTTTTAATTGTTTTTCTTTTACTTATATCGGCGTAATTATAAATTGCCAAAGCGCAAAGTAGCCCAGCAGCAGCAGTAGCAATTTCACCGTCCATACTCGTCTCAAGCGCGAACTATACTGTGAAGCAGGCGCGAACATCTGCGAGTGTGGAACTGTAGAACACTTTTCGGGTTTCGCACCGCGATTCGCGCCGTGATCCACGCGGGAGTGTGGAGAGGGTAAAAGCAAAACATTAAAAAACAGGTTAGGTTTTTATCCTTGCGTTCCCGTGCATATTTGTTAGAGCAGTTCCGGAGCGTCACACTCCGGGTGCATACAACTATCAATTCAAAAGCACTGGAAAGCGGCTCTCATACGTGTGGAAAAAACGTTTTAGGCCAGCAAGCTTTTGCAAGACTAAAATTACAAACCACATTTCAGGAATTTATTATAACAGTTGGTGCTGTCAGTCAGATATAAAAACAAATTTAATGTTAAATAGAAATAACCATCAAGTGTTTCACAATGTTCATAAACATAGAGAATGAAGGCTCATAACACATGACTCTTAAAACTGCAACTATTTGAACATACTTTAAAGCTTTATAAAGAGCTGTTAAATTTTCTTAGCTGCATGTTCACCCAAATTATAAAAAAAGCATCATGTAAATGGTTTAAATGGGATGTTTGATCGCCAGTAGACAGTTGGAATGCATAACACAAGAAATTATGTGAAAACCAGAAATTGTGTATGCGTTAAATTGTCGTGTCTTTAATTTCCATCTGTCCCTTGAACAACCTGTGTACAACACAATATTAAATCATATAAATGATCTTTTTTTGACTCAATATACGCAACTTTTAGCGGATCAAGTAGTAATACTCGTAGAAAGTTTCCTGTAATAATGGAGATTTTCTGTTGGAACCAACTTAAAACAATATATGCAATACGGATATAAATTCGCGCCAATCTGGCGAAGAGCCTTTAGAAATGCTCAAAATTACAGGTGCTGCATGGCGACAAGTACTTTGTCTTACGAGTTCAATATCAAGAAAAAATACATTTGCATGATATAAGAGAATTTGAACAAATGAAACATTTTTTAAAAAGTGCTCACCCATTCCCAGTACATTGTATTAATCCGCAAAAAATATTTCCAACATTGTCGCACCCACACTACAGCTTCGTTATCGATCCCAAAATTAACTCAAGCATTGATTAGCATATACTAACTACCTGAAGATAGCCAATGACTATTAAATATTATTATTGAATATATAATAGTGAGTGGACAATATCCGATTAGTCTAATCATATTAGACGAGAACACCCCTGGTTTGAGAAATAATTGCAAAGTCTCGTTTTATTACTACAAGTTGTTCAAGGGGGTATTCAAAACATGGACGCATAAAATGGGCACACCAATTTTTGTGGAAAAACTTTTTAATTGACAACAAAGAATGAGAAAACATTTTTTTAGGATTCAATTGAAGGTGTTGGCAAGAAAGGAAAAACACTTCATATAAGAGTTTTGGCACTTGGTAATGCAACGATGGTTTCTCGCAGATAATTGAAATTCTTCAAATTCATAGGATTCTTACTTCAAAAGAACCACAACAAAGTTGGAGTAGATTGATCAAGCAGTTTTTGAGAATTTCCTATTGTATGTCCCAAAACACCTGTTTTCCGGCCATCACTACTAGTTTATTGAGCAATATACAGGGTTCATTCAAAGAGCATTTAATAGCAAAATACACTTGTAAGTTCACCTTGCCGATATGAATCGCAAACCATTTCGGAAGATAAATGTTATTTTTATGCAAGAAAAGGGTGGGTTAGGTTTTTTCTTCTAAACAAATTCAATCATTTCGTATTTGTGCGTAAAGCGCAATAAAAGATGATAGACATCCTCTTCGTTTTAAAATGTGTATAGTAACGTATGTTTTTCGAATATCGTAGCGCATTTGTTCAATTACTCACAAATACGAAATGTTTGAATTTGTAACATAACATTTTTGCTATTAGTCGGATCTTTTTGTGTGGTCTCATAAATACCTAAAAATCTTATATGAAAAGTTTTGGCGTTCCTGTCAAAACTTTCAATTAAATCCCAAAAAACACGTTTTCTCATTCTTTGTTGTCAATTAAAAAGTTTTCCCACAAAAATTGGTGTACCCATTTTATACGTCCATGTTTTAAATACCTCCTTGGACAACTTGCAACAGACTTTACAATTATTTCGGGGAAATTTGCTAATATGATTAGACAAGATGCAACTATCCATATTATGAAACAAAAGTCATGATTAAATATTACATTGTGCAAAGAAGAAATGAATGTTGCCATCGGACCATCCCTGTATCTAGACGGAATTCAATTTGCGTTATCGATGGAGCATTTGAAGTATTTTAGCTTAGCCGATTCCAAATGTAAGCCACCCGTTTAATAAAAAAATTCTGTTGTTTGGCACACCTTTCCTTATATAATTTATGTTGATGCACCATAAGTTGATGATGAGTCGATAAATTGAAGATGTGTATGTGACATGTATAATGTCCTTTTATTATCTTAAATGTTTCTATGAGGTTCCCCTGCAGTCTTCTCCATGCTAAAGTTTGAAGCTTGTTGCACTCGTTCCTTAATATCTTTTAACTACATTGCATTTGTATATGATAAAGCAACTATCTAGAAGTATTTTATAGAAAAAATGAACAAAGTATAACCTTATTTGTACATGCAGCTAAAGACCACAGATGAAAAGTTTAGGTATTTTAAATTTAAGAAAAAATTCAATATCTCAAAAACAGTGACACTTTTATATAGGTAAGTTTTTGTTATTTGCGAGGTCAGTCCAAAGACTACCTTCTTCTCAAGTTTGTCGTGGTACTTATTGGCGTATATGGCGCTAGGATATTCAGACCCTTTTTGGCGTCTCTATAATGCCTATTTTAAGTAAAGGCAATTCAGCAAGTGTTAAAAAACGGCAATCAAAACAATGTTTCTTACATTTTCAGATGGGATAAATTAATCAATTCTTGAAGATACCCAATTGAAACAGACATTAGGGAGGCGTCAAAAGGGTTTGAAGATTCAAGCGCCATCTATGAGACAGTGGCAGAACTAAACATTAACTCTTTTTAAAGTAGATGTCTAAATGGTGCTAGTATCTTTCAGGTCCCTTTGTGGACGCCGGGATACAGTACATAGCTGGCTCTCTTCAGGTAGGTATGAATTAATCAATGATACTCAAATGATTCCAACAGCACCCATATACGTCAGACCTGACTCCGCACAGTTTACACACTCACTCGCACTCACAATTAATTCTGTATCACACAACATCACTACTTCTTTGACGACGGTAACAGCAATTGAGCGGCTGTCATCGCGTCAGGGAACAACGAATGGTAGTTCAGCAACGGCACGTAAGCAGCCGTGATCACCCTTCCGGCGAACCATCGGCCGTGTAGCGTGTTTACAGATGCCACCGCAGTGGCGATCGAAGGGCACTTCACGTACACGTTGCCTTGCGGACTGCCCTTGTCGACGTACACGTGCAGCACACCGCCGTGCTTGTTGCATTCCTCTATTACGTCGTCGCGGATCTCGATGTCCCAGTTCGCGTTCGATTCCCTGGAAGAAATTCATATATTTACAAATCGTGCTGTTTAGATGCGATATGCAATCTTCAGTCTAATTCACTGTTCTCGCCAAAATCATGCCGACACCCAGAAATTCGTACTGAAGTGACAAATTTCTCTGCTATCAAAAACTGAAGAGATTACTTTTCTTCCATCATTTAAGGAAATATTTAAATATATTTTCTTCATTCACTCTTAGGACAGGAAAGAATGGCATGTTTGAATGGCAGAAAATAACGCTTGTAAAGGGTGTCTAACAAAAGCGCCGGATTTGAATTTGCCGCCATTTTTTTGTACAAATGGTGTTTACTTGATAACAGCTTTCATGTCCAGACCACGCGATTAGGCGTCATGGGGCAGTATTCAAACGAGCACCGTTTAATTATAGGGAAAACAAAAATGGAGAACATTACGCGGAAATAGCAAATTACGTAAAATTTTGGGTCGGAATAATGCGCCAAATGAGTCGACAGATCGCCGTTTAATTACAAATTTGAGAAAAAATTCACGTTGCAGAATGTGAAGACCACTGTTCGTCGCCGTCCTGGTCGGTTACTCGAAAATGTAGTCGCAGTGCGAGAAAGTGTGGCCGAGAATCCAGGCATTTCCATTCGGAATCGTGGCCAAGAATTGAACCTTAACAGACCCACTCTGCAACGAATTTTGGAAAAAGATCTGTGCTTTCATACGTACAAGGTCCAACTGATGCAAGAACTCAAGCCAACGGACCATGCACAGCCGTGAATTCGTTGATTGGGAGCACCACCAAATTTGGGGTTCTGAAAACCTTCGTGTAATAATCGAACAACCAATGCATCCGCCGCGAGTTACCGTTTCCTCGAAAATGCTGGAACTGCGGTAACTGTTAATGGTGTGCGGTATCGCGAAATGTTAACCTAGTTTTTGTGGCCCAGTTGGATCGAATTGATGTGAGGATATGTTCTTCCATCAAGACGGTACGACCTGCCAGACAGCACGCGAAACAATGGTCTTACTGCGGACCAAGTTTCCAGACCGTGTTATCTCTCGGTTTGGCGATCAAAATTGGCCAGCAAGATCGTGCGATCTAAATCCAATGAACTTCTTCCTCTGGGGGCTTATGACGGAACAGTTGTATGCGAACAAGCCAGAAACAGTTGAACGCCTTAAAGAAAAGATACGGCGACGAAATACAGCCACAGAGCGAAAAAGTTATCCAGAATTTCAAGAAAAGACTGACCCTGTGCCAGAAGTTTCGCGCATGTTTAATCGCAACTATTCCTCTTCATGTTGAAATATAGGTCATCCCTTAATTCGAACAGAAATTGTGTTTTTCTTGAAAATCAAATCCGGCGCTCTTATTGAGGCATCCATATATGAGCTGCAAATGGCATGACTGAATGACAGGAAAGAACGCTCTCGCTCTTAGAAAATTATTGGTGATGTAAATGCATACTTACGTGACCGGGTCAAACATATTGCTCAACATAAAACACTGGGTGGCAATTGGTGGGGCTGCTTGTTGTTGCACCTGCGGAAGAACAACTGGCTGTCCTGTGGCTATACTCAAGGCATTGGCAGCAGCTGGGGGTACCTGAAAATAAAAACACATTAGGCAAAACGAAGGTGAGACAGAAAAGACGTTAAAATACATTTCTAACGTGCCTCAGGCTGAGGTGGTACACGGAAACCAATGCACAAGATGTAGCTGAACTACTACACAATTCGTACCGCCTATACACTTTAATGGGCAGGGACAGGTTTAGCAGAAGTCATGAGATTTCAATATAAAAGATTGTTTTCTAGCCTTTTTAGTTTTTGGCCAAGTTGCCGTAAGAAGTATGACACGCATCTACACACCTACTAAATATTATGAGTTTTAGATCTCGGATAAAAATAAATTCTGTGATCTAAACAGATTGAATTGTCGTGATTTTGAATGTAAAACCTGAAACTTATCCCGTGGTTTTATGCTAGTAGGACTCCATGGTAGTCTGGTTGCTTGATGAAGTCACATTTGCTTAAATTACTTTTTTACTGACGACGTTTCTGCCATCACGGTGGCGTATTGACAATGACAATATATTTTGTTGTATCTGTCTTCCAGGTGACAGCCACATACGTCCGACACGTCTCTACCACGAGTTCGTAAAATGTTCACTGACAAATTGATCTCCAGGAGAGATGACATGAATTGGCCTACATGCGGTCCTGTTTTATCTCTTATAGACTTTTTTCTGTGATATTTTCTCAAATCTAAAGTTTACACCACGAAGTGACAGCCATCACAGTTTGTGTACTTTAAACTTAATGAACGCATTTTCGGTTGATGGCTTATTTTTTTGCAGACGGTCCTCTAAATATAAACAAAAAAAACTTGCTGAACGTCTCTCTATTGTTGTATTGCTAATAAAGACATTTATTATTATTATTATTAAATATAAAGTTTCTTTTAGGACACACTCTGTACTTAAGAATACACTACTCAAAAAAATTAAGTGAGCAAGAAAAAAATCCAAATTATTCGGTGATTCGGTTGACTGTATTTCGGTGAAAAATGGTCCCATATAGACTCTAAAAAAAGCAATTTGAAACTTCAAGTTTCTAATTTTCAGGTTTTTTTGCCGATAAATTTTAGGAGTGGTTCTCATGCAATTCTAACAGATAGCACAAGATAAGTTTTTTGTCAAACTTTTGCGTTCTTTTTAGTCCACGTTCTTGATTTTTTTTCTGTTGGGTCATCTCATGGATCAGATAGTCCGTTTATTCAGCTTCCTTACAATGTTTTTAAAATGTCGGTACGATCATTTGGCGCGGATATATCTGACTGAATGAAAAAAGATCCTTTTGTCATCGACCACTGATGTCTCGGTAAGAAGTCACACAGAGAATGTAAGGGTATTACCGAAAACTGCAATAAATCTTCTGTAAGATTTGATTGCAATGTTTGACGAATTTTGTTTTTGTGTCCTTAGAGTTGATTTTAAAACAGTCAAAGAAGTTACTTTGTGCTTTGTTTTGGAAAATCGACCGCATTTTTAGAACAGCTAATGAAAAGGCTAATGCTTTTAGGTGTTTTTATACCTCAACTGCATCCCTAATAATCTTGCATGACGGCAGATCGATTCATTGTTTGGTTTCTCCGGACCGATTGGTCAAAATTTCAAAACAATCAAATTAGCAACATTTTTGTATCAAAACAACTTGTAATCTGCTTGAAAATAAAACAATTATTTTTCTTCTGATGTCACAATTGGATATCTGTAACATCTTCAAACTAAAAAAATGTTATTCTTTTATTCATGGAATATTCCAAAAAAACAAAAATACTGACCAGGGGCGGATCTAGAATATATTTTTTGGGGGTCTCAAAGGCGGATTTAGGAATTTGTCGGTCCGGAAAAACCGTACGGTGCTTTCCACGAGTATGCATTACGGTAGAATAACAGCTGATTATCTAGTGATATGTCAAAACTCCCCTTATCGACAAGTGACAGATAATTCTGTGGGATCCGTGAACGTCAGGTACAGATGTGTATTTTGTTGTTTTTTGATTATCTAGTGATATGTCAAAACTCCCCTTATCGACAAGTGACAGATCATTCTGTGGGATCCGTGAACGTCAGGTACAGATGTGTATTTTGTTGTTTTTTTTTGTAAGCTTCAGATTCATTTTGTACTTGCTAACAACTCTTTTATTTAGAAAAGTCGTATATAAAAAACGCTACAAGCAAAATGGCTGCTCAAGAACATGACTACATTACAAGTCAGACAGGAATAAAATAAGATAAATGGTTTACGACTATGTTAATCATCTCCAACTTTTTTTGATAGAGGTTTGATTCCCTTAATTAGGTATGAACATTACTCAGACAATTCGTTATAATTAGAAAAATGTAAGTAAAATGTACAACTATTGCAGGAAGTCATGAAATATACTCAACAACGACAATGTAGTGAATGTCGTATCTGTAACTATTCAATTTGCTGGTTGATATAATGTGCAAAATCAATTCCTTTTACATCAGTGGTGTTTTAAACAAGCTGTATTCATTATTAATTTTTATGATACGTGCTGCACATACTTAACCTGTATTTGAATTACGTTACACTGACGACGAGCAATGAACCAGAAACACGTGTCTATATTATTTTTACAGGTAAAATTACAGCTGCTAGAAAGGACAGCGCAGCCTGTTCTATTGACTTACCTTGTGATCAGTAAGTCCCAGATGTACTATAATAATTTCCGAATAAACATTTTTATCTGTACTTCGTACATTATCAAAATCCCCAATCAAAAGTATAATCCGGATATGGGAGCAACAGCTCTGAATACGTTCCTGAAATAATCATTTCCGATATTACAGATTAATACAAAGATATTGCTTTTGTGTGTTTGTGTCGAAGTATAAAAAAACCTAAAACATTAACCTTGTCATTAGCAGCCCCAATTTATGTCTAAAAACTGAAAAGGTAAAGCAAGTTGCGCCTCGCGAGAATATTTTTATTCCGAATGAACGCGCCGCGTGACTATTGCCGTGGCCGTGGTCGACTCCTGGGCCCTGGCCGACTCAATTTCCTAAACACACGCACGGATACACATACAGCGGGAACACGTGGTAGGCTAAACGTTCCACGCCAATTTGTTTAATTACTTGACTGCATATATACGATCGGTTTGTATCGTTCCAAAATGTACGAGCACAACAATTACAATCCCTAATAAACATTTTTTCTACGTACCCTCACATGAAAATATCAGAAAAAAATGGTGCAAACTTATGAAGCGTGACTTGATTGGACCAAAAAGTACAACATACATGTATGTCCACTTTGATATGAGTATAGATAGTTTATTTCTGAATATAAGTTATTATATGATTTCCAAGCTCATTTCACTGTACACGCGGTATTTGGCGGGGAAATATTTATCAACTAATATTACAGATCACTTATTTCAACTCAGCGAGAATAGCTGTGAGCTAATTTAATGTCATTTACCCCCGTAAAAAGGCGTCAAGTAGATTGACTCTGTACTGCACCATGTGCAATGTTATATATTTTAATGAGATTTTAGAAAAATAACACCTCTATCAAATTAGTTTACTTCAAATTTCGACTTTGAATGCCTTTTTGAATACAGAATTGATTGAGAATGATACTGAAAATCTGATAAAATATAAATTAGTAGGTGGAGGATTGAAGCTGAAAACCGGAGTAAAGCCTCATAGTTTGACTGTAAAAAAGGTGTGCGGCCTTCAAGTGCCGTATCGTCAGTCGTTCCTACAATTGTAGGACGCCTTTATGGCCTCCTTGATTGTCATAGTCTTTTCACTTTTTCAGAAATTTCTAGATTTGGCCTGTTCCGTGTCACCGCCCTCCTACTGTGAAGTTATGTTTTCTTTTTGAATTGTAGGAAATTTCAGGCTGATAAAACAGATGATGTAAAACAAAAGCATGAACAGTTTGATGCAAATAGACATTTGTGACATAACCTCAAAATAGAGTGCTGACATGGAAAAGTAGAAAACTGACGATACGGCCCTAAGAGAATGAGGAGCATATGAGAAAAGTCTTCGCGCAGAATGCTTAGACGACTTGTTAAAGAAGGATGTTCCCTCCACCTCAAGTTGGCAACCAGTCGAATTCATTCACTGTGACTGAACTTACCAAGAATCGAAAGCACTGAAGAACCACTGCTTGAAGATTATACTGCATATGTAGCAGGTGATTATGATAAAAATTAATCACCAAAAAGTGTCAGCATGAAGGTTAAGCAAAAGAGACAATCGGTGCAAACAGCAACGAGAAAGAAAAAGGTAAATGACAAAAAAATGAGTGTGTGATCACTGTCGACTCATCACCCGAAAATTCTTCAAAACAATCATCATCTTCTCTAGATAGCTTTAGTTCGGTTAGTACTAACTTAAATACAAGTACATCTCAATATTGCAAAGATACAGTAACGAAAATATCTACAAATGCTGGTTTTTATTTGGGTTTACCAGAAGACGTTTACTTTCTAGTAAAACCTTTATCTGAAAGCGTGGCTAATCCGGTGAGAGATATGTTGATGTCACTGAAGAAAATTCGTCTGAATGATTCTTATGTACGTCTGGCTATAGATTTCCAAATGAGCAAAAGCTTTATTAGTAAAATATCTAATAAAACGACTCCACTAATAGCCAATCGAATGAAACAATTAATTTTTTTTCTGAATAGAAACAATGCAACCACATCAAATATTTGGTACCTATCACACTTGATGGGCTCATCAATTTTATTGCGGAGAGTTACGGATGAAGGTCAAGTGAGACACAATATTTGAGGATTGTCACCTATTGCAACATCTACAGCCGGGATGTTCTGTTATGGCTGATACAGGATTAAAACATGTATCGAAGTTACTAGAAGCTAGAGGATGTCATATGGTAAGAACTCCAAGCGTTGCCGCTGACAAAGCTAGCTCGGAATTGGAAATAATGGAAACAAAACGTATAGCAGCCCTACGTATAAATGTCGAGCGTACAATAGGTAGATTAAGAAATTTTTCGATGGTAGCACCTTACGCAGTACTCAATAGTTATCAACTGGAAACCAGGTGGCCGAGCCCACAGGTGTGTCTTATGAATTGTCTATAGACTAATGACTAAACGCGCAGACACTGTCGGGCACCGACGTGGCGCTCGGCACTACTGCGCGAACTGACGGCAGCAATGATTTCGCGCCAAATTTAAGTATTAATTTCTCTGTCATTTATTGACCGATTTCAATAATCTGGTTGATTATATTTCATCTATATTTTGCTGGTGTCATTACTTATGCGATTCTAAACATCACGAAACTTTGCATGGGAATCCTTGCTCCTGAGATTTTTCTGCTAAGAGACCTGAAAACTAGAAACTTGAAGCTTCTAAATGCTTTTTTCAAGTCTAGACCACGTTTCACCAAAATACAGCTTTTCAAAAATCAACGAAAAATTTGAGTTTTTTCTTTGTTCCCTGAATTTTTGTGAGTAGTGTATATATAAATTACCTTTGATCGATAATGATGAAAATAAAATGAAAAATCCCTTACCTGCATGCCAGCTCCTTCAGCTAGTTTGAACATCAACTGTAACCGACCGGTGGCTCCCAGGTCGATGCCCGACCTGTCCAATTCGTCCGAGTCCAATAAAGACGGTCCTTGTTGTTGCAAGTCCAACCGTTCCGTCACGTTACCCACCTTCATTGGCCTGCCGGCCAACTCGAACCCGTTCAACTGTTCAAGGGCTTTCTTTGCATCGTCACAGTTACGAAACTGCAATAGGAACGGTTACGGTTTATTGTACAGATTAAATGTCCGATAGGGTCATTGATTAACGTATTCAACCTGTGGATAGATACCCAGCCATATATCGCATTCCGTCAGATTTCTAAATTCAGTTTTGTGGATTGCTACTGTCTGATAGATGATGCTAGAATCTTTCAGGTCCCTTTTTAGACGCCGGAATGCAGATATGGTTGGCTATCTTCAGGTAGAATATGTTAACCAGCAATAGAGCACATTTATGTCATTTCACAATAAAACTCTGAAGAAATATTTTGCTGCAACTTCCACAGCACACACTATCTGATCACAGGTTGGAAGAGTTTCATCAAGTAAGAGCACCTACAATCTGCATAATTAAATGCATAGTCGTAGCATTTTTCTTCTAATTCATCAAAAACAGTTAAAATTCGAAATGGCGATATTGTAAAAAACGTTTTTAAGCGCCTTTTTTTACTTTCCATGTCAACTGGCGAGGAAGTATTGTAGTAGTGAAAAAATTCGAAAAAGAGATATGCTTTTAGGATGTTACATGACATGTACATCACGAAAAAACCATGTCCCACATGTCCATCAGTCTGCCTGTCTATCCACTAATCATTGGCCCCTTAATCGCTGAAACTTCGGTTCTGGACTTTGTTGGTTTTGTGCGGTGCCATCTTAAAATGGGAATGATGGGTTCGCGCAATCTCAACATGCTACAGGACCTTTCAGACAAGTGTAGTAAAACTCTGTATAGAAATGTGAAAACAAATAGAAAGAACGTGTCACCTGGAAGAAGGTAAATAAAATATATTGTCAAAAAAGAGGAAATTCAAACATATGTGGTTAATTCGGCCAGAGAAACATGTGGATTATAGTGTTTTTGACGTTCCTGAGGCTTCAAATAATTTTCAAAAAAAAAATTGTAGTGGTTAAATTGGGGTTTGGTGTTTGTAAACGGGGGGGAAGAGCATGTCTCGATTTCTTAGTGTTAACATATTTCACTTATCATAGATTTCCCCGTAAAAGTATCCCTTAAAAAAGAATGATAGAGAAATATTTCCAACACACGCATTATCTGCGACGCGTTTTTCCCGATGCAGTGGTAACATGATCCATGTTCAGGGGGGGATTGGATTGAGAATGATGTTCGTAGTTAACATTTTTTCTCAGAGGGGATAAGTTGTGTTAAACATAATCCTTTATGATTAATGATAACATTGTGTGGGAAGTGCATAGTCAACCTACTTGACGTCATTTTTTACATAGTGCCAAAGTGAAAATATGTGCATTGTAATTTACGAACGCACCAACTTATCTAAACCTTCCAAGCACCCCTTTTGTGGGCATAAAATTTCTTTATCTATTTATACATTCACCGGACAAGCCCAATTTTGCAGTTTTATTAAATTTAAATTAATATGGTAACAGATTAATAAGATATGTTTAAAATTAATGTCCACATAAATAAACATATCCAAAGTATTAAGAGTAAAATGCAATCAGAAACAACATATATATAAAAGGTTAGGAAAATTTTGTTAAGGTTCGTTTCAGGGAATAAGGGATATATGAAAAATATCGCCCTCAAATTTGTTTGCATTTTTCGACATATTATTTATTGGCGAGTGTTCACCATATAGAGTGCGATGTTAAGCAAGTTTGAATGAATTCTGGCCTCTTATTGTCCTATTAGGAACATTAAAATCTATCAAGCCCCAAGAATTCTGGACTATTTATTAGTCCGGCAATAATTTTGTGACACAAAAGGGGGTCAAAATGTTCTCTACACTTGACCAGACTATTGAGTTTTAGGTCAGATTCCATATCCCTCTAGTTTATGCAGTCCTTGGGAATGTTTATTTTTAGAAGCTATAACATATACAGGGTGGCGCATCGAAATCGAAAATTTACTTATTTTTTTTGAAAAACGCTCAGACCCGTCGATTCGAGGGGACACAAGTTTGGCAAAAAATCACGTCAGCACGTGCAGCTCCCTAAGCGGGCGTGACACCACCCCCAAAATCTTAAATGGAAAGAGGGGTCGAGTGATACCTTATTTTAAAGGTCTTTTAATTCCGTTTATATTGATATAAAATTAATGTACTTCGATTCAGTAGTTTTGAAGATTTATTGATTTAAAGCTTAAATAAAACTAATACATCATCATTAGTGGAGATTAATACATTTGGCAGCAAGGTAATTTAAAAATGAAGAATGAACTGACCCGTTAGGCAAGTAAATGTTGAAAATGGCCACCATGACTCTCCATGCAATAATAAAGATTTTGCTCAAAACGTTGCCGCACATTTTGCAATAGTTGAGGAGTAATTTGAAGGCACTCATTCACAATTCTTTGTCGCAGGTCTTCTAATGGTGTTGGCTGAGTAGCATAGATTTTGCTTTTTAAATGACCCCACGTAAAGAAATCCAAAGGTGATAAACCTGGCGATCTTGGGGGCCATTCAATGGCACCTCTTCTACCAATCCATCGATCTGGAAACGTCTGATCTAAATATTGTCGAACACGTAATGCGTAATGTGGTGGGGCACCATCCTTTTGGAACATCAACCTATTCGCAATGTACCGCCGATCATTCTGATTTTCAATTATGGCTGTTAATGCAGGATCTATGGCGTCTTCCAGTAATTCCAAATACATTTTGCCGGCAAATTTTCAGGTAAGAAAAAAGGACCAACTAAATGATCGCCTAAAATACCAGCCCAAACATTTAATTTTTGTAGCTGCTCTGCATGAACCTCATGATAAATTCTGGGATTAGAATCGGACCAATATCGGCAGTTACGACGATTCACTACGCCATTTAAGAAAAAGGAACATTCGTCGGAAAAGCAAGTGTTGAATAGAAGATGTTCATCGTTTATAATTTGTTCACTCATATCTTCACAAAATTGTAATCGCCGATCAAAATCGTCTTCATTAAGTTCTTGAACCAGGTGAATTTTATACGGATGAAAACTATGGGCCTTTAGAATCCGTTGGACAGTACGTCGACTAACACCACACACAGTCTCCAATTTGCGGGTACTTAACGTAGGATTCACATAAACTTGTCCTAAAACCCCCACTTCTATTGCTTCGTTCCTTATGGGATTTTCAATGTTGCGTTTTTTATTGGCGACTGACCCAGTTTCCCGATATTTAGCTACAAGTTCTAGAACATATTTTCGATGCACGTTACTGTTCTCATGTCGCTCATTAAATATTTCTGCTGTTCTATTAGCGCACTGATTATTTCCGCGAAATATATCGACAATTTCAACTCTTTCTGCTATGGAATATACCATGGTTAATTTATGTAATAAAGCGATACAAGTTATTTTAGCAACAAAGTTTGGTCAAATCAATCGCAAACTATGTACTAAATTCCTATTTAAAACAAGTACGAGATATTTTCTTATCTTTCTTCAAGAAATAACTTTTTTTTCCACATCATTATAAAGACCTTTAAAATAAGGTATCACTCGACCCCCATTTCCATTTAAGATTTTAGGGTTGGTGTCACCCCCGCCCATGGGGCTGCACGTGTTAACGTGATTTTTTGAAAAACTTGTGTCTCCCTCGAAAACAAAATCGACGGGTCTGAGCGTTTTTCCAAAAAGCGCTGACAGTAAATGCGCCTGTTTCGTTTTCGATGCGCCACCCTGTATTTAATAAATTTTCTTTAAATAGAATTCAATTCATCAATGTGGACTTGATAGTAGGGGTTCCAGACACTAATAGACCCTTCTATATCAGATCTGACAAGAGATGTATATAATAGTTCTAAGAGAAAAACGTCTACGAAGTCTCTAGTATTTCTCTGTATGAAACCCAACATTCCCAAAGCCTTCCTGCAGCAACTCTATATGCTGAGCAAAGGTTAACTTTGAATCAAAAATTACTCCCAGATCCCTAATCGACTTAACATTTTTTAAGATAGCCCTATCGACAGTATTTTCTGATATGGTTAAAGATTTGGATAATTGAATACACATACATTTATCTATATTAACATAAAGCTTATTACTCTCACACCAATAATACATCACTAATATCGCAAAATATTTTTAAATCATCAGCATATAAAATAAAATTAGAGTAGTATAAAAACAATCACATATCATTCATATATAGATTAAAAAGCAGTGGTGCAAGATGTGCTCCATGTGAACTCCAGAAGACACAAAAATAGCATCAGACAAATAATCATTCACCCTGACAACTTGCTTCTATCACTTAGGAAATATTTTAAACATTCAAGTAGGGACCCCTGCATGCCAAGTTTTGAGAGTTTACTGAAAATAATGCTGTGATTGAGCTCATCAAAAGCTTTTGAAAAATCTGTATAAATTGAGTCTACCACATAATCGCGTTCTAAACATTCCGATATAAACTGAGTATAAAATGATTGGTCTTGGACTATAATAATTATAAACGTAATTAAAGTATACTCACTGTAATGAAGCCATATCCTTTAGACCTCCCTGTTTCCGGATCCATAATCAACTGGATGTTCTCAATCTTACCAAATGGCTCAAAAATACCCCTGAGCATATCTTCAGTGATGTTGAAATGCAGCGATCCAACGTACAATCGCATTGGTCCAGTCATGCCTTTGGGCATCATCATGGGCATCGAATTTCCCATTCGATTCTTCTCAGCTTGAGTGTGCTGCACTATGATGGGAATGCCCAGCAATTTTTGGCCAGATAGACCTAGCGCCTGGAAAGAGAAAACCAAATATCATTAGCATCAAAACCACATGCGTTGAAAAAATCTTTATTGTAAACGTTTCTGTTACTTCTCTTCATTTTCATATTTCTAAACAGTATGTTACTACAATAGTGTGAAAAAGGCCCTGTAACATGCTGAGATTGCTAGGAGTCCTCATTCCAAATATTGAGATGGCACCACGCAAAACCAGCATAGCCCAGGACCGCCTAGGGTAGGCATTCCTGTTCCCAAAAAAGCCAGCCAACCCTCCAAAAGGACAAGTGAGCATGAGGTTATATCATCCCTTCTGTTTTTAATGTACCAGATAGTCATCCTAGTCCATCGTCCCAAAGACGCCAAAAATAGATAACCTCATATTTACTGGTCGTTTTGGAGAAGTGGACGTCCGGACGTCCTCTTTTGGGAACGGTCCTCGGTTATGCTGGTTTTAATAATGATAATAATCTATATTTCAAATTGTACAATGACAATACAGAAATTGTATAGCCACTACACACTCACACACATGAAATGTTACGTCAATGACACCACTATAGTAGTTCACTTCAGACCTTTTTCCATGTATAACAGTTATATATCTCCAGTAGCGGACAAAACTTTGGAAACAAATATTAACATTATTATGAACTATTCCATATATCTAAATTAAAATTGTGAAGGAACAGATAATATAAATATTAAAGTCTACGTTTGGCTCCGCTTATCTTATCAATATTCAAATTCGCTGAAAATAAAAACACGCGTTTTTTAAATACCACAGTTTTTGTAACGACAAAAGTATGGAAAAATTTCAGTTGTGCCATATTTATTCGTTCTGCGATACTCATATTGCGTGCGGTAAATGTTATCATCAGTAAGAATGGCAAAAGTAAAAGAATTTTGAAAAGATTTAAGTGACAAAGTAATTTAATTAGAAATGTTGAAATTTCTCAAAATAAAAGATGGGGATTTCGAAAATTATTAGTAAATATCAAGAATACGGACCAAAAGCAATGCGGCCCAGGTGCAGAAGACCGAAAAAAACAGATTATGTTTTGAATAGCTGCATTAAGCGTTTGTCCCATGAAGATTCTCGAATGCCAGCCATACAGGTTTTCAAAAGAATCGTAGAAGAGGGTGCCGAGAATCTTTCTGTCAGAACAGTGCAGAGACGCTTGGAAAAAATCGTATTGCTCGGCTTGAATTTGGTAAAACTCATCTAACTTGGACAGAACAACAATGGAATACAGTTTTATGGAGCGATGAAAGCAAATTTAACTTATTTGGATCTGTCGGTTCGGCATATGTGAGACGTCCAATACGAAAAAAAAAATTGGACAAAAAGTATAAGTTGCCAACAGTTAAGCACGGTGGAGGCAACATCATGGTTTGGGGCTGTTTTTCTAGTTCTGGAAAGGGCCCAATTGTTAAAATTGTTGGAGAAATTGATCAAAAACTTTACAAAGATATTCTTACTGAACACATGCTCCCTTTTGCTGAAGAAGAAATGCCTTTACGATGGACATTCCAGCAAGTTAATAACTCCAAGCATACAGGGTTTGTCCGGAAAGTAATAGGACTGAGTCGATTTAAAAAAATTTATTGAGCCAATCGTTACAATTCTTTAAAAACTTTCAAAATAGGCTCCTTCTGCGTCGATGCAGCGCTGCCAGCGCGATTTCCAAGCATTGAAGGCGTCACGGAAGGCATTGTCCGGAATAGCCTTGAGAGCCGCGGTGCATGCTGCTTGGATCCCCTCTGTCGTCTCAAAATGCTTGCCTTTCATCGGCCTTTTCAAACGAGGAAACAAAAAAAAAGTCCGGGGGGGGGGACTGACCCTTCGTTTGAGTCTCCTGAGCACTTCCACGTAATACTTGGCGTTGACGGTTTGTCCAGGAGGAACAAATTCATGGAGGACGATGCCTTTGATGTCAAAAAAGACAATGAGCATCATTTTCACTTTGGATTTGCTCATTCTTCCCTTTTTTTGGGCGAGGAGATTGCCTCTTTGTCTCGGGATCATGCTCAAAGATCCACGACTCATCACCTGTGATTACGTTATTCAAAAATTGGGGGTAACTTTCACACATGTTCAAATTTTCTTGGCACACTTCCACTCGTCGCAATTTCTGGTCGTCAGGGACCATCTTCGCGCATAACTTGCGCATGTTCAAATGCTGTGTCACAATGTCATGAACCAAAGATTTTGGTAAATTTAACATCTGGGCAATTAAACGATTACTTAGTCGACGGTCTGAGTTCAAAACTTTGCGCACACGAGTCACATTATCGGTGTTTGTCGAAGTCGAAGGTCTTCCAGCACGATCTTCATCAGCGACCTCTTCCCGGCCCTCCAAAAAGGCCTGGTGCCACCGAAACATACCACTTCTTGCTAAAGCAACACCTGGGTAAGCCTGCTTGATCATATCAAACGTCTCTGTCGCAGATTTACCGAGTTTCACACAGAATTTAATCGCGTACCTCTGCTCTAACGAACGCTGCATTTTCGGCTTGCACCACTCACGGAAACACGTCGCGCGAAAATGCCTGTCCTTACTCTCCAAGTGCTCGGAGATAACTGACCAGCCGCTCATTCGTTAGCTAGGAACGCCCTCTACCGAATCCAGTCGGTGCGCGCACGCTTCGAAGTACAGTCATGGCGGAAGAAAATGAGTCCTATTACTTTCCGGACAAACCCTGTACCTCAAAATTCGTAAACGACTGGTTAAGACTAAAAAATGTTAATGTTCTTATATGCTCTTCGCAATTCCCGGACCTAAACCCTATAGAACATCTCTGGGAGCATGTTAAAAGTCAACTGACAAGAAAAACTTTTAAAAATAGGAATGATTTATTTGGTTATGTAAAAAATATTTGGCAAAATATGACAACAGACAGCTGTAAAAAACTGGTGTCTTCTGTGAGCAGCAGATGTCAGGCAGTGTTAAATATGCTATGCTACCAAATATTAGCTAAACAGTGTTTTTTAAATCTTTTTGTAAAGTTATTGTATTTAATTGTAATAAAAAAAATACGTTTCCATACTTTTGTCGTCTCATTTTTGGTCATAAAACAATATGAAGATATTTTAATGCTAGTACCACAGCAAACAAAATTGCCATTTGTATCCTCAAGACTATAAGCCAACTATATTAGAACAAAAATAGTCCTTAAATAGTAAAGAATAAACAATTAGCGAACTTTTTAAAAATGACTAATAATGTTTCCAAAGTTTTCCGCTACTGTACAACTTGAAATTATTACAGCTCACATAGAACTCATCTATGGCATAAGGCTATGTCTGTATTAGAGACTACATATTGGTCTTTTTAAATTTGTGTAAGCTGTTTATGTTTTTAGTTTCATTTGGTAGATTATTTTGCACAGTGCCATCTTGAAATTTTGAATGATGGCTTTGCACAATCTCCGCATGTTATGGGACCTTTCACACAATTGTAGTTATACATCATATAGAGATATGAAACTGAACAGAAAAAACAAAGTTTCACCTGGAAGACTAATCAATGAAATATATTTTTAGTTTTGGTACTGAAAGACACTATTGTGACCAAAATACTTACTATAAAGATGTTTTTACAACACATATGGTTTTGATTGGCTGGAGAAATATTATGGATTATTAACATGAAAATCACAGGATAAGTTTCAGATGTGACAAATATCATTAGTTAGAAAAACGACGCACTATCAGGCTTAATTAACATATTCTACCACCCATATGCTGTATTCTGCCATCCAAAAAGAGATCTGAAAGCTAGTGATGCCATCTATGATACAGTAGCAGAAAGCAAGAATGATTTTAGAAATCTACTTTGAAAATAGTAAAGTGTATGTAACATGTAAAGGAACATGTCAGAATTAGAGGCAGATTGGCAAAAAAAAGGAAACAAAATATTTCTTACCAAAGCGACGCTTTCCGGATCCTTAAACTCTATGTAGGCAATGCCTTTAAATCGCCTGGTCTTGTTGCAAACGATCATTCTGACATCTCTGACTTTACCCACTGAACTGAAAAACTCTTCTAGGTCACGAGCTCGTATCCTTTGAGAGAGTTGCATCACAAACACGGTCCTGGCATCTCGTTCTTCAGGACTCAGTTCCTCTAAAGGAGATCCGCTGCGAATTCCCGGCGGCGGAGATCGACCTCTTTTCCTGGAAACATACACATTTCATGAAATAGTACTTAAGCTTGAAACGACCTTGACTTTGAGGTTAAGGTCACATTCGGGCGCAAATCTGCTTTTTCTATTTCCAGTATAAACATGAGAGGTTTCTTTGGTAGTTTTGACTTGACCTTGAAGGTCATGGTCAAGGTCACCTTTTGGTAATCCCGACAACTGCACTGACAAACATTTTTGCTAGAGAAAATTGTTTTAGATGTTTTGATTTCCTTGGGTTGACTTTGAAAATTATGGTCAAGGTCATGGCCAAAGTAGAGTTCAGGCGTAAAATTTGCTTGTCTGTTTAATTCCAATGTAAAAATTTTCACTTGACCTTGAAGCTCATAGTCAATGTCATTGTCAACTGTCGAACAATCATCGACACTTACTGATTTGTAATATTATTAGGGATTTAGCGACACCATAAAACATTACCCAAAACAACACACAAAAACATGAAGTGCTAAACAACACCGTATCATTAATTTGTTTGGATGACGCTATTCGACAGTCTGATAGTCTGAAATTCCTTATTGGGAAGAAACAATATTGAAAAACAGTACACCCGTGCGGCCTACACTTTAGTCTACAAACTTCGCCTTCGCCTCATCTAACACCGGCTCCACACGTTGGCCCCAACGTTGGTACCAACGTTGGTCGGTTAAGTTGGTGAAGCGTCCACACATTGGTCATTATACTAGTTCCTTTCTGTCAGAGCCAATGTGAAGATGTCCGACACCGAAATTGCTCTAAGCGCTTGGATGCGCCTGGTATAACTCTAAAAATTCTACAACTTTTTCGTTTGTCCACGCGGGTAGCGATGTTGTTGATGACATATCTCCACATACGCACTCGACGCGTGTTACAAGACTGAAACAGTGAGCCAATATGTGGACGGATTGCGAAGGTTGGCGCAGATTCCTTTGATAAAACCGACAATCGACAGCCAACTACCAACGGTCGCTCCAATGTTGGGGCCAACGCTATTTTCTAGATACACACGATGGGCGAGTGGCGTTGGGGCCAACGTATGGAGCCGGCGTAACAGTAACAAAAAAGTCACATACCCAAATGGCGGCTTAGAGACTGGGGGCGGCGTCGGTGATCTCCTTCTCGGTATGGGCAGTGGAGGACTAGCTCTCCTCGGTTCCCTGCTCTTGCTACTCCTCCGTTTGATGCTACTTCCTCTATCTCTATCTCTGCTTCGACTGCTCCTGCCTCCACGCCCCCTCTCTCGGCTTCTGCCTCGTACACGCGGGGGCGGCGATCTGCTGCTCGGCCTGCGTTTTCTGTCAGGCGACCGGCTGCTTGCGCGTTTCTTGTCTTTGTCGCGCTTCCTCTCCCTTGATCTGAAATCAATAGTGACACGCTTATTACGTAAGAAATACAGGTGGGGGGGCAAACATTTTGGCACCTATACGATAGCCATTCTTCAAGTAAAAACCGTTTTGTAATGGAGTCAGAGAAAGTTCATTTATAAACGTACGAGGATCTGTAAATCAAGTGATGAGACTGATTTTTTTTTTAATTCTATCATTCAGATATAATTAAAATTATATATTGTCATACTCAAAATAATTTCCTTCTGAAGACGATTCTTCCACTCCCCATAGCAGTGATGGAACTCTGATACTGCAAGCTGGTCAGTTACAGCCATTTGAATGTTTTTGACTATCCCAAAGTGGTTCCCTTGGTGTGATTTATTCAACTTCGCAAGGACTCAAGACAGGCGAATAAGAAGGCTGAGGAGCCGCTGGAATGTTTTTACTGGCTTTTTTATCCGTTTATTGTTGTTCTTGATCTGTAACTTTTCCCCAATCATTCTGACTGTCAACCTATGATCTGACCACCGAAAAACCTCTGCTCTTGACAAAACGCTCTCTGTAGGAAAGTTTATCAAGAGAAAACTGCTACGGACAATGACTAGAGCGAGTGCAAACCCTCCAAGCCCGGCGCCTCCAGAATTACAGACCTTGACCGGTTGTAATAGTTATTTACATATAGAACTACGTAAAATACCTGCTTCTTCTCGATCTGCTCGTACTCCTTCTTCTGCTGGTGCTCCTCCTTCTGCTGGTGCTTCTTCTTCCTTTGCTAACGCTCCGTTTTCCTCTGCTCAGGCTCCGTTTGCTTCTGCTGCCGCTCCTGCGACCGCCATTCTTGGGGCTGCCGCGGCGGGATGTCCTCGATCGGCTGCCGCTACGACTGCGGCTACGTTTCTTACTTCCGCTATTGACAACAGTGTAATTTAGATTCTATTTAAGTCATTTGTGGATTACTTACTATAGAAATTTCTACTTGGATCTCGACGTTATGGGAATGGTTGATTAACAAGGACAATTTTTAAAAAGTAAAATAAAAATAATGAAGATTCTGCTATCAGTAGAAATCTAGAGACACCTCGATATGTCAAACTCTATCAAGAAATTTCAGATGCAGCCCGTAAAATCGGAATTTTTTAATTTATTTTTTATTAAAATCCGCCATTTCTATTATGTGGAATTTTAAAACAGCCAGTGCTAAGACGAATCCAACGACACCATATATGTCAAAATCCATCAAACCATTCGGCATACAACCCAAGAAATAGATCTTCTTGGATACATAGATACCCACGCGTGAAACAGATATCTCTCCTTCTGAGGCAGTCGGGCAATAAAAATACGGGTTATTCTGAAGTTCTAACAACAACTACATTTTTAATGACAAAACTAATATCGAATTAAATAGCAGTGAAATAAAACAGATTGCACTTCCCAGGCAACGCTGACATCAGTTCATAAAAAATAAGGTTTTTGAAAAGTTACCTACGCATATGTATAACAAAAAATTAATTGGATCAATTCAGTAAAGCAGGCCATACAATTGGTCCATAATTCGCGCCCACTTGACACCCTTGCGCTACCGACTATCTGGCAACGTTGCCATGATTAACCCTAGGTTTTTTACAATATATATTTTTTTGAACAATTAACTATCTTGAATTAAAACGCACTATTTAAGAAAAAGGATGGATACATTATGTATAAACACAACTTCAATTATTTTACGAACCAATTGGACATACTATAATTAAGCAAGTTGTCCAGAGACGCCTGTGTTGAAAATATTCCTCTATCATTTTAGGTTTGAACTATTAATGTACCTAACAATACCCAACCTCCAACTTTTGACCACTACAATGTTTGTCTGATAATGACCAAAGTCTTCGAACCGAGAAAAAATTAAGTTTAAACGATTTTTATTGCTTCGTTTTTTATCCCTAACTCGTTTCCGCAAAACTGCCTGTATCCCCAGCTCATTATGAAAGATAAACATGAGCGGTGAAAAAAAACTCATAAAGATCTGCGTACACTTCGAAGTCTAGTAGTCAGTATTTCAAGAACACCCGCCGCAAATTGACGATATACATAGCAAGCAAGACTTCCAAAATTATCATCAAAACGCAAAATATGTAGATATGGTCAGCAATCGATAATGGCCTATAGACAACTGTTAAGAGCCTACTGTGAAATGCAAACATTAAGTAGTATTGTTTGCTCAGAATCAAAAAAAAGATCGTTCCTCAAACAGATCCGATTCCTCAAGGAACGTTTATAAATCTGACCCTAACAAAATTGCTTATTTATACTAGAACTACACGCTGTGGAACAGAACTTCCCAACTTTAAGAGCACCCCATGAGAAGAGCAATCTACATAAAGCGTCAAATTAAGGCCTCAATGAACGACTATGCGCTAGGACTTAAATAAGAATTTTTATCACAAAGTTAAGATATTTATAATGAAAAAAGGTTTGCTTACTCAGAAGAACGATGCCTGCTAACATCTCCATTCTCTCGATGCCTGCTGTTCAGCTCATCCTATGAACAGCCAAACAAGTGATGACCCGCAGGTGGGGGAAAAAAGAACGGCATTAATAACTTCGCTTATCAAATATAACCCTGTATCGCAACAGTAACAATTAACATTACAATACAACTCCTAGTTGACTAGAACAAATATTTACAATCATGGTTCATTCTCTACTATATCTTTGTTCTTGTACAGTTCATGATTGTAAATGTACATTGTGATTACAAAAATATGAGGTACATGTTTTCTTTCGTTTCATTTGTTGGGTCCATCGTCGGAAGGACATGGGGGGTTATGTGGCTGAAAATGATAGCGCTGTCTAGCCCGGAACTAGACTTACCGTGCTGCTGACTTAACAAATACCATGAAGCAGATTTACTTGAGCAGGAACAAAACTTCTGAAAAAATACACCCAATAAGACCTTCAACTTCATGTGTATCAACATTTCATTCTTAACTTTTCGTTTTTAATAAGGGTTTTGGCCAGTCTGTTTTTAGTGAACAAATGCATGTCTAGATGTCGCCTTCGTTGCTAGACTAAATGGAGCTTTGATATAAAGTTATTCAACACTGAAACAGTCTCATGTATATAATAACCTTTATCCAGTTTTTAAAGAGTCAAAGTATTCTTCTAAACATTGGATTGGGTCTTATTTCAAGGTATACTTCTTTCGAAAATACATCCGGAACTTGTCGCGTTGATAACACTAATGTGCTGACAGGTGAATTAATGAGTGAAAAAATTAGATGTATGCCAACAACTATTAAGATATCTAGAGAGGTGCTTTTAGAATCTTTCTTGGCAGAGCTAAGAATGACACACTTGTATAATATTGACACAAGTCTGGCTCAAGATTCAGACTCTGTATACATCAGTGACAAGTAGCAATAATGAAAGCCTTAGTTTGGTTTTGTATCTTGTTTTTACAATATACTAAACTGTGAAAGATTATATGCCTGACAGTTCCATAATCACCTACAGCACACTATCAGGGTCAACTACACACATACATAAAAAGCAGTAGAAATATTTCAAAAAACTGACTATGTTCTAATATCATCTCACTTTGAAAGATTTGTACGATAAAAATCTCGACCTGATCACTTGACCATATATCCACTTGGAATGTGTTGTCCATGCTAACTTAAAAAAATGCCGATGCACGGGCGACACTGCGACTCTATCCTTGCCACTTTGGGTTCAATTTAATGTCCTAGAGATCCAAAGTATCAGTGCTCAGAAGTATTATAGTCTGCATAAACCTATTAACTTAGTATCCGATCAGTGACACATAATGTGTGACACAGCATTTATCAAGGCCTAAAAGTCATAGAAATTAGCCCAAAGATTTATGATTTATGAAATGTCACAACGCGCTGAAGACGACATCAAGGCTGACAGCAAATGAAACAATATGTTTGCTACTAAATGCACAAACGATGACAATTTTTTTGGAACTATAACCGCAAAATTCTTATTTCATTTTAAGAAGAAACAGTGTGCAGTTTTCGAACATACATGCTATAGCTTATAAATAAAAGCAATATCAGAACAGGTCAACAGGTGCACATATAGTGAGGTTCAAATTTGGCTGACGTCGTAATATATATGAGAGACAAGTGTCCAATATGTATGTTAGAAAGATTACGCCGATGACGTCTGTGAAACAGGTACTTCTATCTCTTTCTAACACACATATTGCAACCTTCTCGCACAAATTACGAAGTTAGTGGTATTTGGTTTCAGTGTATGTTAAAGTTGATTTAAATAGAAAATTTTATAGCAAACATTAAATGATTTTGTACATGAGCTTCAAATTCCCAAAGTTGTGCAATGAGGACACAATAAATAAGAAACATGAGGAAATTACTTGAGATAGGTTATCATTTGCAAATTGTTTAGCTTAGTCCAATTCACAATGTGCACTGGTTTCAAAACTCTAGAATCTATAAGGACCAATAATATTGTCATGGAAATATGACAGATTGCAAAGAGGCAATCCAGAGGAAAACCCAAATATATAAATATACATATATCCTATTTAAATGACATTTACGCTGCATCACAACAAAAGAGCGTCAAAGTGCTCCATGGCAGCACGAAAATCTGGCAATCTAAAAGCTCTAATTAGGTGATAAAGTGTAAATAACATGTTATGTATATGTATATTTTACGATTCCCAGCCCACAACTATACTGAAAAGTACCATTACATGATCTTAAGTCAAATTACCAAAAAGTAGCTTAATAGGTCTGAAGAACTTTTGCGAACTCACAAAAAAACATTGAGTCTGCATTTTTATGTTAACACTGATAATAGAAATGATTATCAGAAATTCGTTTCTAATTTACCAAATATTTTAAGATCCATCACAAAGTTCCACATTGCAAAAATTCTCCCTAAATCAAATTAAAAAATATTGGTGATTTCAATAATGACCACAGCAGAGCCAAAACCCTATAAACCAGACGAATAGAGGTAAATCTGTTTAAAAAATTAATGTACTTTTTATTCTTTCACATTTTCCGAATCTCCACCTCAAGATTGAATATGTGCACTGATCTACCAATCGGGTGATTGGTATGAAGCTGTGTAGCATAGGTTGTGATTGGGGACGTCCTGTACCTCGGCAGCCCTATGACGAGAAAGCACCCATGAGCGTAAGGATATTGGTGGTATGCCGTAAATAGTTCTGACTCGATTACTTTGCCGATTGACATTTATGAAAAAAGTTACATTCATAAATAAAAATGAACCAGTGAAAAATAAAGATACATTGGTATTCTGTTATTCATAGCTCTAGCTCTGCATATGCAGATGTTCTCTTCATGTAACAATGTCTAAAATTTACTCTCTGCTTTAAATGAAATGTAGATCTGTAAACACGAGTATTTTGAGGAAAAGCAGGTTCTGCAAAATTTTATTAGAATTAGACTTGGGAATGATACAAAGCAGAACGAATTTTGAAAAAGTACTGATTGTTTAAGAGCTTTTTTATGAGGCCAAAACAATACTACATTTGCTAAAGACTGATGGGTTGCACGCAATACAATTTATTGCCAAAGACAATCAATTTCAACTTTTTTGCAAATTGGTATGATTAGAAATTAAAGTTATGACATTTGGAATGCAGGTAGTAGTGATATGAGAACCATTCTTATTTTCAGCATAACAGGCAGGTGAAATCTTAAATTGTAATTTAACTCCAAGTGTTTTTCCAAATTAAAAAATAGCACCCTATTAATTGAAAAAAGACAAATATAATCATATAACCAAATTAAATCATATATAAAGCAGTCAGATTGTGAGATTTGTATAATTTTTTATGAAGTATCTAATTTATATGTATAATTTCATGTTATATTGATTTGTTGGATGTTATTAAGAACTTTCTTACTTATTTTTTTTAATTGTGCGGTATTTTACTGATAAATATATGCTATGAAAGTAATGATCATCTCTTCTGTTATGGTCATAGTTCATTTTTTAATTGCCTATAAAATCAGCGGCTTTATTATCTGTCTTTTGCAACACTAGTTTTTGCTTTAGTTCTAGTTAAACTTTCATGTCAAACAGTTTACTAAGAAAGTCATAGCAATCCAGTTTATATATTTATAGGGGTCCAACCCCATTACATTACAAAAAATGTATATTTAAACATTTCTTGGATTTAGTCAAGTATCCCACAAAAAAAGGGATAACCATATACTTGAGGTAATTATTTGCATTGACTTTTACTTGTAGTATGTATTATTTGGGCAAAATGTCATATATAATGTGCATTAACTAAAAATATAGTTAGAAGCATAAGGGTCACAACCATAGAAACAATGACTTAGAAATAAATACTGCAATTAAAAAAAATATTGTTAATGTTCCTGACTAATTACACTATAAAAAATATGGCAAAAACTTTAGCTCTTGAAAATTTGATTTTGTTCAGACTCGAATAATAACAATAATTTATGGTTGATAACTGTTATGAGAATATTGATATACCTAACATTGGTTCTGAATGATATAATTCAATTTATTCAATAAAAATGCATTTTATACATAATGACTTTCAATGAGCTCCATCATATGTAATAACTGATCATAACAATGGCTACTTGTAATGTATTGATAGTTTAGTAGATCATATATTGGTAATGTCACAACCATACAAAATTGAATTTTTCAGTGTTCTATTAGTTTAAGCCTCCTGAGCTCCTCAAAGCTAGCAGTGTTTGAAATATTTTCCAAAGAATAAGGATTAAACCAAAATCATAACAGTACAATTTTTATTGTTATCAGTGAAAATAAGAATGGTTGTTGAATCGAGAATATGAATTGTAAAAATCAGACTCAATACATTAGTAATTTCTATTCAGAAATAACTGGCACAGCTGCTGAAGGAAGCCTCAGAACATGAGTATGGCCCCTTCATCCATAAGTTTGATGCTGCCAAGCAAGGAAAATAACCAATGCTTTTTATTGTTTCTATTTTCTTTCGGATATATTGATTTGCCTAGCAGCCTGATGTATACAGGGTATTTCCTAATTGAATGTTAATAATTAATGGGAACATTTTTTGTCCATTTTAAGAAGAAAATTTTTTACGAACATATGTCCTGGACATCTTAACTTTTGAGATACAGGGTGGTAAAGTTTTCAAGTGTAAATCATTTGGCACAACACTGTATAAAAAAATTGAAATTTGTATTAATTTATGATCTGAGATGATCTCTTAAAATTGTTTGTCCTATGCTGATTCTTCGCCTGAGAAAATAAAATGTATTTCTCTGCATGGTGATATTATCTTATTAACAATATTGTTAAGATGATGGAGAGAAATATTTTTTTGTAGCAAAAACCATGCATGAACTCATTGATTAACATATTCACCCTTAAGATAGATAGCCAACATAATGCTATATTCATGCAACCATAAATTATGAAGAGATACTGTAGAGTCATCTATGAAAATTTGTGACAGTTGTTTCTCTATTTACTATAAATACTTCTGCTCTTGTAGGCAGCATATTAGTCTGAGACACTAACCTTTACAAAGTAAGTATATAGAGTATAAAGAGCTGTGACAAATTTTCACAGATGACAGTACAGTATCCCATTTCATCTCAGGTCATTTATTGGACATATGAATATAGCATTAGGTTCACTACGTTCAGGTAGAACCATGTTAATCAATGATTGAAAAAAGTTATTGAATATGGTTGAAAATGATTGGGGGATTTGATGAATACTTTTTGATCTACATGAAATTAGTGGAATACTATCAATATTTGCCAAAGTACGCAGGTGAAATTCCAAATGAGCTCCACTGGTGTAAATAAAAAAAAAAGTACATTAATGTGCCTCTTGATTTATGTAATGCATGTATGGCGAACCATTAAAATATCTAAAGTGGTATTACAGTCCTTAATAATAAATGATTTATTATCCCCTTAAAATTTGACATTCAATTATGGAACCTATATACTCTGTGTTGCTACAGAGCAAATTGATGTATAATAGCTTTGAATAGGAAAGTTAGATCAAATTATTACTATGTGTGTAATAGTTTCAGTATCTACATTAGATGGATTACATGAAACTATTTTCATCCATTCTATTTTTCAAATAGATGAGAATAAGGTTAAGGAGATGGTACACTAAAGATAACCACATATTTAGGTGTTATTGTAGGATTAACATGTACACAATAATGCAATATGTAATTCTGCACATAAAACATCTTGGATGGAGCTCTTTTTATATGAAAATTTGTTTTACCAAAACACCATTTTCCTATGGATGCAAATTTTTACAGTACTGAATTCTGTTTTTAGTTTATTTGATCTTTATTATGTAGTTTTAGAAAATACTGTTTCAGTTACTGTTTTTGTTTTTTTTTTGTTTATGTTATTTCAGAAGATATTGTTTTATTTATTAGACCTATTTTTGTTAATTTTACACAATTATATCTTAGTTTATCCATTTGTCATTTTTTCCCTATTATTTCTCCAAGATACTGTTTTAGATTATTTATTTACTCATTTTTGGGAAATGTACCTTTTTAATTCTTTTATATTCAATATCATATATATTATATATATAATATTATCATTCTCCAATGACATTTGTATTTGACATCAAGGTATTGCCTGAAAATGGTATTTTGTAAAAACAAATTCACTGTTGCATACCTGCTAACCTGCAATAACCCCTAAATACTTGGTTATGTTAAGTGTAACATGACCCAGGTTAATTTTAAACAGAATATTCTTTATTCCTCACAAGTTCAATAATGAAAAAGCTAGAATTGAAAATTTTGGAATACTGTCTACTTATAATTATAAAAAAATAACTTATTCTATATTGTTTCTGTACCTGTATATTGTTGGAGCCGAGATAGGCCGAAATAAACCTCATAAGTCTAAAATATAAAATTAGGATCTCATGTAGAAGTTGCATAATACGTGGTGGTAGTTAAGGTAATGCAAATGGCATATTTTTTACAACAATAAATACGAGAACGTTTTGAAAAAGCCAGACGGAAAGTTGAATACTACTCATACCATGTGCATTACGTTAATCTTATCATGCTAGGTTTCTGCATAGAAAAAAATGTGGAATTTCTGACGTGTCTACTTACATCCTTTTTGAAGGGAGCTTCCAGCATTGCTTCGACGTCCAAATCTTCAGCCATTTTGCTAGAGAACGACAAAATTAGATAACTGTTGAATAAGAGCCATGCATATCTTACCTTCTAGCGCAAAACAGAACAAAATGGAACAATTTTTGCAACAAATTAACTTTTGTATTGATTATACAAAAGAAACAAGATGTCGACTTTTCCAGAAAGTTTCTTTCATGCAGGCAGGGGGGAGGGGGCAGGAATACCAACCACAATACAATGCACAATACCAACCGCAGACCAGACAGTGTTGCCAGATGGATATTTCCTTCAACAGTAGGACGGGACCATAAAAAACAGATGTACCATGGCGGACTCTACTCTAGTAGAGTCGGCCATGGATGTGTCTATCCCAACAGTAAATTTTAATAAATATGTATATTCTTTCATAAAACTTCATAAAGACAAAGAAAACTAAATAAAACATACTTGAAAGTAAATAAATATTACATTATTTCGTTGAAAATATAAAATGTCACATAAAGACAGCCAAATAATAATATAGCAATAATATATAAAAATAAACTTTGTCGATAAACCTAATAAACACTAAATTTCCCAAATATAAATAGTAATAATGTACAATGATAAAAATAAACTTTGGCAATAAAACTAGTAAGTACTAATCACTCTGAATCTGAATCAGTCAGTTCGGAGTTTTTCATGTACGAATTTTATGTAACTTTAACAGCCCTCCAGAGTCAAAAGAATGGCACGATTCGTTTTTCGATCTCAAAAAGGTTTTGCCATAAAGTAGCTCTACAGTACTAGATGTTGATAACGTATTTCGCTGTTTCGTTTACAGCAAATTAACTTGTGAAATCAACATTTGCAGAGGAGTGAGGTAGGCATAATAAATTAAATACAAAATCAGATAAAACTGAAAACAAGGGAATTGTCTCCAATTCGCATATTTTTAACAAATATGTATCCAAAATTTTTCCAAGCTGGTCGCAGGGTCAAAATCAATTTTAGTGTTGCGCAGCAATCGCCATTCATTATCTAATTTTTGTAACTCAGACTCCTTGACTAGATTTGGAAAATGTTTAGCTAAGCAAATTATGCTGAGTTTAGCATAGGTTAAACAGATGGCGAGATCGATGTCTCTATTTTTAGGTTTTTCTAGGCGTGGCATGTGAGAAGTATAAAAAAATACTGTAATAACAGGAGATTGTATAGTGAAAACAGGACATCGAGGTAAACACAGTAGATTCTTTTAAAACAGGAGATCTGGTAACAATTGAGACCAGAAGTTCCCCAAAACAGAACTAGAACTAGTCAATAATTGGAATGGGTTAAGGCAAGCCCACACGAGCGACTTGTGTCTTAATGACACTATTTTGCCTCTCGACTTTTTGGCCTTACGATTCAAAAATACGCCATTATCTAACTCTTTGTTCACCATTCAATTTGACTAAAAATTGCGAACTCTAATTCATCAGACTGTTTGGACTTAAGTAATCGCAACACGGTAGACACGTCGGGAAAGATTGTCGAGACGAACCTGAGACGAACGACGTCTCAAGCAGTGTTGCCAGGTGGAGTCGACGATATTTCGGTAGAATTGTATGGAATATTTCGGTAGATCGAATACCGAAGAGTAAATGAAGGCATTTACTTAAAAAAAATTATTTAACTCAAATTATACTCTGAAACAGAAAGATAAAACAAAAATAAACAGTTTATATTTCACTTTAGCTAACTAAAAATAAAATATTCTTAATAAAAAACAGAAAAAGTGAATAAAACAAAAAATGTGTAAGCTATATTGGATAATCATTCTTCCGATTCATTTTTGTATAAGTTTTTATCAGTCATATTATCTACTAATTTTGCTTTGCCAAATGGTCCATCAGCAAGAATGGCAAATTATGCTCTGCCAAAAATGCGCTCAAGCGAATTTCTCCTGGAAATAATCTATATACTCTCAAATCTTCTCAAATAGGTTAATTAATTTTACCTCCTTTAATATCATTTTCCAATTTCTTTGATGCACCTGCAACTGCAAATGACAACAGTTTTGTCTGTTTTGCTATAGTTTGCATTTTTTTATGAAATTTCCCATTTGCGTGTTTTATAAGTGCATCTCTTCCACTTTTGATATTAATATCTTTATCATAGACCATGCATAATCGCGTCCTTTATTGCTTTTTAAGCCAGCCTTGGAAATCTGGCAATTCTTCCCAAACTTCCTTATAATGTTGGGCATATGCACGCGAAAAAAATAATGACAGGACAAGACAGGCAATACTAATACTGGCCGAATTCGGAATTACTAAGTACACGAAATCATACAAATCGTACACTTCAGGCATGGACTTGTAACGAGCCGCTGGGCCTAGGCGATGTAGCCAAATAATCGACTATCTTCGGTTATACCCCAGATGCGAAGAATCAGCGAATGTGGCACACCAATGTCAAACAAAGAGAATAAAAATCTATCTGGTCTAGTACGAATAATAATAGTACTTTTGTGATTCTTTTTATCACTATGCATCAGATATATATATATATATATATATATGAAACAAAAACTATTCAATTGAAAGAAAAGTCCACTTTTCGGTAGATTTTGCTTTAAAATCGGTAGTAGACCAGAACCAAAATCGGTAGATCTACCGAAAAATCGGTAGACTTGGTAACACTGGTCTTAAGACTGGCTCAAATCTGTCAAGAAATATTGTTGTCATTCGGTACTATCAAATGTAGCAACGTTGCCGGTGGTAAAATTTCCACTATGTTGGTGGATTTATATCCACCTATGAAATTGAAACAATCCTCGTTTGTCAAACAACCAGAACTTTGGTTATTTTTTTATTATATGGCTTAACTATCCAAATAAAATATGTTGAAATATGTGTGAGAAAAAATTCTATGTGATATCAATATATAATTATTAATATTTAGGATGAATCACTCCAGCTATCTGGCAACGCTGCTACTATCATTTTGCATTTTCTATTTACTTTTATGAAAACTGTCTTCTAGCTGTTTTTTAAGCACTTTGCTCTCAAATTATGTGATTTTTTGCGTTGAAAAGGTACAGTTTAATAAGAAAAACAAGAAATTATCAAAATGGCTGGAATAAAAGGTAATCACCGAAAAGTATTCTACAGAATGGAAAAATCAATGGAGATAATTTTAAGAATGATTCACCTTGAGCAATACCATTTCTTGTGCTATGGATAAAGAAAGAAGTGTTTCTATTACATGTATATTCAAATAATATGGTACACATTTGTCCATTACCAATACTAAACAAATTTCTTTCTTTCATGTGACTTCACCATACTGCGCTATATTATAATGGACTTCAAAACAAAGCGTAAGTGTTCATTATTAAAATATATTGTTCTTACTAATAATAAGTGTATTTCTTGTAGTTTGATATCATTGGCCTTTGCGGGTTCAATTGGAATGACACTGGTCATCCTGGCATGCGCATTACCACAATATGGGTAAGTATGTACTAATTTACTTTGCAAACATATTTTGTAACCACAGATAAGAACCTGCGATTCATTATCCAAAAAGCCTGGCAGAGATCATTTTTCTATCACTGTACTGAGCTACAATACCATACTCACTTTTAATCAGGTTGTTCATTTAAACAAAACCTTAACACAAACAATAAATGATTTTGAAGATGCCTTTCACATTCAATACATTCAGTGCATTAAGATATACATGATCATTAGGAATTCTAATATGAAGCTTACAAAGACAAAACCTAATAAATTCTGATCCATATTTCAACAAAGACACCACAAATGACATACTTTTTCACAAGTTTTTATAGATAGCTCCCTACAATTATGTAACACAAAACCAATGACTTTGGAAGCCTCAAGTACAATAGTGCTTATATGTGTGCTGAAACTTTGATCATCAAACAAGTAGACCAGGATATTTTATGACATTGCAATATTCAAGATTGTTTTCTGTAGTATAAGAAGAGTCTATTTTATGACTTGTAAAAACTAATGTGGCTACATTTACCAATATTTAAAGTTAATTATTATTGACTCATCAATCACTCAGCCTATTCAAGTCCTTTTGCAACATCAAATCCTGCTCAGAACCTGCCCCTGATTAATAAATTTTCAATCATCTGCAAACAACAAAAATTTGCTATTTTCAAAACAAACTGAAATGTCATTTATGATAATATTAAAGAGTAATGGGGACCAATGACCACCCAGAGCTATACCAGAGGAAGCACTGATATAGTGAGACCTGGCACTACCATTTCGCACCTGTTAAGGTCTATCAGAAATAAAACTTTCAAACCAAGACACCATAATGTCAGAGTGCCAAAGAGACTCATTTTTTTCTGCAGTATACTGTGGTAACTCTGTCGAATGCTTTGGAAAAGTCTGTATATATCACATCAATTTGATACCCTCTCTCTAAAGCACTCTACAGAGTGTCCTCAAACAACATACAATAGATAGATGTGTAAGCTTAATGTCATTGCAGCCCCTCCTCTTCAAACATTAATGTAAGTCATCATATTCCTCCATTCAAAATCAGTAGCTTCAAATTCTCAGAATATGCGCATTGAATTATTTTAAGTTTTAACAATAATACAACCATTGGCGCTATACGATCTGTTCAAAATTGGCTGCGTGTACCATTTTAAAGCTGGCATGAATGGTTCTCCGGGAAAACCAAATTTCTCTGATGGCTTGAGTTCAATGCCTACAAGAGAGAAACGCGAGAAGTGTGCATCAACACATGTTAGAAAGAGATAGAAGCCGGCTGGAGAGCGAAGGTCATTACCACATTGCCTAGTGATGGTGACGCAGAAGGTCGTGCAGTCTGCCGCGTTGCCAATATGAAAATGTTCTCACAGACTTCTACAATATGTTAGGTTACTGCCAAACTCAAGAAGGAGGTTTGTTCGAGCATTAAACTTAATATTTTGTTTTATGATCCGGAATCGATCCTAAACAGATTCGACACAATTCGCGATTAAAAAATGTGTACGCTCAAAATAAAGCCATTATTTGGGCGTAGAGAGTAAACAAACGTATATTTTCATCATGCATCTTAATTCAAGCATTTGGTGTAACATATTGGAAACGCGGCACATCGCCGCGTCAGCGTTGCTAGGCAACGCGTGATGAGCTTCGCTACCTCGCCGGCTTCTATCTGTTTCTAACATATATGTCTATACATACTTCTCTCTCGTACACATTGAACTCATGCCGTCAGACAAATTTGGTTCTCAGTGTATAATCGAGTACCTTAAAATTGAAGTGACGTGACGTTAAGAAATTTGAATCAACTGTACATGCCATTAATATAATTCGCACCATAGAATTCCCATATTGATATTTTACTATTGTCATTTGGTATACGAAACGCGAATTCCTAGAAAATACTGAGTCAATCTACTATACACCCTTTTACCCATGCCTAGATTTAGATATTATGTTTTTTGGATGTTATATGATATGTACATCATGAAAAGCCAAGTCACTCATTTCCTACGGTCTGTCTGCCTGAAAAGGCCAAAAACCAATAAATGAAAATTGCTCAAACCTCCCCCTTTCAGACGTTTCAGAGGATCCTTAACATTTTTGAAAAACTTGTTAGGGGTAAAGAATTGGGTGGTAAGAGCTAGTAGGGGGTGGTGGAGTTTGTATCCCAATTTTTTTGCGGCAGTATATTTATACACTTCTAACTCCGGTAATTCTACACGCGTATTAGGTATGTTTCACACATATATTTTCCCGTGTATTTGCCCTTAAGACACAATGATAGAGATATTTTATTTATAAAGTGCACTAGCTGCTGCTCGCTCAGAGGCGAACCTCTACGCGACGATTAGGTTACCTGGACAGTTGAGAAGAGGTAAACAATGTCTCGGCAATGTAACAATTGCGACTACCAGGAAAATATGATTTATTGAATATAAATAATCAGAGCGACATTAGGCCTGTAGTTATTCGGGAGTGAAATAACAATTAGACGTACACAAGTCTTCTGAGAATATGAAGATATTTACTGGAATCAAGAGTAGCATCTATTTTTAGAAGATTTTCCTCAAGCTAATAATTCCAGGGCCTACGAAAGTTGTCCTCGATTATTAAAGAAAAGAAACATTTAATTCAGATACTACATACATCATGCATATTCAAAGCACATAATTTCAAATTCTGCCAAATGAACAATGCTTTTTTCACTGATATTCATTCTATTCTATCTGTCAGGGCACAAGGATATTCATAGCCAGCAAACAATAAAGATACCAGAAGATACAAAAGTTGACCCAAATACATGATATATAGGGTGTCCAAGATCAGCATCGTGATGAACGAGGATCTAAATACCTGTGGGAGATACAGCTTAGGTTAAATAAGGAAAAAAACTGCGTTCTTTGGGGCATATTTACATGCCGTTGTGAAACTTGTAAAAATTTCATGGCTTACTGAGGTGTTTGGGAAAAACTAAAATTAACTTTTAAGAGATATCAATAAACTACTGCAACTTTTCCATTGGCACTTTTCAGGCACTACATGATGGTGTTTTTAAATTTTGTGCCAGACGTTTCGTTTTTGAGAAACCAGCAACTTTATTTTTTTATATAGTCCGAAAAAAAGTACATCCTGTATCTGATAGCATCTTTTTTCTGTTACATTTATTTTCTTAGTTATAAAGAGAAATGTTTTTTTTTTTAATTTATTTAAATAGGCGTTGCAAACAAATGCTTTGTGTCATATTATGTGATTACTGATAGATGCACATAATATGATACGTAAAATTGTATAAAATGATGCTTAATCTAGTGATATTCAGAATAATGAATACGTTTTTAGCATTATATTTATTTTATTCACAATATGTGTTCAAATTGGTTGCTATTATTTTCTAAGTATAAATATGATATTCTGTCAGTAGAATTCAAAACATTATGCTCAGTTTAAAAAGTATGCTTATGAATTTGATTTCTAATAAAACCCCAGACAAAAAAGTCCAAACACTTTACTGGAGGTTTCAATCTACCTTCTGGGAAATCGCTGAGAAAAATACTCTCAAACTTGCCTAGAATTATGTCCAGGAGCACCGACTTATTGAAGCCAATAGCTATTAACCTGTGCCAAAGGTAAATTATTCAGACAATCTTCTAGATCATGTTGCAACAATTGAAGGTACCGTTCTGCAGTTAATGCCTGCTAAATAAATGGTCCGAATATTTTGGTCCCTAGAATTCCACACCACATATTAAATCCAAAGCGTTCGTGACACCTGAATACTTTTTTAGCCCGCAGATTTTCTTGGTCCCAGTAATTGTTGCGGCGATTAAAGATACCATTATTAGTGACCATAGACCAAAAAATGGCTTTTATCAAGATACACTGCAGTATTTTTGTAGCACAAAATGCATCACGTCGGCATGTCGAACTTTTCTTCATTGGTAAAATGACCGGGTGGCATCTTTGCAGATCATAAAACAATAATAACAATACTCGGGGTCAGGTATATATGTCAAGACAAGCATTTGTTGGCAACGCTTACTAAAAAAAATAGGAAATTAAAAAAAACGCATTTTTATAACGAAGTAAAATAAATGTAACATGCGATATATCGTTGAATTCGTATGAAAAAATGCTATTAGATATTTGGTGTACTTTTTTTGGGCCATATAAAAAAATAAAGTTTATGATGGTTTCTCAAAAACGAAGCATCGGACAGAAAATTAAAAAACACCATCAGATAGTGCTTAAAAAGTGCCAATGGAAAAGTTTAATTCGTTTTTTGATACATCTCAAGAAAAAGTTAGAAAAAATAAAAATTTTTGGTCAAATTTTAGTTTTGGCCAAATATCTCAGTAAGCTATGAAATTTTTACGAATTTCTCAACGGCATGTGAATAGGCCCCAAAAACGCGACTTTTGTCTAATTTAACCTAATCCTTATTTCCCTCAGGTATTGAGATCCCCATGCATAGAATGCTTATGTTGGACAAAGTCCATTTGTTCAGAATTGCATGGGATGTACATAGTCAACCTACTTGACGCCTTTATTCTTTTAAGCATATGGTGGCCGTTCTTCGTGGTTCTATTCTACCTGATGTCCCCAATACCCACTCTGGTAGCAAGGAGATGTAGTGACCCCTCAAGTGCAACGAACTCATGCATGGAAGCAGCGATCTTCATCACAATGGGCATCATAGTGAGTTCCTTCGCACTGCCTATCGTCCTCGCGAGGGTGAACTCGATTTTGTGGGGAGCCTGCTTACTAACATTGGCAGGGAACGTTGTAGTGTATGCCACACTAATTGGGTTCTTTTTGACGTTTGATCAGGAGGATTCAGATTACAATATGTGGTAGATGGTGGGACTGCTTTTCTGCATAGAGTTCATTGGGCAGATTTAGTTTCATTAATTAGTTTTTTGAGCCAGTCAGAAAAATGCACGTATTTTATGTTATATAATAAAAAATTATATTATACGAGATGTGACCATGTAGGAAGTATTTAGTGGGGATATTCTTGTAATTACTAATTGTAGTTTACTTCAGAGTATTTATTCTAAATGACATGATTCAAGCTCTAAATGTCACTTTGGGGCTTCTTTGGTTGGCGTTATAGAAATGGAGCACCTAGGGAGTGTAACGTGAACGTGAATTCAAGTGGAGTGCACTTAACATTCAGTTATTGTCATTCATATAATTTGCATATATAGAGATGCTAAAACGTGTGAACAAGGGTTATACAAATCAGATTTATTTCTTCTTTGATATCTGAGGGATAGAAAGGTTATACCTTCGTTTCATTTATCATTATTTTCTAATATTCTTTTGGGGTTTAATTTTTCCTATACTAGAGGCCTATCCTGTCTATGTAACAAGATACGTGTATATCTTATATAACAAAAAGATTATCACTAGAAGGATGATTCATAAAAAATAAGGTAATATTTGAAACACCTTTTTTCTTAATTTGGTGTCTCAAATCGTGTAGCCGGTCTACTGTGCTAATGACCTATTACATAATTATACATATAGTGAAACAAAGCCCGTAAATCTGCGTTACAAAAAACTCATTTCCAACTTAATTCACCCCAAAACTAGTAGCGGACCAATATACGAATCCGTAATGCAAAGACTGTCATGTCAGGTTTTTGAAGTATAGCTGTCCACTGAACTCTTAACATCACCGAATTGACTTAATAAATATATGTATACATCTTAGGTCTGCTGGTATTATTTAAATTTATAGTGTAAGACTAATGTATTTTATAAGAAAATATAAGACTTTTAAGTGCACTGTTATTTTTTGTCTACGGTAATACACACTAATTAAAAAATAAGGTATCTAATTAAGATTGTAAATTTTTAGTGGTATTTGATGTTGTATCTCAGTAAAGAATAGTCGTATTGAGGTCCTAAGAGAAACATTTTAAAGCTTCAAACGTCCAGCTTTTAGTCAAAAAATGTTTGAAGCTGTAGGTTTCATCCTAAGAAATAGTATGAGGAAAAATGTATTTTTTTATTTATATTCAGGTTCACGGAGTTGGAAAAATAGTTCCGCAAAACCATTACAAGGGCTCAATAGCCTGTTTCTTCAGCTTTAATTTTCTTTTTTCAAAATCTCGATACATCTTTTCTTGCCGAGATATCGAATATTTACTGTTAAAGCGCACTTTTGGCTTTGAGCAATAATCATTTATGGAGAAAAAATTATTGTTAGTCTAAAAAAACAGGAAAAAATGGGTAATATATGAATTTCTCGAAAACCAAGGTCTAAATTGCAAATAATGACAAAGTGACTAATGTTGAGCATGACTTTTACAGCTCCATATACCCACAATAACTCTGTAAAAAATCACTTTGATCTACCGGGAAGTTTTTTTTGTTTTGAACAAAGTTTTGAAAAAATCAAAGGATCCCTTTTTTTATGCTAAAAACATGAAATCTTTCCGAAATTTTGATAGTTCGAAACAAAAAAGTTCTGGGTAAATCAAAGTGAAATTTTACAGATTATTATGGGTACATGATATATTGATGATCAAACCGAAAGGGCCCTTCATTAAAAACTCAATACCCCAGTAAGATATGGTCGTCTCGAGGTTTTAAAAAAGACGAAGCTGAGTAAATAGGCTATTGAGTCCATTTAGCCGAAAAACATTCTTCCAGGTACGTGCATCTAAATAACAATTTTTTTCTTCACACTATTTCCTAGGATTGCATGGAACTTTATGCAGTTCAAAAAATAACTATCAAACAAAAAAAAATAGACATTTGAAGTATTGAAATGCTTCTCTTAGAACGTTAATATGAATATTTTTTGGAGGCCAGACCCAAAACATTTGGGATTTTACCACCGGTCTATTTTAAATGAACTTCGTATAGTGATAGGCCATGTTGTGCTGACCAAATGTTCCAATAGGCACAAACCCATAAATGCTTTCTATTGGAGATACAGGGTACTAAAGTACGACTGCATACACTATTTTACGGAAACTAACTCGTCTTTACTCAGGGGACTCAACGATAATAAAAATTACGTGAACACATCCAATATGTACAGTGTCCCAACGGAAATTCAAGTCGCTTAATAGAAAAACTATGTAAGATATTCGAAAACGGTTTGCGCAGCAAAATTGTCTTCTTATAGCTGTGCATCTCTAAGTTATTTGGAAATATACAAGGTATTGCATAATTCCATGAAACAACAATGGTTTTTAATAGAACACCCTATATTTTATTAGATATTTAGAAGGGCCCTGTAAGAAACTAGGATTTAGATTGTCATTTATTTCATTATTTGATTTGTCTGAAAAAAATCGCTTCTTTTGAAACTTGAAGCTCAACTGCCGGAAAATGCCGATAATATGACCTATTCAGGGTGTTGCATAACGCAAAATGTTATTCCCAAACATTTTAAATACAAAACTGTATAGTTTACTCCTTCAGGTTTTCCGTTTCGTACGATATATTTTGGTACCAGGTGTGTAGTAGTTTATTTGAAGGCTATCTATTAATTTGGCGTACTGTTTCATCGTCTTTCCAGAACTAAATGAACAACGTACGCATGATGGCAGAAGAACAAACACTTTTTCAGGCAATTGATAAAATAATTAAACACAGGATCACAATCCTACAGTGTATTATATCAATCATCTTGTTTTCAAATGATCCTTCCAAATATTCAAAAAATATAGGGTCTATCGAAATAAGATCAACAGAAAGTGCCATTTATCGCCAGAATCGACTACTGGTTGGACGTCTGTGGTCCGAAGAACGAAAGCTAAATCACTAAAGTATAACAAGAAACTGCAGAGAAGTTAAATCCAGGACTCTTCACTGGAGGCTCTAATCCACCTTCCGGGAAGTCGCTAAGAAAGATACTCTCGAACTTCCCTAGAGTTATGTGCAGGAGCACCGTGTGCCAAAGGTAAATTATTCAGGTAGTCTTCTAAGGTCATGTTGCAACAATTGAAGGTATCGTTCAGTTAATGATTTGTAATAAATGAACCTAATATTTTGGTCACCAGAATTCCACACCACATATCAAACCCAAAACGTTCTTGATGTCTGATACGGTTTTAGCCCGCAAATGTCACTGACCACAGTAATAAGTGTTGCGGCGATTAAAGATACAGTTATTAGTGACGGACCATATTATTTTTTGAAAGGAAATTAAAATCTTCACACGTTCGTGTGTAATAATCACAAAAATGTTGGCGCAGTGCGCTATCACCTGGTCTAAGCACATGGCAAATCCTGAATTCATAGGGGTGATATCTATTTTTACACAAAATAAATTGGGCTGTGGATTTGTCTACGTAACAGACTCTTTGTTGCATAAAATGCAGCGCGTCAGCCCGTCAGCAAGTCGAACTTTTCTTCATCTTTGACGATAATAAAGCAATATTATGAAAAACAGTATTATCAAAATTGCTCCACTGTGCACTCGGGAGACTTCAATATAAATTTTGATAAGCAAGATTTTCATGTAAAAAAAATTAAACAGGTGCTGAACATTCATGGTTTATGGCAAAAAGAGAATGGCTACACAAGGATTACAAACTTTTCACGAACTAAGATATATAGATTTAATAATAACCAGTGGATAGAATTTGAGTATTAAGGTTTTGCATACTCCAAAAATAAGCGACCATTTGTGGATATGTTTCGAGGTGCAAAATATGTTTTTAATGAGAGGGAATCAAGAGAAATCATAATTATCATAAATTTTTAGTGATGCTGACACTTCTCAAAAATCATCGATTATATGGAGAACTGCATTAGAGAAGCACATATTACGAAAGTGGTATATCAACGGAAAAAGCCAACACCCTGGTTTTCACAAATATTTCGAGACTCTAAATTGACACGTGGTAATGACTATAAGAAGTTTATCATCACTCAATCTGAGGAAGATTGGAAACAATATAAGAAATCAAGAAACAATTGTTTAAAAGATTGGATACAATATAAGAAATCAAGAAACAATTGTTTAACAGATAAAAACAACAGTAACTTATGTGGAAGACACTAAAAGTGGAGTCAGTCAAAAATGGGGATCCAAACCTATGTCACATGCAAGTTATTTATAATTCGTCTAAGAGTCAATTACAAACAATAAACATCAGCTATCTTTCAAAATCGACAAATATTCCAAGATTAAAATCAAATGGAAATCCTAGTGAACATCTTTCAAAAATGGTTCTAAAAGAATGTTTCAACATTATTGGAGAGGAGTTATTGTTAGTGAATTACTGTTTAGTGTATGGCGAATTTCCTTCAAAATTTAAATGTTCTACAATTACTCCTGTTCCAAAAGTGTAAAATCTGAGTTATATACAAACATGCGGCCAATTAATGTACTGCCAGACGAAAAGCTTTTAGAAGGAATCATATATGAACAATACATTGAAGAAAACAACATATTGACAAAATTCCCAGCAGGGAAAAATATTCTACTGTACCTATAATTCAAATGGTAGTAGAAGAATAGAGGCGAAATATGGATGAAAAAAAGGTTTACAGTAACATTGTTCTTGGATTTCAAGAGGGCATTCGAGACTATCGATAGGGAGAAATTGTTAACGAAATTGCATTACTATGGATTCAAAGGCTCAATATTCAACATATTACAAAATTATTTAATTAATAGAAGTTAAAGAACTAAAATTGGAAATACACTGTCAAGCATTAAAGGTAGGGTAGCAAATTAAGGCCATTACTATTTATTTTATATATTAACGATATTGCTGATGCCTTACAACATAATTAATTGGTTGAATGTGATTTAACTCAAATTAAACACTGACAAAACAAAATGTATGCTTTTAGAAAAATCTTTAGATGAAAATACGATAAATCTTACGACAGTGAAATTTTGTATAAAAATACTTATGTAGTATTGAAGACATAATATATTATGTGATTTATTGTGTAACATTGATATTGTAGTATTAATGCTAAGTAAATCTACAACAAACAATAATAATACTCGGTGACAGGTATTTACGTCAAGTCAAGCATTTGTTTGCAACGCCTACTTGAAAAAAAATCAAAAAAATAACCCATTTTCCTTATAACCCAGAAAATAAATGTAACATGATTGTGATACATCGTTGAATTTGTATAAAAAGTCTATTAGATACAGGGTGTACTTTTTTCGGACCATATAATAAAAACAAAGTTGATGATGGTTTCTCAAAGACGAACCGTCGGTCACAAAATTTAAAAACACCATCATGTAGCGCCCTAAAAGTGTCAACGGAAAAATTTCATTAGGTTTTTGATGCTCCTTAAAATAAAGTCACAAAAATAATGGTTTGGTCAAATTTTACTTTTCCCAAATATCTCAGTAAGCCATGTTTTTCGACAGCATGTAAATACGCCCCAAGAGCGCAACTCTTTCCTGATTTAACCTAAGCTCTATCTCCCACAGGTATTGAGACCCCCATGCATAGGATCCTTATCTTGGACATCCTACATTTACAGGCTTCTGTGAAATGCCCCCTCAATGAAGCGGTATTATTTGCTTAAAATCGAAGATCATTCCTCAAACGGTACTCAATCTTCAAGGAACGGTCTAAGACTATCACACTTATGATCATTTGCCGAACAGGCATCAGACGTATGATGTAACTAAACTGAATTCGTTTCCCGTGATTTCTTGATTTACATACAGATCAACGATGAGTGTAGAAACTGAAAATCGTAGTCGATTCTAGAATCGTATTGTGATCTGATAAGAAGGCCATGGTAAATATTTTTTCTAGCGAGCGGAGTCCACAGCAGAACAATAGAACGATAAATGTATGTTTAATATCGTGCCAAGTTTTTTCACGATAAGCCTAGCGATCTTCTAAATCTCAGGGAAGTACTGAGTAACTGAGTTACGGTATTGTAACCATTGATTGACGTGTATTTTTCAAAAAGACGTCAACCATCATGATGTATTTATACAATTTTCATTAATACTGCTACGTTGTCAAGTACGAAAACACAGTAATTCCCTTAGAAGTAATAAAAATCAACTCCATTTTCCTTTTATTGTTGAAAATGATATCAACTTTCCAAGGAAGGATCAACCATTAACCCCTTTCGTAACTATTCCTAACATTTCGAATTATTAAAATGGTTCAACGACAGTTAAAGGCCATCTCTTAGCCTCTACGACAACAGTCTCAGAAGTGGCGACGCTGGCACCTAACGGGGTTGGTCGACTTGTATGTGTTTCCATATTCAACTCTCACCATTTGGAATCTTGGTAAGAGATACGAAGTTGGTTGAATGGGGGCAAAGTTGCGCATTTAGGTAACTAAGAAGATGGATCTTAAAAATTCCGAGTATTTCCGGAGGAGAAAAAAAATGAGACTGTTGACGTTATCGATGCCTACATCTAGTATTTGTTTTGATTATTTACATAAGGAAAGAGCTGGTATAGCGAACGTGGAACGACACTTTCGGGGCAATGCCGGGAGAGGACAGCTTAGTAGGCACTCACTCGGCAAAGAGCAACCTGGCGGTACGCATGGTTCGACCCATCAGAGCTTCCTAATTGAAGGCATTCCTGAGAATTTTATTAATTGACGCATTTTAACGGTTTATAGCACTTATGTACTTTTTTTGAAAACCCATGTCAAATAAAGCAAAGAAGAGATTAAACGGGAAAATTCGGTTTCTTTCAATTGAATTAGATATCTTTTGGAGAAATATATTAAAATTAATAGGCATATGTTCTAGCAATGATTTTCAAACCTTTTGCAAATCCAGCTGACGAAATGAATTGTCGAACAAGTATCGTTAACTTTATCTGTCAAACATTACTATTAACCCTATGAACCATCCAGTATTTATCATGGAATTTTATATTTATTGACCGTGTAGACAGGATATTAAGATTGGTATGAAGGCTATGATAATATATCTAAGAGCTTTTTGATAACCTGCTGTATGTGCCAGATCACTGATAACTTACTAAATCTAAGGATATCTGCGAAATCAAATGTTCTTGAGTTCTAGAACAGCATAAAGAATATTGGAAATATATTGGAATGAGTCAATCTACTTGGCGTCATTTTTTACAGCGTCGTTTCTGAACATGCTGATACCTGGTACCACAAATTCTAAGTACGTATCTGCACGAAGCCAATCACGGTAATGGAAGCTTTTTCTGCGTTTCTAGATTTCATTTCTGACAATGTATGTCATGAAGAAGGTGTATTTTCGGGTCAAAATCATTTGTGTGACATCTGATTATAATGGTTATGTTGGACAAAGAGAACCAAAAACTGAATATCTGTTATCAATTGTGTCGAATGTTTGCTTGTAATATGCCTTTTAGCCACCTTTTCCATCACAAAGACTCCAAAGATGAACCCAATCGTGATTCGACATCAAATTCGTAAGTACATAACATCCCCTAATAATAAACCATTTTTTTCTAGTCTAATAATAGAAAATAGTTTGGGAAAACATATCAGGCCTCAGAAAAGTATAACAAATTCTTATGTTAATGATATTTCGTTTTCCGTTCCACATTTCTATATTGTGCGTTACAGAATGTTAAGAAAAATCTTTTCCCTGTTTTTAGTACTTTAAATTTTACTTTGCGTTTTTATGTTTTTGTAAACTATAAACCTAAAGTGTACTTTTCTCAAAGCCATATTGATTCTACTTCAAAACTGAGGTGTTTCTCGTTATTTTCGTTAAACACGTACCACCACTCACCACGATTATTAGGTTTTTTTTAGAAACAAACAGATTCATGTATTGGTGACGTAACGATTTTTATTCCATATTTATTACATTGTAAAGAGAATAAACCTTACCTTCTTGGAAATGATATTTTTCAAACATTCGAATGAACCCATCTCCCATCAAACAAAATCAAGCAATGGATAGGTAACCCACATCACACCGACAAGTGCTTTTAAGTGCTATCAATAGGTGGCAGCGGGTAGCTATCGACAGCGAAGACAGTAATCACGTGAATCTTTTTTAACGATCAGCTGTCTGCTGGGGAGTGGTTGTGTTCTTGAGGGGTGCTTTTAGGAAATTATTCTTCTTTCTTAGGTAAACCATATTACAAATATCTCTCTATTCAATGTATCAGAAATATCGTTCAGCTTCAGTGCTTGCAGTGTTCCTATTCGAGGTAACTAGAGAAACAATTGCCAGTCGATAGATTACTTGATCTTCGTCCCTCTTGTACGCAGGGGTAGTCACCGATGACCTATTTAGCACTTGTGATTAATAACAGAAACAAACAAATTTAGAATGTCCTTATTTATTGATGTGTCCTTTTACTCCTTTTATGGATTGGGTAGGACAACATGAACTTGTGTTTGCTAGGTGGAAGTAATAATTACACCCCTGCATTATTGAGTGGTTTTACAGTCGTACGTAACATTTGTGAGTATACTGGATCAGTTTTTAGTAAATTTTTTTTGTGCTTTACAAATTGTAGTAGTGATGCTTAGCTGTTGAGATTTCCAGACTTTTTGAGTCACATGACATCAAAGTACTAAGATGAGGTACAAACTAATCAAGTAAGCTACATTGAAAAAATGCTGTTTCCGGTGAATGATGTAGAGTCTATATTTCAGGTGAAAATTTAAACTATACTTTCAAAAGTAGTAGAAAATAAAATAATTATAATTCATGATTAGGTCAAAAATATTGAAACTGATATATTAGCCAAAGATAATATTGATAAATATACATCCAGACAGCTGTGGATTCTGGGCACATATTTTGTTTTCTTTTTCTCCATATTTGATCCAGAAAGTTGAAGTTTACTGGCAATTGTATATCTTAAACTCCAATAATTCATGTTCAGGTGTAGGATGCATTTTCTTTAACTACTAATAATATGACCACATGATCATATTTAATTAAATAATCAAAATGCAACCTTGACCTTTTCTGCTGTTTTTCTTGTCATTTGCTAAAATGACTCTTGTATATATAGGACCTTCATCCAAAATGGGCAATCATACGTCTTTTGATTAATATCTCCGATAATGTCACTTGAAGTTGTTCTGAAAGCTTATCATTCATCTATCCCTATCCTTTATGATTGTAGATCCATAAGATTGAGTAATAATCAGTCAAATTATCAAATGTCTTTCAATCATAAGGCTTATTGTGCATCTCTATTTATATATAAGTATTATGTGGAGTCTCTTTTGAAGTCAGTGTGGGCAGTCCATAAAGTCTCATGAATGTCTCCTTCCTTTATCCTTTACGAGTATATGTCTACAATCTCAAATGTGTTTAAGGTTGGCTAGAGTTTCTTAACAGCCTTCAATACCATGCCATGGGTACTAGATTCATCAATGACTCAAATACTTTTATAATGTCATTCTTATGGAATGTGAATGTAGTAGTCGTAGGATGTGATCTTTAATTTTTTTCCAGAAGTGAGTCACATTCCCACAGGACAGACAGCGGAAGTGGACACTCTGTCAGGTCATCCATTGAACACGAAGAGATGACTGAGTACTGGTTAATATCAGCACCTGGTGATAAGACGTGCCAACAAACATGGGAGACCATGAATGATTTGACAAGTAAACAGAACAACTTGTCTACAAATTTTAAGTTCCAGATTCCAGATTTGAAGGTAAGTTATACACTGAGAACCAAATTTGTCTGATGGCTTGAGTTCATTGTGTACAAGAGAGAAGTGTGTATAAGCACATATGTAAGAAAGAAATAGAAGCCAGCTGGATCGCAAAGCTCATCACCACCTTGCTTAGCAACGGCAATCTGCCACATTGCCAATATGTTACACCAGTTCATTGAGTGCAGATGCATGTTAAAAATATGCGTTATTTTAGTTTATTCTCTATGCCCAAATATTGGTTTTATTTTGAGCATACACATTTTTGAAGTGTTAATTGTGCATAATCTGTTTAGGGTTGATTCTTGCCCAGTCCTTATGGCGCTCCATTTTAGCTCGAAATGAGAGATCAGAATCGCCACAAATTCTGCAACATTGCATCATTGGTTCACTTGGCAACACCGCATCTCGTGTATTCCAAAGCAAGGTTTCCACCTCCATGATTATAGATGAGCGACTTTGTTCAGTACTCATTTAGCGCTCTTTGGGGAGTGCTGCTTCTAAATGATTTTCACCTGAATACACAGGCAGTGATAATTTGTAATTTCATAATGGTATTTGTTACATTTTCTGACTGGTTGCTGTCAAATGGTTGGATACTGGGGATTAAGAGCTTATTTGAGTAACTTCATTTAATTCCTTTCTTATACATGTTTATAGTTACCTTTTTCTTCAGCATTGTATAGTTAGAGCAGAGTCAACCTACATGACGCCATTTTTTTGAATATGTATTTCAATATTTCCTGACCTTCTTTCTTGAGGACGACCACATGTAGATGGTATTTAACAATTCTACATCTCTAAATTTTATGTTATTCATTAGGTTGGTACCCTCGACCAATTGGTAGGTCTCTCTGATGATCTGGGCAAGTTGGATGGTTTTGTAGAGCAGGTTACGCGCAAGGTAGCGCAATACCTGGGCGAGGTCCTCGAGGACCAGAGGGATAAGCTTCACGAAAATCTGATGGCTAACAATAGTAAGTCTGTTTTTTTGCTTGCATATTTTACTTTCTAGTTTGGAATGAAACTGCGTTTTAAATTGGCATGTTGTCTGAAATTCAATTATTGCAGTCATGAATGACGAAAAAATTATGTTTCCAATGTTTGTTACCTATGTAAGTGTATCAAGAAATTTAGAACATTTACATCAGCTGTTCATAGAATATCTCTGGGTTATCAGTGGATTTTATCCAAACCGAGAAAATTCAGATTTTGAGAGGTAGGTCTGAAAAAATCTTCTGTTAAACCATTTAATCTAAAATTGGAAAGATACTAGCACCATCTGAGATACAGTAGCAGAATACAGAAATGAATTTAGAAATCTACTTTGGAAAGAGAGCATTTGATTCTGCTGCTATATCATAGGTGGTGCTGTACATTCAATACCTTTTTGGCGTCTCTCTAATAACTATTTTAATTAGAAATCTTCTTGCAGTGATTAAGGTATTTCTCCTGAAGATACCTAATTAAAAAGATATTATACCAGTTTTAACTCAACAATTTCACCACGAATTTATTCAGATGGATTTCGTCATGGTCATCCTGATTATGTTTTGCAGTGCAATGAACAAATTCATGGATTATCTGACAGTATACAGTTCTGCCAATTACAATAACAGATTCTAGAAACATTTTGAGTTGTTATATTTATTGTGGTTTTGATCTTGATTGGAATCTCGTAAAGATAAACCATATTGTTGAATACTGTAGTTCTATCAAAGTTCTATACTTGGACCGCAAAACCGCAAAAATGTTTAATATGATGGAAAAGAGAACAAGGTAGGCACTATATGGATTTTGACTTTGAACTTGGGAAAAATTAGAACAGGTTCTAATTACTTAAAGAAATCCACTAAGTTCCTGCACTCATTTGACGTCAAATTTCTAATTTATATATTTAAAATTTGTCCATATCAAAAGGGATTTGAAGATCCTACTGCCACCTATAAGGCAATAGCAGAACCAAGCACTCATTGCTATTTTCAAAGAGGATGTCTCAGTTTATTTTTGTGTTCTGTGCTCTTCTTTTACATTAACAAGTTTATCAGAAAAGGAACAAAGTAGAAATAATTGTAAATTATAAGACAACTTAATTGTACCATTTTTTTCTTATTTTTATTTTCGAAATTCCTTCCTTTGGTAGATGTAAGTTTATTTCCGAATTTCTTGGTACATCATATAGTATACGAATCTTTAAGTTGCAAGGACTTAATTAGATAGGGGGATATGCTATATAGTATGTAGTTACAATTTTTGTCTGATTAGGACATGGCGAAAATTGTACTTATCATACTCCTTTAAGACATTATTGATTATGGCATGCACAACATTACTAACTACTAATTTAACTAACCACAAGTGACACTCGCGAAAGCATGTCAATTTTTTTAATTCCAACAAAGTACACTTTCTTCATAGGTTGAAGTGAAATGTTGCTTATTGGGCTTTGAATGATATTGGTGCAGGGTAAAAAATAGATGCTGTCTGTCTGTATTATACAGGTGCTATACATATGTTTATTCAGGTTTTTCATAGGTTGAAATCACATGTGGCTTATTCACCTTTGGGTGGTATTGGTGCAGGGTAAAAAAAAATAAGACGCTGTTGAGAATATATAATAAAAATTAGTTTTCTCTCAAAATAGGTCTGGTATAGTTGTTGGATGTTAGAAATTACTTGCACTTAGATTCATAGTCGTTTAAAAATATTGGTAAACACCTATAATTCAATGACTTTTTCTCCTAACCAATTGCCGATGAAATAATAAAATATTTTGATATTGGAATATTCACCTAACCATTCAAAATAATGACCTTGAGTACACAAAAGAACATGGTATTTTTACATTCAATATACGTATTTCAGTAGCTATATGAATACTTTTAATAGCCGTGTCGTTAATGTCAGATTGACTCTGGGAATTTTGTGATTAAACTCTTGTAGGGCAGTCCAACGAAGTTTGTGAGTAAAAAAGTTTAAACTACCTCATAAGCGGATCAGGGTAATAATACTGCTACATTTCTTGACAGACTTATAGAATCCGCCTAGGGTTTTTGTTGCAAAAAAGTCATAAAACCAATAAGGCGACTTATGTGACGGCTAGCTTGTGGAGGTGCGGGGGCTTGAGAAGGAGGTAGGGTCTAGCGGTTCAAGTTGCTTCATTTATAGCATAGTCAAATTATCTGAATTTGTTGCTATGCCTGTATCGAAACAATGCAATTTGTTTTTGAGTCGCTACATTTAAAGCAATTATATAAAACTATTAGTGCTTTTTACGTTATCTCACATTGCTCAAATGTATAATTAATACCGATGAACCAGCTTTCATCATTATTTAGACCTGAATCCTATAATGACCACACCATATGCGTGTCGGTACCACAAAGAAGCTGAAAAAATGTAAGCAAACTACGAGTATAAGTCTGTGGTGAACTTTACGAGAGTGAATGGCAATCGTATATTTTAATTGTAAACTATCTCAGTTCGCTCTGACAGCCGAGTTACTACTGACCGCCTGATGCAATCGATTCTGGCGATATAGATGTATTGCAGAACTAATACTGATCTCGTCCGTCCGACCAACAGAGGGCCAACAGTATACAGCTGTTTCATGCTTATTGGCGATCATCAGCACGGACTAGGCTTGGTCTGTAGGTAAGACAACGAATGGAAGCAGGCAAAGTATCCTCTATCTGAGGTTTAAGGTCTATCGAAATAAAACAATGGATCATCTATTACCAGAATCGACCACTGCAAGAGTGAACAGCAGCTGTCTATTGGAATTGTATTTCAGGAAAGCGCCACTGTGACCGCTTAATGCCGTTGATGATACTGTAAATGACTCGCCTTTGAAAAACTGAAAATACTGCTGTCGCGCGTTTGACCAAACGAAGCACCAAACTTGTACAGCTGGTTACTGGCAATCATCACTGCTTTCGTTCGTTGTTCACCACTTATGAGGTAGATCAAACCGGTACTGTCCCCCTGTTATTGCCCTATTTGAGTGGATTAGACCCGATTCATCCCTGCTAGATGACATTGAATCGGTAGACAACAAAAAACGCGAGCACCGACGACGCCGCGCAAAAAGCAGGGCGGTTCCGAACGGTCGGCACCACCGCGGCCATTACCTGGAAGAGGGCAGCACCAGCTGTCCAGCATCCCCCGTTGAGCGAACGCAAGAAACAAACGCTAGCGCGGTATCCATGTCCGCACCACTGATGCACGGCCTGTGTCTGTTCGGGTGTGCGTGCGACGGCTGTATGGTCATGGACGTCGACCCTGGAGGAGGTGGGGGGCACGCGCTGGATCTGGAAACCACCACTGGCGGCAGCGAGGAAGACGACGGCTCCCCGACTCGAACCGACCTGGTGCTCGGGCCAGGTCAGTCGCGCGGCGCGGCCTGCTGCTATGTGACTGCCTTGTACTAGGTGTCCAATGAATAAAGCCCGGATAACCAATAAATACTCTATAGCCCGGGCGGTGAGCTTGCCTACGTATGCGGCATTTATACTTTTTTGCATAGCTTTACTCAGAGTCGGATTACAAATCCTTATGGCGCAACCGCGGTCGAGACTAGGTTTAGCATTTACAAAGGGCAATAAAACAAATGATTTTAAAAACCAAATTGGAGTCACCTAAAGTGTTATTTAGAATTTACTTAAGGTGCTTTATAACTCCAGAAATAGTAGTAGTAGTGGTGTTGAGGCGTAGCCTGTCAACTGTACTACTCCACGAGTCATCTACTGGTAACTGATATAATAGCTTCAGCGATGTGATGTACCTATCGTTAATGTACCACCCGCGATTTCGAGGCGTAGATTCGAACTTGCTGTCCCCGGATTGCTACCTCAACGCGCTAACCACCGAAGCTCCCAACAAGGGAATAACATAATGGGGGTTGGGGGTGGATTTGGGCGGTTTTTATGGTAAAAATCGGAATTATTTCAACCCTGAATATGCCATCACTTGATAATACGGTCTTAGAGAGATTCATCGCTTTAAAAACTCAAATTCGCTTCATAAAACACGACATCAATTTCTTATTAAATACCCATTCGCTCTCATTCATCACATTTGGACTTTTCAGTCCTGATTAAGATTGGATGGTATGATTCGATATTGATGATCTTGCGTACCGGAGTAAGACCATTAATTTGTATTACATGAGGGTGAATTGAATGTACTACCCACCCCAAAAATTGCGTCTTACCTTGGCCACCTCTGACGGGCAAGACCTGGTAAATGTTGCATATAAATACCAAACCACCCCGAAGGGGGGTACTAAATAAGAAGATGATCTGTTGATTTATTTTTTGGGAAAAAACGACTTATTATCTTTGGTAGACATTGAAAAAATAATTGCCTGATTTCTTTACCAAAAATAATTTGCAGCAAAAACCACCGAATCGGCCTACATACTTTTAAACTGAGTTCAAGAGACACTCGATTTTGTCATTTGGATTGTTGGTGACTCGGTGTTCTAGGGTTTTGTGATAGTGTCAAAAAAAAAATAGAAAAAACGCTCTGAATAATATTTGGAATCTTTCTCGATCGCGGTAGTGCCTCCCAGTATTGATCAACGTATTCTTCCTGAAGATAGTCAACCTAAATCAGACCGTATCGTCATGTATGAGAGTTTGTCATAGCTACGCCTCTCCTCTCCGCACTAATCAGCTTGGAAAAAGGTTAATGTCTCATAGATGGCGGCGCTGTATTCAATTATATGCTTTATGCTAATATAGTTGCCTACAGCGCTATATATGAGTGACTAACAGTTTCAAAGTAGATTTCTAATTAGATCGGGGAGGAGAAACATAGTTGTGACAAGTTCTCATGGATGACGCTACGGAGTATCTCACTTCATCTCGAATAATTTCTTGGACGCGGGAATATAGCATTAGGTTGGCCAACTTCAGGTAGAATACGTTAATCAACGCTGACAAAAAAATTATGAGCAGGTAGTTTTGTGGTTGTTAAAAAAAAGAGTTAAAATAACGCATATCGGAGCGAGCTGATGGTCCTGGAAAAGTGGATGCTGTATATACCGTTCGTTTGACTGAAGTCACACATACGATGTATGCATCTACCGTGTTATTGGTAATTAAAAAATCTGAAGATCTTTTGACTGCTGATAAGTAAAGGCTCGTGGTCTTTGGAATACTCAACAGATCTTTTGACGTGTATCTGCGTTTCTCTCAAAGCGGTAGAAATTTACCATAAGTTTAGCTTCTTTTCACTAAATAAACGTAATAGCTTGCTCTGAGCAATACACCTGATTTATTTTCAAACGTTATAATGAACTGTCTTGATCATCTTTCGACAAAAATTGTTTTTCATATATTTAGCTTATGGTTGCTAATGCATTGTGAAATTTACTGGGAAAAAATATGGAACTATGGTGGATGTTTGAAAATGGTGAATTCTATAGCTAGGAAATGTATTTATTCTGTGGTGCTGACAAGCTGTTGTTTTTGTTAACAAGCTATATCCGTTTATAACGAAGTTATGTATTTCAAACTTGAAATATATTAGAGGCGTTATTTTATTCTTCGTTTTGATGGATTGTCCATCTATCAGAAATTAAACAAGAATATGGAGATGCTTTAGCTTATTGGAATCACAAATATCTGTGGGTGAGTCTTAGTTGTTGTACGCAGTACGGGTAATATTCGCCTTATTATTTTATTGTTATTTATTTCGGAATTTGTTGCCAGATTATAAATTAGGTGTAGAAAACGTATTTCAGTTTCGAAAAATATTATGCATCTCTAAAGAAGATGTAGTATTCTAAAGATAATTTTCTTCTAAATATATTCTCTAACAACTTGTTACGTATCAGCAGTTGAAAGATGATTCATTTGACACCTTGTAGGTACATGTACTTGCCCCGGCTTTGCGCGACTGCACCCAAATTTTATCTTTTATTTTACACATACACTATGCGGCTTGTCACGCCTTTTATACGCAGGGTGGGGAAAAATATAATCAAAAGTTCGTTTGTATATGATACCGCTGAAAAAAACCGAGTAAAATCAATACTGATTTCTAATTTGACCTTCGTCATTGATTAACGTATTCTAGCTGGATATAGCTATATACTGTAGGGGGCCTCCAAAACTTGATCGAAAGTATCTTGATGCCACCTATGAGACAGTAGCAGGACACAAAAATGAATGAATGAATTAGAGTGTTTGGTTCTGCTACTGTTTCATAGATGGCCCTAGGATCTTTCGTAGCCCCTTTTGGTCACAAGTTTTATGAGTATTAGGTGGAGGTTAACCCATCAATTGGGGGAAAATAGTTTAGATGAGTTATATCTGTGGTCAAGTAGAAGTTTTGGCTGCCTGGGTCGATTGTTTGATTGAGTCAGAGTTTATCATAACGTTTGATGAAGATTCAGGTGTATTCCTGTTAGTTGCTTTATCTACTTGGAAGTGAGTTTTGGAGTTAAGTTGTACCCCATTCTTTGGGCACGCACTAAACAAAAATAATTTTCGTTTTATCTACAACTTACGGTAAAAAATGAGAATTCATTGTGGTGTTTGATCATTGTAAATAGGGGCGAATCTCACTTCAGGCGATTATGTTGCAACGTTGACTACTGTCCGATGTGATTTTAATGTACTTGTTGGACAAGTTTCGTTGAAAACACCAATAGGTAACATTGGTGTCATATTTCCGATTTCGCTCTGTTGAGCTCGAAAATAATAATGTTACATAGCTATTCATATTTGTTGCTATACAAAACACTAACTATACAAAACAATAATTTTGGATTATGGCAATTTTAGAATAGCTCTCCACATGTGGGCTAAAATGTCGTGTTGGCAATATTTTAAACAAAACAAGAAACATTTGTGAACTTGGTATTGGACCTAGTGGTAATATGTTTTCCATTCAGAACGAGAGCTGGTCTAGTTTAGGTTCGTTCGTTCGCAGAAGTATTTTTATATTGATTATACTTTTTATATCCATCACAAATATTCTCAACATCATCCTACTCGAGTATCTGATCTTACAGCTATATCTGATCTAGCTGTGGTGAGTCCGTAATCGACATGCGTTATCAATACGACGGACTTTTGGTTTCTACGTTGCTTACAATAGTAGGACGTCTAAAAGTTGGCAATTTAACTGTAGGTATGTTAGACACTGAGGTTAATGTCTACATTCTGCGTACTTCTACTACTGTAAGTTTATCGTGAATATTCTTGCTGTTAAAACTATCTTTATGATAGAATATATGAAAACGTATGATTAAATAGCGATGATATTTATGATTTTTCGGTGTTTTCCTCACCCAGTATACACACAGTGAGTATGCTCGGGTCTTGCAAGACTTAGGTCAGTTCGTAGTGGCAAAAGTGACACTTCTGTCAATTTGTCATATTGGGGTGTTAAGATTTTGGAATTTTCCCAATAATTCTTTCTGAAAAATGAGGGTAGATTGTCATAAGCTTTTTGACAGATGTGTCACATTGCAATAAGAATAGCACACTTGAACCTTTGTGATCAAAATGAAACACGTCATATTAATACTTCTGTATTGTCTCGACTGTGGTTTTGGGTTTCATTTCAGTTACATTAGGGATTAATGGTATTACCTATGAAGTCTTACTCGCAGTATCTCTTCCAAAAATTAAGGAAGATCATGTTCTTAAAAACCTTTTCTGTCAAATATTATCCATATGCATAGCTACAGTTGTACTGCCAGTAATTCTTTTACATCTGATTTTATTTCGGTAACAATAATTGATGTTAGTGGAATTGCATAGAAAGTTGATTGCCTGAAATTTTATTTTTCATAACACAATATGCAGCTAGTTGTAGAACACCTTTACGAATTGCACTTGAACAAGGTAACTCATAGTTATTTTACAACTAGTCATTAGTTCTTCCATAGATTTTTCGATCGACTAAGTAGTAGAAAAATAATCCATTGCAAAAATTCATTTCATGGGTTCATTTTCACTAGACTGACAAAATAACAATTCTTGAGCCTTACTCATTCGTGAATCAAATTTTATACATTATTCTGTCATGTTTTTTGTTCTTAGCGCATGCGACTTAGCGTTTTTAGGTTAAGCAATGAAAATATTTGTGCTGATGAATTTCTACTCAAATCTGAAATACTCGTTCTATATCTACATTGTTTTGGTCAACAAAAATTGTGCTTAAGCATTCCTAAAACTTAGCTTGAGTAGTTCGATTTCCGTATGCGTATTGTTCAGCTAGCGAATGAAAGCTTTCAGAATAATCAAATTTAGTTTTAGAAAAGAGGATGAATTAGACCCGAGCACATATGTTTGTATTTTTTTAGTCCTACTAGACTTTTTGTAGCGTTTTGTAGCGTCTTCCGATAGCGTCTGTATACATTGTACATGTCACTTTTATTTGTTGGCTTACATTAGATTGTGGTCACTGACACTTATTTTTGTCTCATGCTTAAGCAAGTTGTAATGGAGGAGAACTTTTGCAATGTATTAATACTATTAACTATTACTAACATTAATATAACTAACAGTAGATCTAGTATATGTAGACTAACAAGTATCAAATCATACTTTTATTTCCTCCTTCACTAGCCAGTTTTCCTGAGGTACTCTATAGAAATAAGTTTGGACACATATCGAGTTCTCATATATATTTGCTATAATGTAGTTTCTGAAACTTATTTCTGATACATCTCATTTGATATAGCCACATATAAATGGCATTACTAAAATTTTGTTGCTGAAGCTGAAAACTAGATTGACTTGTTTTATATATCTGTCTGCAACTATAAGTATCCCTTGTGCATTGAACATATCTATCATAGTCCATATTCTGACATCTCGAAGACTCGCATGTTTTTGGCATGAAGTATTGTAAGATACAATATTATAACTATAATATGGCAAGTCAAATTCAAAATACATGCGCATTTGGAACTCAATAACAAACTAGAGGAAAACTCAAAATGATCTTCCAATATACCCTATATTGTTAAATATCCTTAACATTTCTTTTGACAACATATTTAACTATTTACGAAATATTTCTGAGACTGTACGATAAAAGGTTGAAATAAATAGGATGTAACTAGCGCCCTCTACATGCCTTGCTAATAGAATAGAATCGTATTCTTTGCCTTCAGAAACCCATGATTTCCAATTCTTTGTCGATATAACAAAAATAGGCTGAGATATATAAAAATAACGATTTCCAAAATTAAAATACATCTATACTGCCAGAATCGTCCACCGCGAAAGTGAACAGCAGCTATGTATTAAACTGTAAGCGTATCTCTGTTCTCTGTTTCTGGTGTTGTAGTAGATGAAGGTATAGTCGGCAGTGAAACCTAATAATACTGCATTTGTCCGTTTGACTACCAGATGACCAACCATGCACAGGGCTCTTTCATGCTTATTCGTAATTAACAACCTGAATCGGCGGCATCAAGCTGACGATTGCCATTAAGTATGAAACAATGCTGTACATGGTTGGCCCATGCTGGGTGGACAACGGAGGGCAGTATTACTACCCTATATCCCATGGACGAGAAACATTATACTCAGGCATACTTTGCACAATATCGTTACTTTGACGAGCTTAAGCTAGCCCATCAACGATCAAAAATAACAAATGGCTAGTAATATACAGATGGCCAACTATGGATAGTTGTTTCGTGCTTTTGGGCAACTATCAATGTTATCACATTTGTCTCCATTCCATTTTTATCATTTTGAAGCTTCCTTAAGTTGCCGTACACACAAATGCAAATTGCATAGTCTACTTATACTGGGTCTACACTAATATAGAAACAATATACTGTAATAAGATACTTAGCATAATGTGCTAAAATTTAACCTAGTTTTAATTTCAAAGTCTTGATCATACTCCTGTGTATTAAAGGCGTGATATTACATACATTATATAATATTGACAACATTAGCAAGACTTTTCCCCCAAGACACTCCCATATCCATATAACTGAAAATGTTGTGTATGTCTACAGCTATTCCAGCAAGTCGTCTGATAATGTTTCGTTCTGTTGCTTGCAGCCGATTTACCGACTTACTTGACGCGGTTCCAGTGGGATATTGCCAAGTACCCTATTAAGCAATCCCTACGTAATATTGCTGATATAATCAGCAAACAAGTGGGGCAAATAGACGCTGATTTGAAGACCAAGTCTTCTGCTTACAATAACCTCAAAGGAAGTTTGCAGAGCTTGGAAAAGAAGCAGACGTAAGTTCATTGGATATTAGTCGTTTTGTCGACATATTCTAGATTTCCTATTCGCCGTTGACTGTCAAGTACGTCAGCCGGTTGGTTATTCCGTCAGCCTGGTCACCCGGAAATCAGACAAGAGTAAATAGAAATAAGCAAAAAAAAACAAGAATAAAAAAATATGGAGAGCAAAGATTAAGAACTACAACCTTAGAATCTATTTCACGAGTATCCATTACGTTTTGACGTCTACTGAGATGAACATCTGATCAGTAAATGACATCTTTGTATTTGTCTGTAATATTGGCAATAATGATTCGGGTGTAAATCTGGTAAAACTCAGGACCGGATTCAGAGCTGTTGTTCACAAATCTAGATTCTTTTAGTGACTGGGAATTTTAACAATAAAATATAGTACACACAAAAAACTGAGGTCGTAATGTGTACGTGAGAGGACGAGTTTGCCGCGTTACCATAGGCGCTCTCTGTCTACCATACGTATTGCACACTTCTCGCCGCTTCTCGGTTGAACTCATTACCTAGTCAGTGATATTTGGGTTTTTCTGTAGTACATCTGGTCTCTGGTTAATTGCCCGTCATCAGTGTAACGTAATTTAAATATAGGTTGAGTATCATCAGACCCAACCAGATTTTTAATGAATGGTTGACGATTTTTAATGACACGCCTCCAATCTGCCATGATGAACTTGTATGTATGTTCGACGTAGTGCACTTGAATGGCCGATTCAAGAACAGATCCCCACGTCTTCAGTACACCCTTTTGATAGTTAAACATTGAAAACCATAAACTACATTTTTTGTTTTCCTCCCAAAAACGCTATTAGCTTCCACGCGACGTTCTCGCTTCCTCCAGATTTTTGTAGTGTTCTCAACACTGGCCCATGCATGCATTCACGATCACTGCATTGTGCCAGTTGAGTACATTTCATGACTTTTTTCAATAGTTGTACATTTCATTTTTCTAATTTCTAACTTGTTGGAATTATCTATGTTTTTACTTAGGGCCATATCGTCAGACTTCCTACAATTGTAGGACGCCTTTATGGCCTCCTTGATTTCATAGTTTTTTCCTGCCCAGAAAGGCGCTTTATTTTGAGGTTATGTTACAAATATCTTTGCATCAAATTGTTCATGCTTTTGATTTTTATCATGTTTTATTAGCCTGAATTTTCCTACAATTAAAAAAAAATATAATTAAGAGAGGGCTGACCCTGATACGGAACAGTGGAAATCTAGAAATACTCCAGCTTTTCTGATGCAGAGAAAATACTATGAACATCAAGGAGGCCATAAAGGCGTCCTAAAATTGTAGAAACGACTGACAATACGGCACTTAATTCATTCATATGCTGCCACATATTTTGAATTAATTGTATGCCCGTTTCATTACCCTTCAAAATCATATGTTGTTTCAAGTTTTAAAAAGCAGACATGATTAACATAGTCAAAGACCAATTATCTCATTTTATTCCTACCAGACTTGAAATGTAGTCATGATCATTAGCAGCCATTTTGCGTGTGGTGTTTTTTGTGTGCGACGTATCTTTTCTAAATAAAAGAGTTGTTAGCAAGTACAAAATGAATCCGTAGCGTACAAAAAACCACCACAAAATATGGCTGTGTCTACCTGACGCTGACGAATCCGTCAGAATTGTGTCACTTGTGGATATGGTATGGGGAATTGTGAAATATTACTATATAATCAGCTGTTATTCTATCGTAATGGATACTCGTGAAAAATACAGCAGCATTGTTGAAAATAAAATTGACATAATTTTGAATGCAGAAAAAAATTGAATGAAGTTTTGTTGAAATATTGTTTTATATTGTCAGAAATTACGCGATTCAACTTTGTTCACAGTGCGAGCGGGAATCTTTGCTTACTCTATTTGGCGAACTTGCTCGATGAGATTCTAGAGATTCTAGATGAGAATAAGCCAACGATTGATAATCTAGAACTTCCCCGTCCATTTCTTGATCCAGTATATTATCTTATTTATTTTTTATTGAGTAATTGCCTAGTTTGATATCTTTATGGAATGGGATTCGTACCTTTTCCATACAAATTGTGTCGGTATTATCAATATTCAATTCTATTGTTGATTTTTTTTCAGGGGAAGCTTATTGACTCGTAATTTGGCTGATCTTGTGAAAAAAGACCATTTTATTCTTGATTCAGAATATCTACAAACTTTGTTGGTGATCGTCCCTAGGTAGGTATGAAATTTTTTGCTGGGCGTCTCTTCCACCTTTATCTAAATCATTTTTACTCCCCACGCTAATAGGGAGTATGCATTTTTTGGTCTTATCTGTCGATTATTTACATTAATATAATACCGTAAACGTCATTTTTCGCGCGCTTTGGAGTGACGTCATAACTCATTTGTCATTTCATTCTATGTTTGGTTGATTTGCTTTCAAGTTTTAAAGGTTCTATTTTATATCCTCTGGTTTCAATTAAAAAAAAGAGCATGGTTAATGGAAACCTTATGATAAGTACTGTTGTGAGGCAGTGCATAAAAGTACGAAACGGAAAACAGCCGATATTTTTCATATTCCCCGACATGCTAGGATAAAACTCATGTCGAATTATGAAAAGGGATAATATAATTTTAAAATCTCAAAACGTACTTCATATTGTCTTGAAGATCATTTTAATGTAAGTACAGTACACGGAACTACCATTATACCCAAATATGAATAATTCTTACTTACCTTGTATTACAAAGAGTATTTTTTTCCATCTGCCATTGTGTATAATTATGAAAAGGGATGATATAACTTTAAAATTTCAAAACGTACTTCATATTGTCGTGAAGATCATTTTAATGTAAGTACAGAACACGGAACTACCATTATACCCAAATATGATTAATTCTTACTTACCTTATATTTCAACGAGTATTTTTTTCCACTTGCCATTTAAAGAAGTGGAGGATTCCGCTTCAACCAGTACTCTTCCAGTACTCTCCACTATATTTTAAACTTCTCGCGTATATTTCCCACTTATATTAATACTCATATTTTTATAGCGCATAAGTATAAAATAAGGTTGGAGCTGGATTTCTTAAGCAATATAGAGTGTAAATAAAAATAAAAAACCGATATTTGAATCACATGGATACTCCATATTGATGGGGAAGATAAGGTATTGTTTTTTGTCTGCCTGAATCGCGAATAATTACCCTTGTAGAGGGTGTCCCACCAGTCGACGTCTAGCCGGAACCCAAGACATAATAGTTACCAGAAAATATAAAAAAATCTGTCATGTCAAATTATGGGCTTTAAAAAATCGGAAGATTCTACACGCTGAGATGATCTGTTAGTCCCCATTACAAATTTCAATTTTTCTTTAAATGGAGTGACAGACATTGTCATTTTACGTAGACACAGAAAGACAGATAGTAATGCCATATTTATTAATTCATGAATGTATTAGATTAAATTCACAATAAATGTTCAAACAGCCTTCCTTCAGCAACAATGCAAGCTTGACATCTTTTTGAAAATAATCGGGTTATCAGACGGGCGAATCTTCCTTTATTAACAAATTCAGCTGCTTCCGTTATTCTGTCCCGTAGCTCAGCTATATCTTCGATTACTTTTCAGTAAACTTTTTCTTTAACCGTTCCTCAGAAAAAAATCGAGTGGATGTAAGTCAGGTGAACGGGCTGGCCATGAAATTATACCAGACCTTCTGCTGGTACCACATGTATCTTTAAATGCTTAGTAGCACGCCTTCCAATAAATTTGTTAAATGATTTTGTAAAAAGTCTAATTAAATTTCGTCATTCAAGAACTCGGCAGCTCAAAGGGTACAGTGATTTTCCCATTTAGAATTCCGATCTTGATGTTAACTTTAAAACGATACTGTGTTCTATTTTGTCTCATCAAATGTGGCGTTTCTATATGCGACTTGCGAGTTGTGTAAATCCATGTAACCATTTTTTTTCAAATCATCAGTCTAAAGAAATTTTTTCTAAAATCGCCGATTTTTCCGGTGTCTCTATAACATTGTTTGACAAAACTCAACTCCTAGAAGATAATCGCGTGGTACGACAGAGGTATTAAGTAACTCTAAAAGTGCCATTATGTCGGTTTTATTTGCAATTACGTTTTTTTATGACATTATGTAGGTTTTCCTACAAGACGTCAACGATAGCTGCCGTTCACCTGATGCTCACTTGTAGCAAGCACGGAAAGAACTATTTGCACACTAGCCTACCTAGTCAACAAGATGACATTTTATCGGTTTTTTGACTTTATATAGGTTTTTTTACGTAATAACCCTGCGGGTGGATCTCGTTCTTTCCGCAAAATTCGGTAGGCTGTACTTTTGAGTTAAGAATTGCAGGTTGGGGATTGTAGGAAGTGGGGAGGGTATATCTCATTTTTTTTGGTGTTAGTGTATTATATGCTACCAACACCGATAGTTTTACGATACACATCTATTAGACATGCAGGTATTTTACACATCATAGATTTTCCCCTAGATTTACTCTAAAACTTAGAATGATACAGGGTCCGTCAGAAAAGAACGCATGTTTTTTAAATGAGTAATACATTCAAAATAAGTATGGGAAAAATATTTTATTATATCAAAATACTCAGAAATACATGCCATTTTTTTGAGTAAAACAAAATTTACGTTCTAAATGAGTCCATTGCGTCGGCCAGCATCCGTACAGGAACTTGGGTTACTTCTCTTCTTATTTCCTCCTTCAAATCGACCAGGGTCCGAGGCTTGCTTTGGTAAACTTTTGATTTCAGCTAGCCCCATAAAAAAAATCACACGTTGGCAGGTCCGGGGAGCGAGGGGGCCATGGAATTTGGCCATGATGTGACATGAGACGTTCTGGGAATTTTTGCCGAAGAAATTCCATCGAGTGCGAGCTGTGTGAGATGTTGCCCCGTCTTGTTGGAACCACACTGTTCTGAGACGGGACACGTCGTAGTCGAAGTTCCTGAAAAAAAAAAGTTGTTCAGCATGTGGATGTTACGCTTTGAATTCACAGTAGTTGTTTCTCCATCATTCTCAAACAAATAAGGACCAATGATCATCGTTGGGCCTACTGCACACCAAACTGTAACTTTTGTGGTATGCAGGGGGTGCTCATGCAACTGTTGGTGGTTCACTGGAAATCAATATCGATAATTTTGTTTATTGACGTATCCATGTAAATGAAAATGTGCTTCATCACTCATAAACAACGTCATGTTATGTTATCCAACTGTTCAATCATGAGCTATGCAAAATTAACACGTTGTGCATAATCCCCTGGCAACAGTTGTTGACAAAGTTGGGTTTTGTAAGGATGGAACACTAAATCCTTCTTCAAGATGCAATGTACAGAGGACGCGTGGATCGCTAGGGAACTGGCACGCAAACGGATGGAACGATTCGGGCTTTGCAGCATGTCAACTCTCACTCTGTCTACGTTTTCGGGGGGCTCTAACATTACGGTTTCGCCGTGGCGGTTTTTTCTTCATCACTGTTGTGTTGAATGCTTCCAACCATCTCAAAATGGTGTTACGGTCTGGTGCTGTCCCACGACGTGGAACACGAAAGTGAATACACGATGCTCAACGCTCCAAACCATCTTGCCTACTGAAACGGCACTTCTCCCACTATTCAACACGCCCTTCCCCACCGACACGGGACCAGCCCACTCGATGTAGTACGCATTCGAAAAACATGCGTTCTTTCTGACGGTCCCTGTAGAATGATAGAAATATTTTCAACACACGATTCTCTGGATATAGGAGTATCGCGGAGTGGCCCAATGGGTGGTTGCTGTTGCTGTCGAGTGGCGAAGATAGTCGTACTAACTCTGCTAGGTGATCGGTATTATCGTTAGGACACGAAAGACATTTTTAGATTGTAACGTTGTCAAATAGGTGACGACTTTATGGTCATGTTTTACTTACTTGATCCATTTGTTTTTTATCCTGACTTTTCTCTTAAGACTGGTGACAGCGACGCGTGTTACCATACTTGACGTATTTTTGGTGTAATTTAGATCTCAGTTCAACGAGTGGAATGCAACATATGAGAAAATAACCGACATGATAGTGCCTCGCTCCTCTCAACTGATCACACAAGACAATGAGTACGGCCTGTTCACCGTCACTTGTTCAAAAAGGTCGTGGAGGAGTTCAAGTTACATGCCAGAGAAAAGAAGTTCATCGTAAGGGATTTCGTATATAATGAGGAAGAATTGGCCGCTGGCAAAGAACGAGATCACTAAGCTGGTTACTGATAAGAAGAAGCAATTTGTAAGTTATTTCAATGTTCTAATGCAGCCCAACAAACTACATTTTTCATTTTTTCATGTTTCCTACAGCAAAACGATATGTCTCACCTAAAGCAAAAGTAATCTGTGTTGAAAGAAATGATGGCGATTTTGTATTAGTAACGAATGAGACTGTATTCAATCAAATTATTTTGTTATAAATACGGCTAGAACTTGTAAGCTTCTTTGTATGAGGTTTGTTCAATAAGTACCCGTGTTTGACGATAGAGGACGTTCTGAGGGAAGTTGGTGTTATCATCGTGTGCTGCAATCTATCAAACGACGGCACAACAAATTTCAGACTGATTGATAGGTTAGTTTGGACTTGGCAGCCATTCGAGTAACACGTGTTTCGTGATTTTCGCTAAGATGGAAAAAGAGCAGTATCGTCCGGTAATTCGCTTTTTGTTTTTGGATGGGAAAAAATGCGAGGAGATAAAAGTTAAGTTAGATGCTGTTTATGGGGACATTTCGCCATCTCTGACCACAGTTAGATATGGGTTCAACGAATTTTAACGTGATCGAACATTCGTTTTTGATATGGAGTGACCAGGACGGCCGGCCAGACGTGGTTACCGAGGAAATCATTCAAAACGTCCACGACATGATTCTCGCTGATCGACGAACGAAAGTGCACGAAGTAGCAGAGGCTGTAGGTGTGTCGACCGAAACGGCAATAAATATTTTACATGATAAGTTGGAGATGAAAAAATTGTCGGCCCGATGGGTTTGGTGGATAAGCGAAATCCGCAGGAGTTTTTGCGTCTAGTTGTCATCGTTTATGACACCTGGATTCACACACTAGAAACTAAGCAACAATCAAAACAATGGACGGTCCCATCGGCTGGAAAGGTCATGGTGACGATTGTTTGGGATGCAAACGGCGTCATCCTCATGGATTTTTTAGAAAAAGGAAGAACGATCCCTGGACAAAACTACAGTGAGTTGTTGGACCGCCTCGACAAAAAAAATCGTAGGAGACACGGCCACATTTGGCGGAAAAGAAGGTGCTGTTTCACCAGGATAACGCACCAGCACATTCATCCGGAGTTCTTGCCGCCAAACTGCATGAATTGCGTTACGAAGTGCTGCCACACCCCCCGTATTCACCCGATCTGGCCCCCTGAGATTTTTTCTTGTTTCCTAATATGAAGAAATGGCTCAAACGAGAAAGTCATTGCCGAGACAGAGGCGTAGTTTGGAGAGTTCGACAAATCCTATTTTTTGGGAGGGGTTAAAAAATATTAAAATTCGGAATGAGCATGTTACGGGAATTTTAGAACATTGTAGTAACACACTGTATAGGAATGTGATAAAGACAAAACAAACGAACTGTCACCTGGAAGATAAATAACATAAAAAAGGTACTATAAAAGTTTTGCAATAGAGCTTTATTTAATTACTTCGTTCAAAGTAATTTCCACCACAATCAATGCACTTCTCCATCTGCCAAAATGAGTCCTTAAACCAGCTCTGCCAAGTTTCACCCGGAAGTGCGGCACACTCGTTGTTCCAAGCCCCGTACGATGAGGACAATCATTCTTTAACGCATGCGTCGTTTCTTCTAAACACTGCATAAAATACGCGTAAAGATATACCTTAAAACTGTCCTTATCTCTCTACGTGAGCACGATGGCATAGTCCGCAATTTACACTGTCAATACGAATGAACAACTAAATTAACAGACGGGCTGCTGGCGGCTACCATGCATTCATGGACATGTCTCAACATGCAGTAACATACAGCCTCCTTTGTCCGTTTGTTACGTCATATTGCAAAACTTTTATAGTACCCTTTGTATATTGTTATTATGCTGAAGATTACCTATGTGATTTGCTTACAGTAAAGAATAATTCTGACAAAACATGGTTTTATTGACCAGACAAGCATGGGGGTAAGAAATACGTTAGCGTATAATGTGCTGCTTTCCGCAGATCACTCATAGCACATTATATTTCTTATTCGGGGTGTTCCATGTTCATCGCCCCATCTAAATAGTTACTACGCTTCCTAAAGAAGTTTCAAACAAATGCTATAGGTTTTCAAGGAGGCACCACTACCTTCAAGTTTATTTCAAGGTCAAGTGAATATTTCTAAAGGAATTCCACTTTTATACCGTATTTGAAAAGAGGAGTAAATTTTACGTCCGAATATGCCTCAAGGCCATTTCAAGGACATAATAACAATTTGCTGAAACAAATATTTTTGACATCGCAGATGTGAGGTTTGTGGGAGTCACCCAAAGAGCTTGATCTCAGGTCAATATCTCCAAATAAGATCCCTCATCTTTATACCAAAATTGCAAAGACCAAAAGATTTATATCACGACGTGTGAAATTTTTACTTGACCTTGAAGGTCACGTTCAAGGTCACCTTTGGGTGATCCTCACATTTGTGCTGTCGACCATTTCGCTAGAGCAGACTGTTTTTCAACGTCTTGATTTGGCAGTTCATAGTCATGGTCAAAGTCATACTCTGACGAAAAATTTCCTCCTCTTTTTAATTCCAGTGTTAAAAAGGGGCGTTCCGTTTGAAAATATTCACTTGACCTCGACCTGACCTTGAAGATCGTGGCCAGAGTCACCATCACTTTGCCCCATCGAAACCCTGTAACTTTTGTTTGAAACTTGTTGTTTGTTGTAGAGTTGTTGTTGCGTTGCTTTTGGTGAGAACAGTGGTTTAGGATGCACTAGATACAATAAACATTTTCTTGCCCACCATTTTTCTTCAACAAGAGACGTAGGCAGATGCAGATTTTGAACGAAATATATTCCTTTTTGGGCATATTAAAAAAACTTTGAACATAAGCTACTTTTGCTTTAAGGCGACGATTTATCGGTTACATTTCCGTATTGATGAAATTAACGCTAAAGGTACGCATCCACAGACCCGCATCATGTATTGGACTGTTCGCACCAAACGGATTAACTTAGCGCGTTCAATTACTGATGGACAACATTAAAAGAAGAAATTGAAAAAGATTGAATACATATAACAAACTATATATATATATATATATAACTATTAATTATAAAAAACCTACTTTATTCCCTTCACGTCTTACATAAATAAATTACTGCGATATAATCAGCTAAATATAAAGAAAACAAATCGCCAAAATGAATACATATATGTCACGTAAACTAAAAGCTAAAACTTAGGTTTCTGTTATATAAATTCAGATACCACAGACAAATTTTCAATGAAACTCAATTAAACATTTTATACCAAACGTTAGTTGAATGCCTCATAACGTATGTAATTATTATCTGGGGATCCACGAATAATAACCATCTAAATTCCTTACAAATTATACAAAAACTATTCAGAAAACAATTCATAACAACCTTTACTATATCCCTCCAAATCGCTGTTTATAGAATCAAAACTTTTAGATACAAAATAATTATTTTGGTATAATTATGCTAAAATTTCATAAAAATAAACATTCGACCATTTTTAAAAATTATGAATATGATAGTAGAAATGAAAATAAACAAATAATTATTGCCAAAAAAAGAAATAATGTTGAAATCCTCTATATACCTAGGTCCAAATTTATATCATAACTTACCAGAATATATTAGAAAAAACCAGAATACCATTATTAAAATTAGATTTATACGAGTGGCTATTGAATACTTATATAAACATGATGTAATTTATAAAAAACTAACATATAAATATCTTTCCTTCATTGCTAATCTACGATACAAAATTAATGAACATATTACATTTATGTTATATAGATTTTTTAGTCCTACAAGTTTATTGTAACTACTATGATATATTTATGTTGTTTTAGAATGATATCCACATACAAGGATAGTTGCATCTTCTGGTCTATCCGGTACTGAACTGTGAACGTACTAGTACTTAACACGTTCACTGCGAAAGACGCTGATTCGCGTCCGACCGATGTTAACGAAAGGCGGCGGGCGCGGATCCGCGCTTCTGGCTGATATAAACTCACAAGACTGTGGTGTTGTCAATTTGTACCGCACTCGCTTTCTGTTTGGTCACCTACATATTGAACATCTTTTTGGACTATTTTACGCGTAGGATGAACTTTCGTTTATTTTTACATTGCGCAATGGAGGATGATGTGGAAGCAGGTTGTTCACGTCTAAAACGAGTGAAAACGTATTGTAACCGTAATAAAGGGCTTACAGAAAAAGAACTGTATGATATTCTTGCCAATTCGGGGAGTGAAATCGAGAATCTAAGTGACTCAGACAATTATGTTCCCAGTTCAGATGGAAGTGAGCAATCTGATGGAAATATGTCTGAAACGAGTGATGATTTTTCCAGCCCACAGAAAAATCTTTAATAGGGTTTCAAGACATGTTTCGTGTTACTGCACGAAAGAAACGAGATAGAAGAAGAAAATGTATATATGAAATAGTTTTCAATTACACAACGCACATCCAATAGGCTTACGACGCGAATCCGCGCTTCGCTTGTGCAGCTCCTAAAAACGTTTAGCCGCTACCGTGCGCGCGGCGCGAGGCAGGTCGCAGCGAACGTGTTAATAACTTGCAAATAATTCTAAAATCAGTTTAGTGAGAGCAGTTACACGCATTCGATGCGGATCTGTAGACGCGTAGCTTAAACGATCTAACCTAAAATTTATCGTTTTTGCAGGGACCCCTCGTAAGATGGTTGAAAGTCAACTTCAGTGAATGTTTCTGTGCTTGGATCCACGTTAAAGCACTGCGAGTCTTTGTAGAATCAGTGTTAAGGTGAGCTGCAGCCTCGTGTTGCTGCTAGAATTGTGGTTTTATAAATCCTTTGAACTATTTCATCAAGTTTTGTATGTTGTTTGTTCTTGCAGATACGGACTTCCTGTCAATTTCCAAGCAATACTGCTCCATCCGAACAAGAAATACATCAAGCGTCTGAGGGACGTCTTGAACCAGCTTTATGGTCATCTGGACAGTAGTGCAGCTTTATCAGGATCAAATCTTGATGTAAGTGCGAGTATCAAACATACTTATATTCTTAAATGTATCGTGCCTTCAGCTTAACAAGATTAATTTGCAAGTATGCATATTTTAGTGTAGCTAGTTGCTTTCAACTAATACATAAACATTACTTCTTTTTTACAATTTTCACATCACAAATATTTTTCAGTACTACATGCTTTCTCCTGCTTTTGATAAACTATGTTATTTTGCTTGTTTGTCCACGATATGAAATGGCTACACTGTGCTAATCGCTTTATGGCCTGGTGAGGTTAGCGACATACTTATAGTGTCTGTTTACATTTATAGTACCAACTCGCTTATAGTATGGTCATTATATGATAATGATGAAAACTGGTGCATCTGCATAATGTACATGTCTCGGCCATATCGTATAATTGACCATTTCATCAAATAATCGAGCATTTCATGAAATGGCCAACTAAATTTGACCAGATCGTTAAATCGTCAACGTTTAAACGATTTGGTCAACTACGATTCATATCGTGAAATAGAGTGTCCATAGAATACTTAATAAAAATCCAGAATATGTTACGAACTCCTTTATTGTTCTTTAAGTATAATAAACATTTTGTTTTTTTTTAGTAACTTTAGGGCCGATTTCACCAACATTATTATTATGGACCAATAGGAAAATACCTTATCGAAATGCAATTTGACGGAAGTTGTCAAAGGTCTCAGAATATCAGTGATTTCTATTAAAATGTTGAATAAAATCGTGAAAATTCGACTGTATTATAAACAAGACCACTTTTTGATTCCAACATGATGCTTTTGTACAGAGAAAACAGGACAACTTTCATGTATTTTGATTTATGTTATAGGTAAACATTTGACCATCCGTTATCCCCTCAGCGAATGGGAATGGGAGAAATAATAGGTCGATTTTCCTGCTGTTAAATTTGGTAGCAGGTTTGGTCGTTTGTTAATTCATGGCAATCTCGAAATTTGTTAAGTTCAATATACTGTGTGTATATTATGAGATCATTATAGCTACACATACCTGTTGAATTGTGCGGATTTGCAAGAAAATAGAATATAAAATGTATTCCAACCAATTCCTCGTCTCTCTTTACATCATAATAGTAATCATTTGTTATAAATTCATGGGTTAATGAATATCTTCAAAGCAATCTGTCGTCCCCATCCTAAACACCGATATGTGTAAAACATGTTAATCCCTACATCTCCGAGGTGCATAATGCAATTACTGTTGACATAGACCTAAAATTATTAGTAATTACTGAAAAATAATGTCGGGCTCATGCACGACTTAACGTAACCGAATTTAAGGATCAGCTGTTTCTACACCAGTGTTCTCCAAGTGTTACGCCGCCAGATGGTAACTAGCTAGTGATTTCCAGTGGTGGTCAACGTTTTGGTGACGTCACAGCATTTTTTGACATGATTCGGGTGGTTGCGGAACTCGTCTTACCCTTGGATAGCCCTTTCTATACCGTTCTATGCTCGTATTGACGTAATTATAATAATTCTGTGGTGTCTCGTGTTCCACGACGATTTACGGTCAAAGCCAGGCGGTGAATCATCTGTTGTTTTTGTTTGAGTAGTTGACGAATTTGCGGTAGAGATTTGTTTTGGTGTTCGTCTTCGGGTGTGTTTTTTCTGCCTTGGACTTGTTTTTTCTGCGATTAATTGAGGATGGCTATGCCTAGAGCAAAAAAAAACGAGAGCCGCGCTGGTATCAACTCCTGACCGTGGTGAAGAGGTACCTGCAGAAGGCACCTGAACGCAATCGGACATCGCCAGAGGAGCGCCTAATGATGACGTCGTGTACACGTTAAATCTGCACGAACCCCTAAATACGTGGTTATGTTGAATGTACCATCACCGATGGTGCGACTGATTATACACTGAAATTAAAACAAAGAATTGCAACTGCAATTGTATGTATGAATGTTGAAACTGTTGAACAGTTTCGGACCAGTGGGGTTAAAATATCGTTGAGGAACTGGAAAGAAGTGTATGAATGTGTTGAAATGCAACACCTAACAAAAATTTGAGTGAAAAGGATTTTTCATGTAAGTGTTTGGAAGTGCAAGTTTGCAAATATAGGATAAACTATAAGCACACAGTAGGTGATATAATAATAATAAATATGGATTACGAAAGTTGCAGTAAACATGGAAAAACCTTCAGCTTTAATAAACTGAAAAGATTTCAATGGCAAGCTGTCACTTCATATTTTACAGTGTTTTGTTTTGAATACTTTGATGCTATTTGCTGCCAAAAATTTGACGGAGAGATCTTGAGGCTGATTGGGTATATTTAACGGACTGTTTGGTACTCGTACCCTATTGGTGCAGAATAATGGTTTGTTGAATTGTGAAATCCACCCTTAGGAAATTAAAATATAATAATTATATTAACACAATATCAAATTGCACAACGTGTCATAAATGAAATTTTTGAACATATCAGATATCACAAATTGAGTTATTACCTCGCGTGGACACCCTACTTGAATTTATGTGATGTATAACCTAAAAATTAGTTTTAAATACGTAAAATAATCTAGTAGTTCAATAAACACAATAGTTAAGCAGCATAGGATTTTGATTTCAAATAAGTGAATGATAATGTAAGTATGTTACTAACCTGAAGTCCGCAGCTTTCCTACGTTTTGAACGGTATTTGCGTTACCCGCATAGTACTCGGCACGGGATATCACCCGCATAGTACTCGGCGCGGGATATCGCGGCGATCCTCGGGTGTCTTTCAGTCCTAAAATCTTTTAATCTCACTTCCTTCCTCATTTTGTAACGGAGTATTAGAATTTATACTTCGAAAAACTGTGTTATTGTTGTTGAAATGTAAACAAAGCGCTCCCAGCGGTAATTAATCTAATTTTTTTCGATTTCATCAAACATGCTTGACCACCTCATGTAGTAGCCGCGCATTTAGTTGATCATATCGTTAAACTATTTGTTGTCATTGATATGGACCACCCACATCATGATCTAGACAATGAATAACGATATATTATGAAATGCTCAATTTTACGATATGGCCACGACATATGTATTTGAGCAATGTGAAATAATATAAAAAGCACTAATAGCTACGAATATATATTCTTTTAATGTAGCGAATCTAAAATAGACCGCATTGTTTCGATATGGGCTTAACAAATTTACATAATTTGACTGTGCTATAAGTGAAGCGACTCGAACCTTTATACCCCACCTCCTACCCGCGCCCCACACATCCACAAACTAGCAGGTGCCGCTTCAAAAACCGCCTTCTTAGTTGTATAGTTTTTTTACGACAGTCCATAAAAATCCGTAAACAGACACAAGTATGCCACTAATTAAAATTCACCGTGATACGAAATGGCAACACTGTGCTAATCGCTTCGTGGCCTGCTATTTATCATCCCTCTTTAAGAATAATGCTGTCAGTGTTGTCAATATGGATTTTTCTTGGTGTTTATTCCATATACTTTTTATGCATGTGTACTTTTAGCAACTGTTAGCTGACGTTTATTGCGTAATATAGTTATACATGTGTTGTCAAAATGTAAACAGGTTGCTTTGCTATTGTTAAATTTGTCTCGGAGCCTCTTGTACTCCATTTTTAAGTAAAATATACCACTTTACTAATACTCTATTTTATCTTGGTAGATGATGGTATACCTTTAAACTTATCCCTATAAATTACATTTTCCAGGTGAATGATACTGAGAATATATGTACACCACTACTGCGCAAAATTAAACCACTCAAATTATTGAGGTTGAAAAATAAAAAAATCGCGAATTCTATTGAAACAATGATCTGTTTTTACTTAAAACTAGTTGCTCTCTTATGTTTCCATACTATTTGGCAAACGTACAGCATGTTATCACTAATGCTATACAACTCATAGGGAGTGTAAGTGGTAATATTGTTTAGGTTGGTACTAGACATGTGGCCGTTTTGTCAAAGTGTATGGGTATCACCAAGCTAGTGTAGTAGTTTATGGTATTGGTAGTGACACTTTCAATTTGGTATCACCGCTATACTGTTAGCAGGAACAATGCGTTTAAAACTGTACTGCTAAATATAAATAAAGGTAATTTTTTAAGAAGTTGTTAACCTAAGTAAAAATAATACATTAATACCGTTTTTTGAATTTTTAGCTTTTTTAGTAGTGAATAAATAGTGTGTGCTCGCGATACTTTGATTTTGTTTTATGCAATTTTAAATGCGAACTTTTGCAGTTTACATCATACATATCCCAAATTGTCTATTTTAGATCACCCTATATAGAGTATACCGGGTGTTTCAAAATCAACCCTCACTATTGGGAATATTTTTCTGTTTTACCCCTTACTCTTGAAATCACCTCATTAGTTTAATTAAATATTTATTTTGAAAACAGGCAGGTTTCGGTTTCTTTATTGCTGGTCCGGTGATGTGGTAATGACGGTAATCTTCCAGTCTGTACCTTTTGCACATACAAAAATCAATCCAGGCAAGTGGAGTAAGGGAAGAGGATGTGCGTGCGTAATCATAGGCAACCCAAATCTACGCATCCGAAACTTTCTAAGCAGCATTTTGTTAATTACCTAAATACGCATCTTCATAACAAAGACATAGCAATGGCAAAACTTACATGCCCGCGGAGGTGGCGGAACAGTATGTTATAATAAATTGAGATTAAAATAGAATTGAGATCTAAGACAAAGCATATCAGATCATCATGAAATGGCATATTAAAATCATAATTAAAATCGTACAAGCATGTCCTTAAGAGAGACTTTACAGTTGCTCTTTTAATAAAATAATTGGTTGCACTTGAAATGTTGCCTGGTAGCATGTTATATTATATTTATAATGGGCCCTTGAAATTGTGGAGGCATGGGGAGGAATGTTTAAGCTCCCTCTTGATGATAGTTGCAGTTAAATAAGTTTGAATGTTTCTGGAAAAACACAAGTGACAGGTTTTATGAAGATGGCGCAGTTAAAAACCACAACTTCTTAAAAAAATCTCTACATGCTGCCTGAGGATGCAGCCACAGCATTCATTTAATTATATGTTTCTGAGCTATGAAAACTGATAAGAAACCTTTGAAGAACCCCAAAACATAACCCTAATGCAAACGAAGATTGAACTGATGCTAAGTAAAATTGACGAAGTATTGCAACTGAAGTTCCATCACGAAGACGACGTATTAAAGCACAAATGCTTGCTATTTTGATGACAGTGTTGAAGTTTGGTAGTCCAAGATCAATGTAGAGTCTAAATCTAAATGAACGCCAAGAATTCTCGCACAGTCGACCTCTGGTATCGAAGCATCAAATCAATACTGACTCTTTATTTGCAGATTGTCTTAATGTAACTAGAGCAGTTTTCAACCTCAACAAGTAGTTCTTGCACTAGTCCAACATGCTGATTACTGCATGTAAACAGACTTCTGAAAAACCTGCCAAGCTCAATTCCAAGAGCATAACAGATGTACTTTATGCATACTGACAGGTCAAGCCAGCAATAAATCTCTCAGAGAGAGTCCCTTCACATACAGTAAAAACAACAGGGGTCCCAAAGCGGATCCCTGTGGACACCTTGCGGAACATGCGTTGAGGTTGAGCAGTATTTACCTCCATCATGACGTACATACTACTTGTTCTCTACTATCCAGATAGGAACCAATAATCTGAGCAGGTTTGCCTTCGATACCATATTTACCGAGAATTTTTAGTAAAATTTCATGATAGACCGTGTCAAAAGCCCTTGACAAATCGAAAAAAAGGACTGCAACTAACAATATTGATGCCTTTTTAGCAAATTGTATTTAATGAACAAATTTGTTAACCTATACAGTGCCCGCTCAAAGAACTTTGACACACATCTACGAGATAAGTTGATAGTTTGGGACAGCCTGCAAGTTACCCTTGTTTTGATGCTAGACACAGCCATCGATTTCTTTAGAGATGAAAAGCATACATTAGTTATAAGAGAAAAGGGGTGGGAGGCTGACTCGGCCACTTCTTTAGAATTGCAACAGGAATATCATCTAGGCCAGAAGAAAATTTGTTTGGGAGGCTCTGTATATCCCATTTATCAACTGGCAACAAAAACTTTGAAGGGGCGTTTACTGATCCCGTTATCCCCACAATATCAAGGTTGCCATGAGGAAGTCGAATCATCAAAATTCTTTGAAAATATATCTGAGAACTGATGTTATCATTATCTGTTTTTATGGTTATGGGGTTATGTTTTTTTATTCTTGTTTATTGAAAATATTCCTTGCATCTTAGAATTCAAAATTTCTCATTCATTGCTATTTTATAGTTCGACAAATACATACTTCGTTGTATCGGCGTATTTCTTGTTTTATTATATATTTCTCCTCACTTCCCTCAGCAAAGTGAACCTCATCCCTAGTTTCACAGTTTAAGCACTCAATAAATTTTTCAGCATTACCAAATCTATAAAATCACTTCTTAACTAAAACTGTTTCAGTAACTCATGCAAAGTCAATGTTGAAGTCACCACAAACTATCAGATACTTGTTGGGTGCTTAGACTGTATTTAATACCATATCTAAGCTTAACAAAAAAGTATATAAGTCTGCAGTAGGAGATCTATAAATACAAATCAAAACATATGTAATATTTTTCATAATAAACTTAGAAATACTCGAAATGCTTTCCACTACACTCAATGCATATTTTTAATAGTTCACATGCCACCATCACGAAACTCAGTACGAGATGAAAAATTCACTGATTGATAGCTATCTGAAGAGACTGAATGGATACTATCAACTTTCGGTCAGTGTTCTTTTTTTCCTAGGTCCTGCTTCTACTGGTTTGCACTCACTGTCACGTCATAACTATATGATCTTTGGTTGTCCTCCAATGTATGTGATCCGTCTGGATTCGCCTTTTTTTTCCTTTCTTCAAATAGGCGTTTATCTTAGGGTTCTTAATCTGATTAGGAGTACGATCGTAGCCAATATAGACTTTGCCGTATTCTGCGCTTTTCTTTAGAGCTTTAGCTTCATGTATGATGGCATGCACGGCATCAAATCATATTTTAATTGGTCTTTGAATGTTAGGTCTGTATTTGCCCAATAATAATCTTTACAGTTTCTGGGACCTCTATGGCACCTAACACTAAGCTGTTCGAGACCTGTCATATGTTATACGTTGCTCCATTTGATTCATATCGGGTTCTGGTAACAAAATATCAATAGATTATCTTTTCTTTTCCCCGTTTCTGCGGTTTCCTCCAGTACTTCTCAAATGTGTCATCCTTATTGAGATTGGCATTGATGGACATCTCTTCAAGTCGATTTACTGTCGCTTTCTTGAAATCAATTTCTTCTTCAAGCTTCTCGATTCGCGACTCGAACTTTTCCATTAATTTATGTTCTTCCACTATTATGGCAGTTTGTGTCTCAGATTTATCGCCACTTCATTATCCTATCAAACAGATTATCAGACATGTTACGCGATGCACCTGTAGAAGGACATGTTAAATTACGTTCAAAATATAAGCTTCTGCGATTGGTTCTTTCTCAAAGTATTTGGTGACATCAATTGATAGATTTGCATAAGATGCAATAAGCATCCAGAGTTTTTAGTGGCCGCCAAACACATCACGCAATTGATTGGCATGATTATCTGGAGGAAAATGAAATTAATCTACGCCACTGGAAAATGTCCGTGAATATCGAAGAGGGCAGTTTTTGTTTTTTTGTTCAAGATATATTTAGCATGATTGCTACAATTACATTCTTCCAAAAAACTAAACAATCACATAACATACAGATATTTAGAAATAAAACAAAATTTGCATCTCTAAGAATTTTCATTGACCATGAAATATTCCTTTAATTTTCTTTTGAACATCTTTAAATTATCAGTAGACTTTACATCATTATTTAGTTTATTAAATTCAAGTAATCCTTTCTGAAATAGAGGATCAGAAATTAATCGTAAACTGCAGATTTTCTTCGTTATAAGTTTTTTTATACAATTAAAATAGCATGCTTCAAGGAGTAATTTGATATAAAATTCAATTTAATTAAGCTGCCAGCAAAATAAAATCACAGCTATCCACCGGGAAAGTATGTTTATAAATGCCGTCTTCGATAAATCAAGTATATTATGTACCTATGCCTCGCATGCAAAAAAATGTACAGTTTTAAAAGTCATCACATCATGTAGCTATCATCTAACGCACTATTGGTCTAGCAAGCTTTTAGTATACTTTCATAGCTATTGTATTTGGACTGAGGTTAACTAGAAATGCACTATCATGACATTTTCTTTTACAGAACGTGGACATTCCTGGACTAGGATTCGGCCAATCAGAATACTTCCCTTATGTCTATTACAAAATTAACGTGGACATGATAGAGAAAGTTTAAAGATCCCCAAAATGTTATATATTCCACTTTTAGTTTTTAACTTTAAGCACAAGCTCGTTCCATTATGATGTATGTTGAAATTTTATTTGCAATTTATTTAAAAGTATTATACTTGTTACAAAATAGTATTACATTTAGAAACATTCTTTGGAATGTTAATTCCTCTCAAAAGTTTGAATGTGTATATACATGTTATTTTTACATTTAGTGTACAGTAGGCTTCACATTGTTGACATTTTGACAATACATATATGAAAAAAGGTAATTATATTTTGCAATAATACTGTACCATGTTTACTTTCGGTAATCTGTTTGAAACAGTATTCTTTTATTGTAAATATATGGAGATGTATATAGAAGTGCATTAAAGAACTATTCAATGAATTCTTTTTCCTGAAATAGCTTCATGTCATCCTAAAGAGGCTACTCTTCATCAAGTGTGTCAAGTGAAATTTCTATTTCACTCAAGTGTTACTAAATTGTTGCTATTGGTAATTGATAAAATTAGTAAGGACATCAACTCGGCCACTTCCGACCAAAAAGCGTCGAAGGTTAGAACAATCTGTGCCCACGACACATTTTTTGGAAATATTGTGTACTATTGGGGTGAAAATGCCCAAAGTCTTAGCGAATTTCGGATCAGTTAAGGGTCAAGTGCTATGTAAGCAGATTTTTTTTACAATTATTAACCCCCCTCCCCATTGTCAGCAATCTCTCATCCTCCTCCCATGATTACATAAGTATTAATACATGTATTTTTCGATCTGTTCTGGTTTCTTTATTGATTCATCAACAGCAGTTATCAAGTCTACGTAGAAATAAGGAATAGGCTTAGGGTAGAGGAATTAAACACAAATAGTATGTATTTAAACAAATTGGTGACATGGTAATTCGATTATAATTTTTTGTATAAACAGTCAAATTAAGAGTCCTCAGTCCATGACACACACATCCATGACATGGGATATTTGCTGCTTGATGTTGTGTCCCTGCTCACTTTTGTGTGATTTTTCCATATGTGTTAAAAATCAAAAGCAACTAAATTTTTTAGGAAACCCGAAAAAGTAAAAGAATAAATATTGCTGACGTGATAGCCATTCAAATCCTCCATGTCATCAAAAATGAGCAAAGACCGCCGTCCTCTTTAGTGCTTATCTAATACTTGAACGGTCCCAAAAACACATTCACAAAGGTGCTAAGAATCGATAAATAACATACGGATATTGATTTATTATCAAAATAAGTAAAGGCCCCCGCCCTCATTAGTGCTTATGTAATTCTTGAATGTTCCGTAATACACCTTAAAAAGGGTCCGAAGAATCGATAACACATGCAGATATAGACTTTGTTCGATTCTTTGTTCAAACCATTTAGGTACTTTGAAATATCTTTTAGCTTCCAGTGTCATTGTACATATTTTGTCAGATGATAAATCCTGCAGGACAAACACAGCAAGATATTGAAGCGAGTTTACTATGTAGTGTTGGTATGTTACTATTTTTTTGCTTTGAATATTATGTTCACCTCTAGTATTTGTCACTAGTATACGCTACGTTTGTTCGTCTACTGAGGTAAGCAGCTGATCATCAAGTGACATCTTGAAGTCTGTAGCTATATGCTCATACAAAGGGTGGTATAAAAGTTTCGCAATATAGCTTTATTTTATTGACTTCGTTTAAAGTAAATTCCACCACATTCAATACACTTCTCCAGCCGCCAAAACCAGTCCATAAACCAGCTCTACCAAGTTTCACCCGGGAGTGCGGCACACTCGTTGTCCCAAGCCCTGAGAAGGTCCTCATCGCTAGACAACCGTTTTCCTTCCAGCTTCATTTTCATATGCGGAAACAGTGCAAAGCCGCAGAGACAAAGATCTGGACTGCGAGGAGGGTGCTAAATAAGTTTCAGTCCAGTAGTGGTCAAATACTCGGTGCAGACTTTGGCGCGGTGAGCTGGAGCGTTGTCATGGTGGAGGTACCAAGTGTTCATTCTTGACTTTGGCCGCAGGTTTTTCATAGACTCTATGACTTTAGACAGTCACTGTTTCGTGTACCACTTAGCTGTGACTGTTTTCTGTGTGTCCAAAACAACACGCTCCACAATCCCGCTCGATTTGAAAAATACAGCTATTATTTTTTCTTAACAGATCGGTATTTTCTAACAGCTACGGGCGTGTCCTCATCATCAAAGACCCAAACTTTGTTTTGAGCCTTGGTTGGCATATCGTAATAATAGAGCCAAGTCTTGTTACCTGCGATGATGCTGTTCACATGCCGAGATTGCACCTTATCAAACATTTTCAGTATCTTTCGGCACCAAGTCGTACGACGGGACTTCTGCTCTTCCATCAGACTGTGTTACCCAGAGAGAACAAAGTTTCCTTACGTGTAAATGGTCATGCAGAATTGAATGAATTCCTTCCCTCTCAGCGCCCTCCGGAGTGAAAATGTCCCTTTGGAATTATATGTACCATGTGAATATAGTCGTACTATGAGAACAATCATTCTTTAATGCAAACGTTTCTACTAAGCACTGGTCTGTGCTGAAACCACGCGTAAAGTTATACCTTAAAACTGCCCTTATCTCACTACGTGACCACGATGCCATAGTCCGCACTTTACACTGTCAATACGAATGTACAACTAAATCAAGAGACGTGCTGCTGGCGGCTACTATGCACTCATGGACATGTCTCAACATGCAGCCTCCTGCGTCCGTTTGTTAAGTCATATTGCAAGTTTTTTATAGTACCGTTTAAATATAGTTGATTACAGCGCCATGTATCAGATACTAACCTTTTCAAGGTAGATTTCTAATTATTGTGGAGAGGAGAAACATAGTTGTGACAAATTATCATAGATGACGCTCGACATGTCATTACATCTCGGATAATTTTTCACACGCGCGAATATTTCTTCAGGTAGAATAGTGGTAGTTCTCAGCACCTGGCAGTACGGTTCCATTGTGCTAGCGTCGTGGACTTTAACCTCACATTCTTGTAACGTATATATCAGTCAAAGCAAAAGCACTGGAAAGCAGCTTTGTAGTTATTTAATAATAATAAACGTCTTTATTCGCTAAACAATTACAAAAAAGAAACAAACCACTCTGTGAAAAAGAGTTTGACAAAGAGCGAAGTTCAGCTGTGTATCACTGAAATGACACACATCTGTTTTTCTACTTGACCTTTTGAGCGTTAAATCATGTTATATTCAACACAACACGTAATCCAAAGAAACACTCGAATAATAACATAACATACACGAAAAAAATACTGACTTGCATTATCTATATAACAATATTGATTAATGTATTATACCTGAACAGCAGAACCAAATGCTACATTCTCACGTCCAAAAAATTATCTGAGATAAACTTTGGAAAAGTTAGTATCTCATAGATGGCGCGGTCTAGTTTATATGAGTTTATAGAAGCATACAGGTGTCTACAGCGCCATCTATAAGACATATACTTTGACCAGCTAAAAGCGTCCTAGCGCTCATCCAGTTTCGATGGATGGCCGAGTTCTGCCAAAGAGCAATTCATTTCGGCTGGTCGGAGTTCAGATCACCGAGGACTTGATCTGGCACGAACGCATCTCGTCAATAACGAAAGCTGCTGGGAAAAAGCTAGGCTATCTGTTTTGGACGAAGAAGTACTTTTCTCCGCATGACTTTCTCACGCTATACAATACTCAGATAAGTCCTACGTTCGAGTATTGCTCACACGTCTGGGGTGCTGCCGCCCCAACTACATTATTTATGCTCGATGCTGTCCAGAGGAGGGCTGTCCGACTGATCGATGATTCTTCTCTAACAGACAGTCTCGGGACCGCACCGGCGGGCCGTCGGAGACCTAGCTCTCTTCTACCGCTTCACCAACGGGCTTTGCTCCTCAAAGCTCTCTTCCATGATGCCGCCGCGCGATGCGCCTGCCAGACAGACCCAACTGACTTTGGCCTCCCATTCTAACCATGTCGAACTTCGTACGTCCAGAACTAGCCGATACGACCGCTCCTTTGTAACGAGCGTGTCAAGATTGTGGAGCAATCTAAAAGAGGAAGCTTTTTCCAGTTCTATTAATTTTAGGCACAAAAATTGGATTAACAAAATTTCATAGCAGCAGCGGTTGTCCCGGCATTTAGGCTTCTGCCTGCGCGACTGCTTCGATATAAACTCACTTTTACAAAGTATGTATATTGTATATTAAACAGAGAAACAGCTGTGACAAATTCTCGCTGTGCTACGGTATTGACAATATTCAATGTTTTAATTTTGTTTGGGAAACCATTGTACACGCTATAAATTTTGTCGATGAAACTTTGCTTGGAAAAGTCGTCCCTTAAATCTAATATTGAAAGTACAGTTTACATCAGGGTGAATTTTCTATAGAATGTTTTCACCTGAAAAAAATTGGTTCAAATAGCAGCAATTTAGAAACACAGGTAGTTTTTGGGCACAATTTGGTGACGTTCAAACGAACCATAGGTAAATATTTTAACTTTTGATACACTTGAGGGGAATTGCCACGACTGTTTCGCAAACACTAGGATTTCATAACGACCTGTTATCGAACAAATGATTTTTAGTCAGATGAAATGGTTCCTACATAGTTTTCAAGTGACTGCTTAAAAATTAAAGTACAGTTAACGACATATATTTTTACAGACTGTGGATATACCAGGGCTAGGATTGGGTCAAACTGAATATTATCCGTATGTTTACTTCAAAATTGATATAAGTATGGTCGATCACAAATAAATCAAAACAAAACCATTTGTGCAACTGTGAATTTAATTTTCTATATCAAAAAGCTTTTTGATTGATGTATGTAAATAATTGTTGTTTTCAAAAAATTATAATAAACTGTTGGAAATATTCGTCTTTTATTTGTTCTCAAAAGGTGTTTCTTTGGTATGTTGCTCAATGTGTGTTTTCTACGAGAAAGTAAATGTTATGGCGCATACAACGTTTTGGGGAGGTTACGTGACCAGTTTTCTGCTTGATAGTCACAAAACGAGTGACAGGTATTTTCTTTTCTCATTATTACAGGTACTAAATACTTTATAATATAGGTCCACATATTTTTCAGAACCTATTCTTTATTGTTCTTCAGGATTTGTCAACATCATAATGTTGCACCTAGTGCATTTAGGTTTATATATCTCCTTGTTTGACGAATACTCAGCCACAGTGGGTTACAATCTATGAAGCTTCTAGGACCCCTATTCTTGAAACGAGGGAGTACAATCACTGACGTGATTCCCTTCCCTAGGGAATGATTTCAAATACTGACAGCTGTTGACATTTAGTAGGTAGTAGAAAGATTTATTTAGCACGTTTGGCTACATAAACTGGATAATTAAAGATCTCGGTGCAAAAACCAGGTAAGTCCGATTTTTATTAAAATTTGCTTTTTCGAATATTCTAAGTATTTAGATCATTACGGATCGTTTGGTGCTAAATCAAGTAAGTCCAACGCTTCTAAAGTGAAATAGCATAGGATTTCACTTGCCTGGTCAAGTATTGGTAGCATAAATCAGGTCCAGAACATACCTGCTTTTTGCACGGAGGTCATTTTATATAGGTGGGGACTGGTATGGATTCGATTGTGTGGTAATGTAGTTCTGGCGTCGCGAGGCGTGATTTAGTATGCAATTAACAGTAAGTATTTTCCGCACTGCAATAAGTCTTATTTGGCGCGAAAATGTCTGAAAAGGAGCCTTTTAAAACATCAGGAGGCCAATATGTACCGAGTGATTAAAATAGCGCTGGCCCTAGCCGTGTCGTCAATAAGCGTCTGGATAACAAAACGAAAAATACAAAACTAATAAAAAAGATTCAGCATATTGACGTCCCCCCTGAAAAAGGCACAAAACGCATACGCTGCCCTGATATCCATATTCCCGATGAACGGAAAGAACTAGTATGTTCAACTTCAAAAAAGTTTAAAGCTGTAAACCTCAATCAGAACATGGTCTTGGATTTTGCAACACAACTTGAAGCTTTTTTAAATCTACTTTTGTTTGCAAAGAAAAGATAAGTTTAGCATTTCAACCTACCGACTTTTCTAGTATCAAAAAAGTTTTTAAGGTTTTATATTGAAAAGAAAATGTGGTACTGTACTTTCCAAGTTTACATGGAATCAATCCTATCCTATGCCGCTTGAAAACAAGGCTGCTGATGTTAAACTTTTATCAGCAAAATGGCCGATCTATGGTACTATCGAAAGAAGTTCCACAAGAAGTAGTTGGTAGATGTGATGATGCTTATAACTTCGATCCATCATTTATGTAATTGAAGATCTATTTTTGTTACCAATTTTTTAAGTTGTATTGGTTTTGTTTTCTTTGACTATCAAAACTGAACTAATTTTTCGATTATTTCAATATAATGATCAGTGCGAAACTGGGCAAGCTTTAATTGTAGAGTTAACAAGTGAATCCGCAATTTGGCCTTGAATTTTGTCAAAGTATTCAAGTCTCATATCACTGTATTTACTTTATTATATTCAATCAACCCTTGATGGAATACAGATTTGTAGCATAGATTTATACTTTTTGGACGTTAAATGGAAGTCCTCTTAATTTCCGGCATTATGTAAATGATGTTCGGCATTTGGTGATGTAAATTTAGTTAGACATGGTGCAAATATATATTTTTTACTTTATAAATGAATATCATTACAAGATATTTGATAAAATTCTTCACCTTGAGTCATTCTAATTTGCTAAGCATTTGTGTAATTTGAGTATATTTATCTTTATTCAGTGTTATTCTCATGTACTTGTTTTTTTTGGAATTATAAGCTAAATATAAAATAGTTTGATAAATATGCCACTTTACCACTAAACTGCTTTATAATTTTCTCATAATATCAAAATTTAATTGAGAGTCAACAAAACCCCAAGCTATTTTAATTTTTTTATGAATTCAATATCTTCACCATCAATATTTAGGTGATCATTTGTATATTGCTTTTTTCCAATTAACATAGCTTTTGTTTTACTTGTATTTAATTTGAGTTTATTAGAGCTAACCAATTTGAAGTAAGTTTCAAGTCTTCATTTATATACAAGAGATACACGTCTGGAGTGTCATCCGCGAATATTTTAATTATGCATTTTTTGACTATGGCAGGCAAATCACTTATGTATAAAATAAAAAGAAGTGGTCCCAGGATACTGGCCCTGTGGAACACCTAACATACGAGGGATGTCTTTTAACAACACGGTAGGTAGTTTTAAATGACTTTATTGTTTTTCGAAGTATTCTCCACGAAAATTAATACACATCTGCATGCGCTCGATCCAATTTTCGAAGCACTTATTCCATTCGTTTGCTGGCAGATCCAAAACGGCATTTTTGAATGGGTCAACTGCCTCTTCTGGTGACCGGAACCTTTGTCACGCAGTCTGTTTTTAATTTTTGGGAAAGTAAAGAAATCGTTAGGACTTAGATCGGGACTTTATGGAGGATGGTCCAATAATTCCACGTTTTCTTCCGTTAAATACTGCCTTATTCTTTGAGCTGTGATTTTTCTAAGCTCGGTGATGACTTTTGGCAAACAAATCGTGGTATACCAATCCGCAGTAACAGTTCTTTGCTCATTAAGAGGAATTGTTGCAATATGACCCGCTTTTGACACAAATGTCGCGACCACCTTTTTCGAAACACTTCGAGAACGGATGACTTTTGTTGGCTTTTCTTCACCTTGGAACACCCAAACAACCGACTGTCGTTTATTTTCTGGTTCATAACAGTAAATCCACGATTCATCACCACTAACAATGCTGTACACATTTTTTGAATTGAAACGGTCAAGCGTTTTTTGACACCAATTATCCCTGGCTGCTTTCTGCCTCAATCTCGCGATATGTCACATGTGTATCTTCAATGATAAGTTTGCGTACAGCATCGACGTTTTCCTGGGTGACTGCCGTTTTTTGTGCACCCACCCTGGGATCGTCGCTAAGACTCACAAGTCCACGTTTGAATTCTCCATACCAACGGGAAATTGTCGACTGATGTGGCGCTTCGTTTCCAAAAACAGACAGTAACTCAGCAAGGCATTCTTGTTGCAATAATTGTCTCTGAAAGTTGTAATAAATTATGGCGCGAAAATGTTCTCGGTTGAGTTCCATTTTTCTAATGACTTGATGACACTTAAAAATTCACTGCATTGTTGTGAAACTTTGAATTTAAGTTTACTAAAGAGTGAGGTTAAGATTCAGTACTGACGTTCGATACGCGCGGCCTACTATGTTTCTTTATGCAAAACTTAAAAGACATCTCTGGTATTTTCGATTAAATACTGTTATTAATTTTTTTAACTTGCATCCTTTTAGACAAATAATTTTTATACCAGTCTAAAACACTTCCATCCATATACCATATACCTTCAGTTTACCTAACAAGTGAATGCATCTATTTTTGCAAAATAATATGCTCCTGTGTTCTTCATATTATTAAAAGTTCCGTTAGGAAGTTATCTTCGTCTTTAGAGATCGGACTGAAGAACGATGGAGATACTTCTGCATTTTTGCTCCCGAAAGTAACTCAGGGCGCGACTATTTTATCAGTATTCAGGATTACAGTTGCCTGAGAGGTAAGATCACCATGCTTAATTATTTACTTTTTTTATACCTAAGCAGTCGCGCAGGCAGAAGCCTAAATGCCAGGACACTACTGCTGCTATGAGGATCGCAGATTTTTTTTAATCCGATTTTTGAACTGCCCAAGATTAGTACAACCTGGAAAATCATCCTCTTGTAGATTGTTCTACAATCTCGACACCTTCGGGATAAAGGAGTGGTCGTATCAGTCAGTTCTTGATGTACGAAGTTCGACACGGTAAGGATGGGAGGCCAAAGACAGGCGGGGCGGCAGCACCCCAAACGTATGAGCAATACTAGAGGTTAGGTCTTAACTGGGTCTTATATAGACTAAGGAGGTCATGCGGAAAAAGATACTTCTTAGCTCTAAACCAGTAGCGTAGCTTTTTCTCAGCAGCTGCCGCTACTGACGAGGTGTGTGGACTACGACCAGCCGAAATGAACCGCCCTTTGGCAGAACTCGGCAATCCATCGAAACCTGAGGAGCGCTAGGATGCCTTTTATTCGTCAATGTACAGTACTGTGTTTTGTCTCTCGTCAGAAAGGACGTCGCTGCTAGTCTTCTTTTTTTGGCAGCTCACCGCCAGAGATCGGCTTGTCGCTTTGAATTACCGCATGTAGAGCGCTGTTATCAACAAAGCTGTGGATTGATCGTAAAGGAAAGGAGGTCGTTGATATGTAATAGGAACAGTGTCTGAGCCAAGACCGCCCCTGGGGAACTCCTGCGTTCACTTTGTCGGATGAAAAGAACTCATCAATTACGACGGGCATCTTTCGGCGAGAGAGTCAGCCACCCATCGACAAAACTTCTCTAGCAGACCATAGGATGGAAGTTTACTCCACAATTGCGTGACGTCTTCTAGCAGGTCCCCTGTGGATCGCTAGTACTGGAAACCATATTGTCTGTCGCTAATCAAGCCGTGACGTTCAATGTAGTCCAGAAGCTAAGGATTTATGCACCTCTCCATCACCTTACTTGTAAGTCATGTCATATATACTGATTCCACAAAAGCGTTTGACAAAATTGACCATCAATTACTTGTACAAAAAATTGAATACATGGGATTCAACAGAACTTATGTGGATCTTCTCAAGTCTTATCTAGACTTGAGAACTCAATATGTAGTCTATAATGGGTTTAGTTCTTACAAATATATGTCAAGTAGTGGTGTACCTCAGGGTTCCAATTTGGGCCCCCTATTGTTTGCCT